CAACCTGAGGTCGAACGCGAGCTACGACTCCGCATCGACAACTACCATCTGGAGATCTTCAGACGAACACAGACCGAGACCACGAAGCGCTGGACCTATGAATCTGAGATTAAGCGTCCCTATTTTCACGTCACAGACCTCGACGATGCTCAGGTCGCGAACTGGCGAAAGTACCTTGACTTCGAGGAGTCCGAAGGAGATTACACTCGCGTCCAGTTCTTGTATGAAAGGTGCCTGGTCACCTGTGCGCAGCACGACGAATTTTGGTTGAGATATGCCCGATGGATGCTGGCTCAGCAAGGCAAAGAAGAGGAAGTCCGAAACATCTATCAACGAGCATCCTGTCTCTTTGTCCCGATCGCCCTCCCGACCACCAGGTTACAATATGCCTATTTTGAGGAGATGACGGGTCGTGTCGATGTGGCGAAAGATATCCACGAAGCCATTCTCGTGCAGTTGCCCAATCACATCGAAACCATCGTGTCATTGGCGAACACGGCCCGCCGTCATTCGGGGCTTGAAGCTGCAGTCGCAGTCTATAACGCTCACCTCGAGGCTCCAACCACGGATACCACCACCAAAGCGGCTCTCGTCGCGGAGTGGGCCAAGCTTTTGTGGAAGACCAAGGGTTCGGCAGAAGAAGCTCGCGAAATCTTTCAGAGGAACCAGAATTGGTATCTTGAAAGTCCTGCGTTCTGGTCGAGTTACCTGCGCTTCGAGATTGATCAACCCATCAGCAGTGGCAATGAGCAGCAACATCATGAGCAGATTCGAAGAGTCGTGGACGAGATCCTCACCAAGACAGCCCTGCCAGAGCCAACGGTTCAGGATCTCGTTACTGCCTACATGAAGCATCTACTCGAAAGAGGTACTAAAGATGCCGCGAAGGAGTACATGGCCCTTGACCGGCAGATTAACGGGTCAATTTCAGTCCAGAAAATGCCCAAGGCGAATCCTGATTCAAACAAAACAGTCGGTCTTGTCAATGGACAGGTATGTGATCAGTCACGCTTAGCTGATTTTACCCTTATTGACAGCTCACCAGCAGCCTCCGCCAATCCGATACGCCTGAGCATCTAGTGCTCTGAGAGCGAGAATTTGGCCTTGGTTAACGACGAAACGGTTCGGCATCCCAAGTCATTGGCTTGGTTTGGGGCATGAAAGGGTATGGCGGACTGTAGTGGTTCAACTTTTGTCCTGGTAGGAAGCCTTTGCCTTGATGTCCTGAATGATATCCTTCAATGATGAGGATGGTCTTGGCTGTACACAGAATCAATAATGATATTGACATGAAAAGAGGTACTTTACTCAACATCGCTTTGGTTGGAAACGGGATTAATGTCTGTCATACGAACTCCCAGAAGACCATGCTAACCACTCCGCACGTTCCATGGCGAAGACACCCGCGGGAAGAGAACTGATGACGGAAACAGCAATGCATCGGGCAACCTAACGGACGCTCGAGCGATACATTTTCATCCCCTTTGGTATACGTGGATACGCAGATACAAAAGCTGCCGAACTCTAGGTTTGAAAGTGTGTTTTGTGAGGAAGTTTGCTGGTCTACTGGGCTTAGAACTCCATATGAAGCAAGGAGAGCCGAATCTGGCCCCAATACCACCAGCTCAACCTGCCCGGTTCCTCCTCTTCCTGCATTCGACATTACCATGCTGGCCGAGCGCCTTTTGTCTGCAAGCCCTCACTATAGTGGATGTAGAGCTTGTACCCCTAGTAAATAGTGGCTCAGAGAACAGGCAGGGCGTACTCCATACTCCGTACAGGCAACGGGGACGCCGCACACTAGTGCCGGTGGAGCCCTGAATGGACAAGCTCAGCCTTGTGCGAGCGAGGCTGAGAACGGGCCTGCGCTTAGTCATCCACCACTGTTTCGTCGAGCCTCGCTTTTCTCGTACGTGCGCGGACACATAGAATCCCCGCCACAAACGTCTCTCATTGCCCTCAGCCTGTCTGACAGGACACCGCAAGCTCCAACGACTGCTGGCACTGCACTGCATTGAGATGATGGCGGACACCAAGGTGAACGGACATCACGATATTGGCTTGCCTGCACCACCTATTGACCCTATTGCAAGACCAGAGACTCCCCCTCCGCCGCCAGTTTTCGAGAGCGAAGCACCGCCTCCGCCGGTCGACGATGCCGTCCCTCCACCACCACCCGCAGCTCCCAAGAGGGCACCAGCGCCAAAACCCAAGACAACGCCACTTAGCGTTGAAGAGCTCCTGAAGAAGAAGAGGGAGGCCGATGCGGCGGCGAGTAAGCCCAAATTTCTGTCCAAAGCCGAGCGTGAGAGACTGGCGCTCGAGAAACGTCAGAAAGAAGTCGAGGCGGCCGCAGCAGTCAAGTCCCAGAATGGCGCGGCTGTCACTCGCTTTGGTGTTTCGGCGCACCCTAGCTCCAACAGCAAGTCGAGTTCCACAGCCCCTACTGGACCAAGAGCGATGCGAACCGGAGAAGTCCCGACCAGTCCAGCTGCGATGAGGTCGCGAGAGCCCAACAAGAGCCACGATTTCACTCCGCCGACGGCGCCCAAAGCCATAGCATTTGGCGATTCGAAGAAGCGGCCGCCGGAGGAAGACCGGACGGAGAAGGCAGAGACGGAGCTGATTCGGCAGCGATACATGGGCGCAGACATGAACGTCTCGACCTTTTCGGCCGTCAAGAAGCGCAAGCGCACAACGGAGAAGAAGTTCAATTTCGAATGGAACGCCGAAGAGGACACGACGCCCGACTACAATCCTATCTACAACAACCGCGCTGCACCAAGTTTCTTCGGGCGCGGGAGGCTTGGCGGATTCGACGACCAAGCCGCGGATGAAGCTGCACGAAAATATGCGGAGGCACTGGCTTCCAGGGACACCGTGGCTGGAGCAGAGCGGGCGCAAGCCCTCCTCGAAATGGAGCGCAAGAGGAAAGAAGCCAGTGATCGCATGGCCATCGACAAACACTGGAGCGAGAAGCGACTGGACCAGATGCGCGAACGAGACTGGCGAATCTTCAAGGAGGATTTCAACATTGCCACCAAAGGTGGCGGCATCCCGAACCCGATGCGTAACTGGAAAGAATCAAATCTTCCTCGCCGCCTGCTCGACATCATCGAACAGGTCGGCTACGTTGAACCCTCACCCATCCAACGCGCTGCTATACCTATCGCCCTCCAGAACCGCGACCTTATCGGTGTGGCAGTCACCGGCTCGGGCAAAACAGCAGCCTTCCTCCTTCCACTTCTCGTCTATATTGCCGAACTTCCGCGCCTCGACGAAGACGACATGCGAAGAAACAACGGTCCCTACGCCATAATCCTCGCGCCAACCCGCGAGTTGGCGCAACAAATCGAGATCGAAGCCAAAAAGTTCGCCACTCCACTCGGCTTCACCGTAGTCTCCATTGTCGGCGGCCACAGCATCGAAGAGCAAGCCTACAACCTGCGCAACGGCGCCGAGATCATCATCGCCACGCCAGGAAGACTGGTTGACTGCATTGAGCGGCGCATCATCGTCCTCGAACAATGCTGCTACGTCATCATGGACGAAGCGGACCGTATGATCGACCTAGGCTTTGAAGAGCCGGTCAACAAGATCCTCTCGGCCCTGCCCGTGACGAATGAGAAGCCCGACACCGAAGACGCCGAGGACATGCGCGCCATGTCGCGCCACATCGGCGGTAAAGATCGCTACAGGCAGACAATGATGTACACGGCCACCATGCCCGCGGCGGTCGAACGCATCGCGCGAAAGTATCTACGCCGGCCCGCCATCGTCACGATCGGAAACGTCGGCGAAGCAGTCGACACGGTGGAACAACGCGTCGAATTTGTCGCGGGCGAAGACAAGCGCAAGAAGCGCCTCGCCGAGATCCTCAACTCGGGCCAATTCCGGCCGCCGATCATCGTCTTCGTCAACATCAAGCGCAACTGCGACGCCGTCGCGCGGGACATCAAATCCATGGGCTTCAGCTCCGTGACCCTGCACGGCAGCAAGACGCAGGACCAGAGAGAAGCGGCCCTCCAGTCCGTGCGGGACGGCAAGACCGACGTGCTCGTCGCGACCGATCTCGCCGGCCGAGGTATCGACGTGCCCGACGTGTCTCTCGTCGTCAACTTCAACATGGCCACCAACATCGAAAGCTACACGCACAGGATCGGCCGCACCGGTCGCGCGGGCAAGTCCGGCGTGGCCATCACGTTCCTCGGCAACGAGGACAACGACGTCCTGTACGATCTCAAGCAGATGCTCATGAAGAGCTCGATCTCGCGGGTGCCCGAGGAGCTGCGCAAGCATGAGGCCGCGCAGCAGAAGAGGGGCGCGCAATTCGCCGGTGGCGGTGGCGGCGGCGGCGGCGGCGGCGACAAGGGTGGCGCCAGAGGAAAGACTGCGAGTGATGAGTCTGGTGGATTCGGCGGCAAGGGAGGTGGCTGGTTGTAGGCACGGTGGATACTGACTGACTGACTGACGGATTGGATTGAACTCGGTCCATTGGTGAGCGCCATGGACCAAATAAACAATACACTTTGAGAGGGGCAATATGCAAGATAGGCGAGGAATGAGTATTCGCAGACGCATTCGCATTCGCATTCGCGATTGTTACGGCCACCGCAACGGCGATTGTGTCCGTCTCCTATATGCCATGTCCTCCGGCGTGAGAAGGTGACAACAAAGAGCCTGGGCTGTATGTCCAGACACGGTGGATACAGGAGATACTGCGTCAATCGCTCAAGTCCAACGAACGAGGATCCAGCGAGGACTGCTCGTGGCTGCTGCTACAATATCCAAGCTTTATGGGCGGTGTTGCTTTGCGGCGCACGCGCCGATTTCCAAATCACAAAAACCGCAAGCCAGAAGACACAGTCGCGAACAAAGTTCAACTCCAGAAAGATAGACAAGACTCCCATCCAAACCCAATGCTTGTCGTAACTCGTTCATTGCCTCTCATCTTTCCCTCAGTGAAACTCTCGTCACGTCTGCCGTATAGAGAGTTCCTTCTACTGAATCGGACTCCTCCTCAATGCCCCGACCCGCTTAATAGGCGTGTGCATCTGATACAATTGCTCTTGCACGTCCGGCGGCATGGCCGCTCTCGTGACCATTTCCTCCCAATCACCTCCACCCCCGCCACCATTGCGGTCTTGTTGGGAGTTCAGCTTGCCGAGCACCGAGACCGTCGGGTTGAAGTTTTCCTTCTCAGCCTGGGATTGAGCTTGCGACTGCGCGTGTTGAATGGGTTGAGATGGCTGTTGCGAGACTTTCTCCAGCCTCTGTTTCGGAATGGGCAGTGCTCTCTTTTGGATCGCATTTGCGCGTTTCGGAGCAAGTGGGTTCCGTGCTGGTGTCGTAGAAGTCGGAGCTGACGAAGATTGAGGAGCGACATCCGCCGGCGCTGTTGCAGGAGCGGGCGTGGTCGCCTCTGTCTTTGCCTCTTTTTGGGCCTCTTGGTTCGCTTTCTCCTGCCCGTACAACCACTCTTCAAAGCCTTGGACAGCTTGCAGGAAGGCTCCCTCACCGAGAGTTCTGCTCTCGACTTCCTTGCTTAACGCGTGTTGCACTTTCCTGCCCTTGGAGCCGCTGATCAACCCCACGGCCAACCCGTACATTGCACTTGCAGTGACGTTGGTGGATGTGACAATGTTTCCGTCACTCAAAATCGTGACAGACACAGCGAACTCGATGTCAATGCGTCCTTGTTTCGAAGTCATGACCATGACTTTGAGTCCGAGCTTCTCATCACTTAGGATGGTGGCAGTCGAGATGCCGATGAAATTGAGCAGGCGTAGTTCTTCAGAGACTTTGCAAGCAAGGCTCCAGCCATCAGACACTGTCGCCAACACTGTCTTGGACGCAACCGACCTCTTCGGCATCATCGCATAGGCGTGTAACTGACTCCTAATTAGTTGCAGGAAGAAGCGCTTCTCTGTGGGGAGCTCTGACACAGAAGCATCTGGGTCTTCGAGGTTTGTAGGTGCATATGTTAGGCTGATGGGAGCAGTTGGACCGCTTGAAGATGCAGATCTCCTCCCTGATCTGCGTCGAGGCGCGTCCATCACCTTGCACTGGAACGATTGAGGATAAAAGAAGAGCCTCAGCTCATCTTTGTATGTCATGACCAGAGCAGCACCCAGGTCAATTGGCTCGTCCACTTCCTCTTCAGCACTGACAAGTCGCCAACCGGTTTGCTTCTCAATGGCCTCGACTCTGGACTTCAGAGCCAAGACATCTGAGACAGGCCAACCTTTGTGTTCTTCACGTACTCGGTCAGCTTCTGCGATTTGATCTTTCATTTCGCTCTTTAACTCGTCAGCAGCTCGAAGTGCTTCTTCTTTCTCCTTCATTTGTTCTTGCAGGGAGTCGAGCAAAGCAGATCTCTGCAGGAAGTATTCGTCAGCGTTTTGGAGTTGGCGACGGCAATCGTTCAAGGCTTCATGATTGACACTGTCCAGCTCTTTAAGGCTTTGCTCTAACGAGGACTTGTGACTCTCGAGATCGGCCCGTTCCTGGTGCAGTACCGGGAGCACATCATCTAGCGTTTGTTGCTGTTGTTGCAAAAGTTCGAGATCAGCTTTCATGCCTTCATCAATACCTTGAAGCCCGGTCTTGAGACCGTCTACCAGCTGTGTTCTCCATTGGTACCACCCTTCCTTGCTTTGAAGTCGAGCGTGGGCTTTGCCGTTTCGAAATTGATTGTCCATGATAACCTTCATGTCTGGACGCGCATCTACGTACTCGCGAAAGAGGGCTGGCTGTTCAGCAAGTGTTTCCGCTTCAATAGAGCGGATGATCTTTCGGCCGGTGGAAATGTAGGTCTTGAGCTCTCTTGTGGCATGCTGGTACAATTCGAGAAGAGGGAGTGTGGTAGCAGCTGCAACAAAACTTGCTTCAGTGCTGCTGCCACCCATGCCTTCTTGGGACGGCCTGGTGGGCATTGATTGTGCCATTGTGTGCCTTCGCTTTGTAGTCGACAACTCAATGAAGTGGATATTTGTCATGTTGAGGAACTGTTGCAGGGAGATTTTCTCCTCATGAAATTTAGCAGCTCCCACATCCATTTGAGCAGTTGAAATGTCGATTGCTCCCATAACATTGTCAAGTTTGTCCTCAAACGATTCTGGTCTTGCATCAGCACTAGCCTCAACATCCCTGAATCGTCCAGTATGAGCTGGGCTCTGCGGGATGGTGTTCTTGGTCGGCGAAGCTACTCGTAGGGTTGGTGTTATGTTGTCCGTGTTGGCCATGTCTTGCAACGATTTCTGCAATTTGGCTCCAAGCCTGCCGGTCGTCTCGTCCTTGCTCGGAGGCTTTGGCAGACGGATCTGCTTTACCGGGCTGCTTTCTCTGGAAACAACCCGTAAGCGTTTCGGTGTAGAGTCGGGCTCATCGTTATCATCCATATCCAGCTCTGCAGGTCTTTTCCCCAGCAAGCCTTTGGCCGCACCAACGGCAAAGCTCTTCCTTCCTTTGACCTTGCTGCCTTTCGGCTTCTGTGGTGTCATTGACTCAATCATATCCTTTAGCGTTGCCGTAGTGTTTTCCTCTTGGGGTTCGTCGGCTTCTTGCTCCATGATGAGTCGCCCGCTCTCGCGCCGGTGCTCTTCTGCTCTCTCGGCCTCGACTTCCTGCGCGATCTGCTGTGGATCTTCAGACCGCAATTTGTCCGGCTCTATACTAACAAGCTTGAAGTGAGGCGCAGCGTCACCGATCGAAGACCGACGATCTAGCAATTCAGTGACTCGAGGGGAGCCTATCCCATTTTTACCAATGCCAATTCCACTCGAGCGCCGGCGAGCAATAGATGGTCTGGTGGCTTTCAGGACGATGCTCGGGGTCTGACTTCCAGGTGAAAAGAGATGATTTCGCTTCGTGGAGGCGGGCGATGCCCTAGCTTTGATTTCTGCCTTAAATAGTTTCTTGGGTGAGGCGCCCCTGTGAACAACATTTGCGGAGAGAGGAGTTTTGTTGGGAGACTCCGGCTTTGTAGGGATGGGTGTAATCTGCTTTGAAGGAGTACCCCGCAGGGCTTGCGTTGTCGCCTTGACTGGTGTAGTGTCATGGACTTTGCCATGTGGCGTGGTAGATGGTTTTGAGGCGCTGCGTTGAGACCTGGCCGATGATCGAGGTTTCAACGAAAGACTTGGACTCCCAGTTTCAGAGGCGATCGAAGTTCTATGGTGTTGATACCTCGGTGTAGATCTCAGTGTGGTCTGTTCTGTTGGCCGAGGACGTGGTGATGATGCAGTCGCCGACTCGTTCGGAGGCGGCATGTCCGTAGCTTGTTGGCCGCCGGGCAGAATAACTCCTACAGCCCTGGTCATATCCATAGCCATAGTCTGGTCTTCCTCGTCACCTTCAGGTTCTGGCATTGCCTGTGGTGAGGGGATGGTCTCGCCCGTAAGAAACTGTCTTGCTCGCTTATCACCCGGGAGGATGCCACCCACAGCTTTGGTCATGTCCATAGTCGTTGTTTGTTCTTCATCCACATCGGGTCTGGGCAGGTTTTGCGTCTGATCCAGAAGAGATTGTCGCTTTGAACGCTGGCTATTGAAAAGGATGCCACCGATAGCTCTTGTGGTCTCCATGGCCATGGTCTGGTCTTCGACATCTGTCTGTGGCTCAGTCTGCTCATCAATAGGGGGCAAAATCCCACCAACAGCTGCGGTCATGTCCATGGCGGTGTTCTCATCAACCACCTCGGATTGCAAGGACTCCCGGCGAATGGCGGCGTCCAAAACACCTCCAGCCGCATGCGTAAACTCCATACTGATATCTTCATCTGAAGCACGACTGTTCGTGGTATTGTCGCCCCCCGTGCCAATAATTCCCCCCTGCATGACAGTGAACTCCATAGTTTCGTCCATGACAGACTCATTGACAGAAGATCGACGACGACGGATGCCGCTTTTGCGACGTGACTTAGCAACATGTTGTTCAGGCGACAGGCTGGAGACAATTCCGCCAACTGCACTCGTCACATCCATACTCATCTCATGACTTTCTTCTTCATCGTCGTCCTCAATCTCCACATCATCACCCTCGTCTGCTGGCAAGGAAGGCAAGACTGGGTAGACATTTTCCTGGTCATGTACTGTGATATTGTCATTCTCCGCTGCTCGATTGAGTGCCCAAGGCTGGAAAGCGCTCGTGATAGTACCAGTGGCCATTTCCATGGGAAGATCTTCGCCATATTCATCGTGTTCAATACCACGAGTGCCAGCCTGATTTGCTGCTTGACGAAGTCGATCGTCCAGACTGGAGTGAGAGCTTGACGCCGATTCTTCAGAATTTGTCGAGTGCACGGTCGATTCGTCCATACTCATGGCAGTATCACCATCGGTATCTGACTCATCCGAGGACTCAATGCCTTCCTCAACCCGCATTGGGCTGCTGTTGGTTGCGACGTCTCCTGAAGGGCTCGAGGAGTAAACAGACTCATCAGTAGCATCTAGCATTGGCTCAGCAAGACCAGAACTTCTGCGACGGCGCTTCTTTTGGTGCAGGTCTCGTTGGTTCGCTGGGGACTCCTTGACCACGTCTTCTTCAGTTTGCGCAGTAGGGGTTGCAGGAGTTTGTACCCGATCAGGCGACCGAAGCGACTTGTCGGGGGATTGTTGCGCAGTTATCGAGGACTGTCTTCTTGTGGAATTCGAGGCAGAACTTGTTGTCGAATCTTCTACGAGTTCCATGACACTCCAGGTATGCAAAGTAGCCTCAGGTGCGAAGGAAACTCGACGATTGGCCATTGATTTCCTTCTCGCTGCTCGTCGTTCGAGTATAGCCGCCTTTTCCGCCTGGCGCTGGCGTTCCTCCTCCTGCTCCAGCTCGAGTGCTCCTGCGCTCTGTTCACCCGCATTGCTCTTGCGTGGCGACCGTCGTGCCATAGGGCTGAATGGATCAGCAACATTCTCAGCGCCTGATAATGACACTTCTTTGCTATCTTGTCTGCTAGGACCGGGCGTGGAGAAGTCAATCAAAAGCTCTTCAGCCGCACTTTTTGCGGGTGATTTTCCCTTTCCCGTGCTGCGTTTCCGGAGTTCGTCAAATGTAGGAATCGCTTTGGGCGGTGTAAGAGGTATCGTAGGCTTTAAGATTGACTTGATTTGAAAGGGCGTTGTTGTCTGCGAAAAGTCAGTGATGCGCTTTCAACGACTACAGTTCGTAATAACCTTGGTTGAATTCCCTGAGGACTCTCTCAGAGCTTCGAGACCGCCGGGCCCTAGGCTTTTGCCACGCTGCTTCCTCTTTGCGACTATAGCTTCCGCATCCTGGGCTTTGAGAGCGGCAATGTCAGTTGTCGCATTGTCTCGTGAAGCGGATCCTCTGGTTGATGGCATGAGGGCAATGGACTGTCGGGACTTGGGTCTGCTTGTTCGCGGACCTGTACTAGAGTCGGCCATCGCAATGCGACTGAAGCCCTAGCAAGCTCGTTGGGCGCAGATCCGTCTAAAAGAGAAGCATTTGGTAGATAGAGATGTTGTTTGGTTAAACATGGGTCACTTCGCGTCCCACTATTCTTACATCACGCGATATGCAAGCTAAACCGGAAGGGATGAGAGGGTAAACACCATAACACGTGACAAAATCTTCGTCGCACCTGCCTATCCGGTCGGCAGCACTGCCAAGATTCAATTTTCGCAGCACACAGTGGGAAACCCGATCGCAGTGCTACAACATCGGGACATCTACGTTGCCAACGTCGCTTCTTTTCCGTCAACAACCCGCAATCATGGCGACCGAGTTGACAGTGCAGTCCGAACGCGCCTACCAAAAGCAGCCTCACATCTTCCTCAACTCCAAGTCAAAGGGTGCGAAGAGCAGGAGAGTCGGCAAGGGCGGTCGAAGATGGTACAAGGACGTCGGCTTGGGTTTCAGAACACCAAAGACGGCGATCGAGGGGTCATACATTGGTCAGTGTTTATCCTGCAGCATTGCGTTGGATGGCGCCTTTTGGGTCCAAGGACATCGACTGTTGAAATCGCGGATGGATTGGATCTGACAGTTTCTTATCTACAGACAAGAAATGCCCATTCACTGGTATGGTTTCCATCCGAGGCCGTATCCTCACCGGCACCGTCGTTTCCACCAAGATGCACCGTACCTTGATCATCCGCCGAGAATACCTCCACTTCGTCCCGAAGTACGCCAGATATGAGAAGCGACACAAGAATCTTGCTGCACACGTTTCTCCGGCTTTCCGTGTTGAAGAGGGTGATACCGTCACCGTGGGACAGTGCAGACCCTTGAGCAAGACAGTAAGAGATCTCCGAATGTGTGAGGATTTATGAGAAAGTGAGGGACTAATTGTGGAAATTCAGGTTCGATTCAACGTTCTTCGTGTATTGCCCAGAACTGGCAAGGCTGTCAAGGCATTCCAGAAGTTCTAGACGCGGAGGTCAATGCTACGGGAGTTGTGATACTTTGCGAGCACGCCGTTGTTGCATCCGGGACAGATGCCAGCTTGGGCAATTGAGAAAAGCATGAGCATGCATCGTACGATTAGGATCTGCAGAAGGACCGAAGGACTAGTTCCACCGTCAGGAAGTCCAGATCAGATTAGACGATATGTTGCCAGCATATTAGGACTGGCGCCAAGTTCACGCAAGCCACAACGCAACGCGTGAACAATCAACATCGACCAAGGTTCAGACATGGTTCACATCGAGGTTATCTACTTGTGTCTACTCTACGGATTGACAGGGCCCTGTATTGCGACTGACTCTCACAGCTCGTGCGAAACATTGACCGTCCCACCCATCGTCGTCCATCTCAGGCCGCCAAATAAGCAAACCCAGCTTCAGCCTTCAGTGGCGCATACCCCGAACTATCCACCTTCGGCAGGATGCTGATCTTCCTCTCCGTTTCCTTCTCGTGCGCTTCAATCCACCTCTTCACCTCGGCCTCGACAGACCAATCACTAATCAAGCCGTCCCCGTGCCCGATCTGATGCAGCTGTGTCCCGCTACTCTGCGTGTTCAACGGCAGCGGCACATAATTCTCAATCGCACCAGTGACCTTTCCCTCCAGGATCTCCTTGACTAGGTAGGGTTCCGCGGCCAAGGGCCTACCAATGCCTATCCCATCACAAGCGCCCTCCTCGATGGCTTTGACCATGCCCGCGGCCGTGCGAAGACCGCCAGTCACGTAGACTTTCGTCTTCTTCAGCAGCGGACGAATCATCTCGGCAAACTCGATGAAATACGCCTCTCGTGCAATCGTGCTCTGTTTCTTGTGTTCGAAAGCGCGCCCCTCGAATGTTCCTCCACTCAGGTCCACAAAGTCCACCCTTGCTTCTTCGAGCTTAAGACATAAATCGCGTGCATCTTCTGGCGTGGTTCCCTTATCCTGGAACTCGACGCTATTCAGCTTCACGCATACGATGAAGCCCGGATCGGGAACACGTCGGTGGATCTCGTCGATGATTTCAAACACTATGCGTGACCGGTTGTTCAGGTCACCTCCATACTCGTCCGTGCGCCGGTTCGTGGTAGGGCTGAGGAATTGGGCGAGCAGATAGCCGTGCGCGCAATGGACTAAAGGTGTATGCAATCAGTGACATCGCTTTGGAAAGCCATGCCTTCGGCAGACACAAGACACAAGACATATCGTTCGACTGTACTGTAGTGTGCTCACCTTGGACGCCATCAAAGCCGGCCTTCCGACATAGATAGGCGCTCTCGCCCCAAGTTTTCACCATCTCCTTGATCTCCGGCACCGTCATGGGTCGGGGCTTCGCAAACTCGTTCCCCGCCCATTTGATCGTCAAATGCACGTCACTTGCACTGATAGGATTAGGGTTCAAATACTTTGTTCCCTGTCGGCCCGGATGGGAGAGCTGCGCGACGATTAACGACCCCTGGGCTTTCGCCACGGAAGTGACTTCCTTGAACTTGGCGACGCGACCGTCGTGGTCGTCCACTAGTATGGGGTTCCCGTACGCTTCGACGGCGTCGTAGCGGACCATCGTATTGCCGGAGACGATGATGCCGATGTTTCCCTCGCCCCATCGTTTGTAGAGGTGGAGGTACTCTGGTGAGGGCACACCGCGGGCGGACTTTGTGCCATTCAGTTAGCACTGGCCTTTTCATGGCAGGCGAGGGGGCGACTTGGGGTAAGTGAGGGATGAAGGGCAGAGAGAGAGGCGGCCAGGGATGAACCGATAGATTAGACGAGATGGGACGTACAATGTCTTCACCCTCTTTATTCCAATAGCACAATCGTTCCGTCATGGGTGCTTTGAGGAATCTGTTTTTGGCCGTCCGTCCGGAGAATGCGAACGTGACAGGCTCGTTGAGGATGGACACGTCCACCGGCTTGGACTGAGCTCGTATATGCCCTCGACTCGCCTGAACACTGTTTTTTTCATGTCCTTGCTCATGCTGGGCTCCATCGGTAATGGGGTCGGCCTTGATGGTCGACGTATCGTACTCCATGGCCTGCTGACCGGGTGGCGGAGAAGGTTCTGCTTGCCTGTTGCTCACCTGCCTTGATGCCCCGGACTATTGTATAAGTATGATAGAGAGATTGTAGTTCGGATACCTTGGTAACTGTGCTTTGTTGTGCCGATACCAGTCTGAAGGTCTATCCCCGTACTCTAACGTTTCTTACGAGCATTAATAATGCTGTCACGACAACTCTCGAATTTCACAGCAATTGACTTAACAGAATTCATGTTGAATATCCGAGGGGATTCCCCGAGAACGCTGTCGCCATGGATGAGGCGTCCCATTGGGTCCTCGAAGTGTGACCTCCTCGGCATTACTTCTCCAAGCCCGTCTCGGAAGTTGCAAGTGGCAGAACGGTGTTCAGCTCTGACCACAGAAGGGTACTTGTGTACAGGTCCAAGTCGGGGAACTCTTGCGGGTAGCGGGGCATCACGGTGGCCCGGCTGGCAGAATGGATATATATTGTATAGTGCTGAAATTTGTTCTGATTCGCCGCACAGATCAAGAGTTCCTTAGTGTGTAAGATTTTGTCAATGTCGTGTTTTATACGGCACTCGCTAATAACGTCTAGAGTGGTTCATCACGTCTCCTTTACAGTACCTCTTCGGAGGTTACCATAGCCCGGAGAAGGTCGTGGGTTCGATCCCCACAGGAACTAGATGGAGAATTTTCGACTCTTCTCTCTTTTTGACCACCTACCTTTTGAGAAAGATTCAGCGAGGCTAGTGATGAGCTCCCTACCTAGGTATTTTCCCGGCATTACGCGATATCTCGTTTTTAAACAATAGATAGAGATGGTGCTGGTGTAATCTTGAAGTAGGGCTGTACAAGAAGGGGTGGTGGACTACTCTGGAGTTCAATTTTTAGTATTATAGACTTATTTTCTAATAACTTCAACCGGGATGGCGAACGCGTCGATCAACGATCCGTTGTCCAGGGCGAGCCTGATCTGGTTGTTCCCCCGCCCGTGCGTCAACTTGGAACTCTGGGATCTCGGACGAGGCGAAGTGCGGTGAAGGCATGAGGAAACCCATGTTGGCTGGTTCCACCGAGCATTCACCAGCCAACCCGCCCGTCGGCGGAGACGGGGCCAAGACAAAAATGGACTTCTCTTCGTCACCGCTGAGGTGGTAGTACGAGTTGAGCTGCCGGTGCGTGACCACCATCCAAGCTGTTGACGACGGACACGGACGCAAAACGGACGTCCACCATCAGCGTTCGGGGATCGAGCTCGGCAAAGTTCACCGTGTCTAATGGCCTGAAGACACATCACTCCCGCGGATGATTCTGGAGAGGGTAGAACCGGCCCCAGCCTCTGTATCGCCTTGTCAGGTGATGATGTCGGTACATCGATACGGGGAGCACCAGAGCTTACAAGATCTCACAATGACGCTTGTATCTCCCAATCTCCATGGATTGGAATGCCGCTTGCTTCCAGCGGATCGGGGTCAAACTCAAACACCCCGGCTGGCTCGTGCTCGCCGCCAGGTGCTCGCCCTCCTCGCCCTCAGAAGTACGGCTGCTCTCCTGATCCGCAACAACGGCGCAGGTCGTTCCGTCCTTGTTGTCGGCCGAATGGAGGAGGAATGGTAAGCCGCTGGACGAGTTGGACCTGTGGAGGCCGACTGTCAGTCGGAGACGGTTCGCTCATGTCGCGATCGGAGGAGTCTCCCTTTCTGTTTTTCTTTTTAGTCCCACGATCGAGGCAGCATAGCTTACCAAGTTTGTGCGCGACCCTGGACGAAGGGCCGGTTGCTCTCCACGTCCGCACCCAGATGGTGCAAGGGCATCGAGAAGGCGTCCCATACCGGTGTTGCGTCGTCCTCGACTCTCCCTTGGTAGCCGATTTCTGTGGTTTCGCTCGGCCGAAATGGAGTGGTGTAGTTGAAGTAATAATCGTAGTACCACAATGGCACACCTTGATCATCCTCTGCGCAGTGATGGAATAGTGGAAGACCACCGCCCCGTCCAAGTCACTTCGACCCTGCCCAAAGCACTCGGATCTCTACTCTCAGAGGCTTGGACCACAATCGGACAGCGATATCCATGACTACAGGCCAGGGTGGAGCAAAACAACTACGCTGATATCACCAGTATGCCGAAACTAGTCCACCTACAGTGCGGTCGACATATGGCATTCAGCGCTTCAACGTGTGCCACTCAACGCCGTACAGTTACTGCACATGCTCACCTTACTCATCAAGGCGTAGAACCTCAAGTCAGACGACACAGCGCCGTCTGTCCGGTGGGCAGGCTCTGGTTGAATAGGTCACTCAACACTCGAGGCCGAGCCGTCAAGCCATGACAAGGCTTGGTGAGGGGGAAAATTTCCGTATGTCCGTCATTCTTGTCCCTCCAACTTTTTCCAAGAGCCTCAACGATCAATGAGCCTCAATCAACAGCCAGACACTGCATATTTATATTGCTGTACAACAATTCGACATCCATCTACCACTATATTGACCAGCACAAAAAATGACTACCCGGCCATTACGCGAGGCTCCCCGCGATGTAGGTTTTGTTTTTCCCTTGCCTTGTTCCCAGTTCCCTCTCTTCAAAGAACAGTGATTAGACTCATCGATTACATCACCGGCTGTGCTACTTTGCGGGCATTGAACTATGTATGCATGCAATGTACCTGGCTGCATAAACAGACAGAGTTACCCCCGTCTACTATACCGCTGTACTCTTCCCGATCCTCATCCTCATACCCGTGCTTGCACTCGTACCCTGTCACTATCCCAAAACCAATCCCAATCCGTAGGATTCCATGGTCACGCACACTTACGCCCCTTTCGTGTAGCTCCCCTCAATAATCAAGCTCGAAGACTCCCTCAAGCTCACACACTTCACCGCCGACGACGCCTTCTCCCTCGGCCTCAACATCCGGCAACGACTCCGCGCCCTCTCCTCCAACTCGGCCGTCGTGAGCATCTCCCACGCCAACTCACAGAATCTGCTCTTCCACGCCACCAGTCGCCCTGGCGTCCAGCCGGACAACGACATCTGGGTCGCACGGAAGCGTAAGACCGTGCACCGATGGGGCGTGAGCACGTGGTTCATGAGCAATAAGTTCAAGGGGGATGAGGCGGAGTTTGCACGGAAATATGCCCTTGGGACGGGGCCCGAGGCGGGTAGCTACGCCATTCATGGAGGTGGAGTGCCCGTGCGGGTGAAGGGCGTGGAAGGGATCGTGGCCGTCGTCGTGGTGAGTGGGTTGAAGCAGGAGGAGGATCATATGGTTGTGGTGGAGGCGTTGGAAGAGTTTGTAAGGCAGGAGGGGGGTTTGGACAAGAAGAGGAGTGTGGAGGGAGAGGACCCCGTCGTTCTTGATGCGTAGGACTGAGGATTCGTGGGGGAGAGGTCGGATAACGCGGTGGGATTCAACCCGGCTACGAGTCCGAGAATGGTGCAGGAACGTAATAAAAGAGATCGAGGATCATGTCTCTAGAAGAATGGGCGGTCACAATCAAAGGTATATGCAGCTGACCATATACTGCGAGACAGACGTATGAATGGCTGTAGAACACCGAGGGTCTGGGTGATGAAGCAGAACTCATGATCTTCAACCACATCCCCTCTGGCTCATGTCCGATGTAGTGGCGGCGCGAAGTATGTGGTCTAGACCCCTGTTAAAGATGCTGATTCCTGATTCGAAGATGTTCCTAGGGCCAGTATCAACTTCGTTCGACTTGCCTGGAGAATTAGCAGGCGTGAAGCCAGGCATAGATGGACACTGGTTCTATGCATGAAGGGCTATCGTATAGTTGGTAGATGGGCTGCGAAAGACGCGAACTGGTACAAGGGTAGCTTCCATGCCGATAGGAAATGATGAATGATGAATGATGAATGATGAATGATGGGTGACCATTCGCAACCCCAGAGAACGGTTGCCACGTTTTCGTGGTCAAGAGGATACGATACTCATACATCACAGAGCAACAGCTCCGAGCAGCGGCTGGTCTTGCTCAGCGGAAACAGGGGTGACGATGGGACGCGCGCCAATCGAGCTCATTAGATTTTACGGCAGAGTACAATTTCTGACAAGCGCAACTATTGTGAAAGGCAATTCAGCCGAACAGCGACACGACGCAAGGCTGCTGCACCTTTGACGCGGCTCTCAATCAACAACCAGGCACTCACATTTATTCCATCTCACCCTGCGGTCGCACCACCTCTTACTCCTTCGCGGCTTGAACAACACAGCTGCTACCATGAACCATTATCCTCAGGCCTGGGGTCGTGTGAGTACCTCGCACTACAATCCGCGATCAAGCTAACTCGAGTAGCCCCGAGATGATGTGTATGGCCCATACGACTCTTCATATCTCCAGACATCCATGCCCCAGACCCATACTCAATCCCCTGCTGTAACGGGGACATCGGTATTAGGGGTGAAGTTCAATGGTGGGGTGGTTATTGCGGCGGATAATCTAGGTATGCGGTCAAGCCTAGTCCCTCAGCTCTTCATTCTAGAATGCTAACCTAATTCCTCCAGCGTCGTATGGCTCTCTGCAAAGATTTACAGATGTCAAGCGTCTGCGAACATTCCCTCCGAACACGGTCGTCGGCTTTGGCGGTGATGTGTCAGACATGCAATATCTCGACCGACTGCTGCAATCGCTGGATATTCGAGAGAACTACCTCTCCTCTACCGGCCACTCCCTCAATGCGCGGAACCTCCATACCTACTTGTCAAAAGTGATGTACAAGAGAAGGAGTGACTTTGACCCTCTGTGGAACATGCTCCTAGTGGCGGGCTTGGACGAGCAAGAGAAGCCGTTCCTGGCCAGCGTAGACCTCCTTGGGACTACTTTCTCTGCTCCTACTTTGGCTACCGGCTTCGGCGCACACCTGGCACAACCTCTGCTGCGCAAGCTGATGCCTAAAGACGAGGAGAGTGTCCAAGACGTGACGCAGGAACAGGCTGTTGATGCTATCAAGGAATGCATGAAAGTGCTGTTCTATCGCGATGCAAGGAGTTTGGACAAGTACAGCATTGCAGTCGTTACCAAGGACGGGGTCAAGCTCAGCGAGGATGAGAAGCTGGAGAACCAGAGTTGGGCATTCGCGGATCAAATCAGAGGTTATGGTACGCAGGTCAACTGAGTGACTACTAAGACCGGACTGTACTCCGTATGCATATGGGCATCGCAGGTGTCCGGCGTCGAAACGGGAACTGCGAGCACTTGACCATAATGCGGTCATCGACGGAGAGCAATGGGATTGATTGATTCCAAATTGACAAAGCTTTCCATCTATGGAAGTTGGAGTCATCCGGTTCCCAGTCACTCCGGGATCCTACACTATATGGTCCTCCTTTGCGGTGGGAAGATCTAGACGATGGGTGCTGCACACTGCAATTGGTTACCCTTGTTCCTGGTGAGTCAACTGGAGGCCTGGGCTTAGCGGCGCTGGTGCTAGTGACACGCGCTGATGACGTGCAGCTCCGCCTCCAAATCCCGAAAATTGGAGGCATTAATTAAATGTTTCTCCAGAAAGTAAAAGATGCCGCCACTGCATGCATCTTGAATATTGTTTCACTATTCATACAATTGAAGTTGCGGTTCTGCACATCTTCACCGTTCCCCTTGGGCTCCATGAGATCGTACCTCATACCTCCCTTATTCTCACCCTGGAATCGACCTCGCAGACTCTCGTTCTCACTTTCAAACGCCCCAATATGGAGGGCTCAGCAGTCCAGCCAGCGCCTGCACCAACCATTAGCAACACCAATAGAGGACAAAGACACAGACGGCAAGGCGGCCCCAGAAGACCTCCACCATCTCAGACAGGCAATTTAGGACCCGTAAGAAATGTCGGAGCAAGAGCCTTTGGTGGACGGCTCACCCGACTACACGCAGAAGCACCGCCTTTCGTTCCAGCGTCCATTGCCCCAATATCGCAGTCGAATTCTCAGTCTCTGTCTGAGTCCCAGGCCCAGCCCGCGAATCCAAGTCCACAGCCTCCTCGCCACAACAAGAAGACGACACCACGACCACGGGGTCAGACGCAACCACAAGGCAGGAGGGGCTCACTGGCACGCTCGACGGCTCCGGACATCGCCACTAGAATCCATGAAGATATACTACACAACGTCTACGAATGTGCCATTTGTACGAATGAAGTTGGGCGGGCCTCGAAGGTGTGGTCATGTCGGACTTGCTGGACGGTGTTTCACATCGGCTGCATCAAGAGATGGTCGAAAAATGAAGGTTCAGCCGTTCAACGATCTGCTGGCCAAAGCGATGAAGAGATGCCCGTCGGAAAGCAATGGAGATGTCCAGGTTGCAATTTACCGAAGGATACACACCCGTCGGCATATACTTGCTGGTGTGAGAAGGAAATAGATCCAAAGGCGGTCACAGGACTGCCACCGCACTCGTGTGGTCAGACGTGCGGTCGAGAGAGGAATTTCCCCAAGCCTTGTCCACATCCTTGCGACCTACTATGCCACGCCGGCCCTTGTCCACCATGTTCTGCAATGGGTCCCAAGCAGAGCTGTTTTTGCGGTAAAGAAGAAACAACCCGGCGGTGTCTGGAAACAAATTACGACGCCGGTTGGAGCTGTGGAGCTGTCTGCGGTGATATGATGCCGTGCGGCGAGCATACCTGCCCAAGGCCTTGCCATGAAGGCCTTTGCGGTGCCTGTACTGCCGAAGTCGATGCCCGGTGTTACTGTGGCAAGGTCGAAAAAATCATCCAATGCAACGACAAGCAAGAGGAAAGGGTTAGTGCTCACTGGGTTGGTCTTTTCGATTGTGGCCGACCATGTGACAGGCAGATGGACTGCGGGATACATCACTGTGAAAAGCCATGTCATCCTCAGGATTCAGCCACACCCCACTGCCCAAGGTCCGTCGACATTGTCACTCATTGCCCGTGTGGGAAGACTCCGGTGGCTGAGCTTGAGAATGAGCCCCGAAAAGCATGCACCGACCCCATCCCAAGCTGTGAGAAACCATGTGGTAGAAAATTGCCTTGTGGCCACTCCTGCGCGCAGACTTGTCACACTGGGGACTGCAGTCCGTGCAACCTCAAGATCTCAACGCCATGTCGGTGCGGTCGCAACTCCTTTGACGTTATCTGCAACCAGATCGCACAAGAACCGCCTCAGTGCACACGTCTGTGCAAGGCTACACTGAATTGTGGTCGGCACGAATGTGGTGAGCGATGTTGTACAGGAGACCGCAAAGCCGCCGAGCGTCAAGCCACCAAGAGAAAGCTCAAAACTCTTGGAAACTTGACGCGGGTGCTGGAAGAAAATATCGAGGCAGAGCACATCTGTACTCGTCCATGTGGACGTCCGCTCAAGTGTGGAAATCACGTCTGCCAGGACCTGTGTCATCGAGGCCCATGCGGCAGCTGCAAAGAAGCAATTTTTGACGACATTTCGTGCAGCTGTGGTAGAACTGTCCTCCAGGCACCACTACCGTGCGGCACTCGATCTCCACCGTGTAACTTTCCATGTAATCGGGCTAAAACCTGCGGACACCCTCCAGTCGCACATAGCTGCCATGCTGAGGACGAAGAATGTCCCAAGTGTCCGTTTCTGACCGAGAAAGAATGCCTTTGCGGCAAGAAGACCCTGAAGAACCAGCCTTGTTGGAGGGCAGATGTGCTATGCGGGTTAGTCTGTGGTAGGGCACTCAAGTGTGGCTCACATTCCTGCCGCAAGACGTGTCACAAGCCAGGTGAGTGTGAAGACGCACATGAGCATTGCCAACAGGCATGTGGGAAGGCAAAGAAGACTTGCGGGCATCCTTGCGAGAGTCCTTGCCATGCTCCGTCAGCATGTAAGGAAGAAAAACCATGTCCTTTCAAAGTCATCATTACATGCGATTGTCAGCGAAAGAAGGAAGAGGTCAGATGCAACGCCCGTGCCAATGTACCTGCGCCCACAGGACGGCAGACTTCGTTGAAGTGCGACGATGAGTGTGCGCGACTGCAGAGAAATCGCCATCTCGCAGAGGCTCTTCACATCCCTGATGACCACACCGATGACCATGTCCCATATTCGACCGCGACTCTCAAGATGTATCTGGAGGATGTTGCATGGGCACACAAGCAAGAAGAAATCTTGAGGATCTTCGCAGCAGACGAAAAGGAAAAGAGATATCACTTCAAGCCGATGAAGAACCGCCAGAGAGCATTCATCCATAGTCTGGCTGAAGACTTCGGACTGGACGGAGAAAGCCTGGACCCCGAGCCACACCGCCACGTGTTGTTGTTCAAGACCCCCAAGTTTGTGAGTGCTCCAATGAAGACTCTTGCTCAAGCGGCAAGGATCAAGCGGGCGCAGTTAAACGTCTCTGCTCCCGTAACCGCCGGGCCGGAACGGAAAGCAGACGAGGTCAAGCACGACTACAATGGCCTCCTATTGACCAAGCCGAAATTTGCCTTGACCGAGGACGAGTTGCGGCCTCTGATCAAGAAATCAGCACCAACCACGGACTTTGACATCATCTTCTTATCCAAGGAGCAGGGCGTAGCACTTCTTCCCACCATGTCTTCTGTCAACCCTGAGCAGCTGGTCACTCTTCTCACAAGCCTCCAGCCTACTATTGCCGGCGAGGTGATGAAAAGTGATATGGGCGCTTCGGTTGTTCTGTGTCAATTTGACACCTCGGATCTCGAGCCCAAAATTGTTGAGCAACAAGGCAGGCCGGGCCCAGCGATCAGCAATGGCTGGTCTCAGGTTGCGGCAAAGAGAGCAGTCCCCATGGCAGCACCTCAAGTCAAGCCTGTGGGACAGCGTCCGGTTTACACTGTGCTGGGAAGTCGCCTGGCAGAAGCAAAAAGGAAGAAGCAGGAGAACGAGGAGAGGCTCCGGAAAAAGGCACAAGCTCAAGACGTTGTGGATGACTGGGAGAAAGCGATCGATCAAGAAGAGACCGCCGAGGTTGACAGGAGGGCCAGCGAGGCTAGCCAGGAAAGCGTCGCATTAGCCTAAGTGTGTTTACTGCAGCACTCAGCTTGCCTTGCATTGAGATATCAAGTAGACGCAGGTCTAGGCGTCAAGTGAGGCCGTGCTTGAGCAGTTGCCAGCTGAACCGAAGGGTCCGAGGTGTCAAGGGGTCCAGTCATTAGTGGAGTAGCCCGGGTGGCTGGTGGGGCAAAGGCCGAACAAAGTTCATCCGATCCGAGATGCATGACGTAACTCGGACCGCTGCCCCTCTCCGTCCTCCCAGCGGCTTCAGTCGCTCGCGTGCTCCTGCACACACCCGTCTTGCAAAACACGAGATCCTTGCTGCCAGTGCCCATACCAGGTTTGCACTTCTCGTCTGGCCCTCGTTCTTGCAGGACCAAGCAGCTTGGCAGCACAGACTGGCTTAAACTGTCACTTGGCTATTGAATGCTCAGCTCCCTATGACACTCGTGTGACCCACATCAGAGTCAATTGTGACTTGCAAGTGATACTGTTATATCCCTTTCTCTCCTCTGTCTCGCACTGTTCCTTCTTTTCCGATCCCAAATTATCAACCACGCCCGGATTCGCCTCCTCTACGTCTCTTAAATCATTCATTAGAAGAAATCCAACGTCGTTGCCAACTTGCAAGCATGGATCAACTCAAAGGCGCCTTCAACAGCTTCTCAGGTGGCAATAACGATCAAGCCAACAAACAAGGTACCACTCAGCAGAGCAGCTCCAGCTCTGGCTCCGGCTCCGGCTCCGGCTCTGGCGGCGGTGGTGGTTTCCTCGGCGGCCTCGGTGACAAGTTCAATTCTGCTGCCGGCGGTGGACGTGAGAGTGAAAAGAACGAGGACTACCTAGACAAGGGTGCGCTTCTCCCGGACCCGTTGAGGAGATTTGTCTACCTTGGTATTGTTTTATGCTAACACGATCATCTCGTTACAGGAATCGACTTCGTCCAAGAGAAGTTCCTCGGCCAAGGCCCTCAAGACAACGAATCTGCCATCGAACAAGCCAAAGATGAGCAGATCAGCGATTTCATTCGGAATCAATGTACGGAAACACCTGCCAACTGATTTACTCTGGACCTTCAAGACAGGATGCTGACATGTTGTTCTCGGTCCAGACAATTCTGCCACTGGCAAAGACATTCCCATCAAGGACAAGCCCACCAAGTTCTAGCAATAGCTCGAGTAAATGAAACCTGGCAAGCTGGAGTGAGGAGGGACCTCGGCGCTGGAAACTCCTGAGGGTGATTCTTCACACGGGATCTGAACATCAACTCTGCTGTACGTGCTTTAAAAGCGGACAGACGAACCTCCAGGGCTGGCTGTACAAATCAGAGGACGATGGACTACTCAGCTGCTGGAACATCACTCCGGGCGACAAGGCATCATTAGATAGAGGAAGCATTCATGACCCATTCACGAGAAATGGCAACGCGTACAATCTTCGAATAGCCTCCGCTGAATCTTAGTGGCTCACAACACACCTCCAAAGCTAGATGCTCGTCCGTTCTTACGACATGGACCGCAGGGCCTGAGTGCTTTCAACCGCCGAAATCACCTTGCCTCTCGCAGTTAGAAACCAAACTCCGAGCTACCTCTAACGGTGCTCACGGCCAGCTGAAGAATTCAAATTTTTGTCTATCTCACCAGGTTGGGTATCCGTCAATTCGTCCGGTCATGCAACATTCGACACCTCCTGCACCACCACCACTGCAGATTCTGCCCCAAACGACGGCGGTTCCGCATGAGGGGGCAATGTTGATAGCCCGTTGTGGAACAGAGTTCGCAGCGCCGTGCTCATTCCTCGTTGCTCGTTGCTCGTTTCTCGCACCCTACCATGTGATGAAGAGCCGTTTGTAATTCTCCAATCTAGAGTAGCACACACGCACGCACGCACGCTTCTCCGCGTCTCCGGGGCATACACGGCGCCAACGCCCGTGGAGTACTGCCGTTAGTGGTGGAACAGCCGCGTGCTCTGCTCGATGAAGGTGATGCCCAGGTTTTCGGCCGTGTCGAAGACGGCGCCGTCGTTCTGCGACCCCGTCGGCGCGGCGATGTATTTGACGCCACTTCGCGCGGCGCGGTAGACGTTGTCGACGAAAGGGAACTGTGGTTTGGAGAATAAGAATTAGCGTCAGTTGTCACTTGCTTTTTTTCTAGACGTGAGGACGGGAGGTGAGGAGGAAAAGGACCAAAAAACGTACGAATGCATCGCTGCTCACAGCCACTTCGCTCAGCTTGGCGAGCCACTCTCTGCGTTCGGCGTGCGTGAATGGCGTGGGAACCTGGCCCTCGGCGAAGTTACGCTCGTAGTCGGCCTTTTCAAAGTCGCTGAGATCGGCGTCGACCTGGCCCGAACAGAGCATGTCGATGGCGTTGGACTTCTCGGCGCGCTTGACGCCCTTGGCCCACTGGATTCCGAGCGTGCGCTCGTGGAAGCGCATCCACCAGTTATCCGCCTTGTCGCCGGCCAGGCGCGTGCAGTGGATGCGCGACTGCTGGCCGGCGCCCAGGCCGACGACCTGGCCGTTGAGCGCGTAGCACACGCTGTTCGACTGCGTGTACTTGACGGCGATGGTCGCGACGGTGAGATCGCGCAGCGCCGAGTCCGAGAGGGGGGACGATGACGGGCTCGCCGCCGCGTCCTTGGGGCGGATGATCGAGTTGAACGTCTCGGTGGGGGAGATCTTGACGTCGTTGCGCCCCTGCGTGAGGTTGACGCCGTAGACGGTGCGCGTTTCCTGGGCCGGCGGCTCGTAGCTCTCGTCGATCTGGAGCACGAGGTATTTGCCGCCCTTTTTCTTCTTCAGCAGCGCGAGCGCCTCGGGCTCGTACGCCGGCGCGATCACCCCGTCCGAGACTTCCCTCGAGATGATCTTCGCCGTGGGCACGTCGACCTTGTCCGACAGCGCGATCATGTCGCCGAAGGAGGACATGCGGTCGGCGCCGCGGGCACGGGCGTACGCTTGGGCCAGGCCCGACGATTCGATCCCCTCGATGTCGTCGACCATGTAGACTTGGCGTTCTCGCTCCGAGAGGGGCACCGCGATGGCCGCGCCGGCGGGAGACACGTGCTTGAAGCTGGCCGCAGCGGGGAGGCCGAGCGCTTGCTTGAGTTCTTTCACCAGCGGCCACGCGTTCAGGCAGTCCAGCAGGTTGATGTATCCTGGAGAGCCGCCGAGGACGGTGAAAGGCAGGGCCCCCTGGCGCACGAAGGCCGAGGCCGGTTTCTGATGGGGATTGGCGCCGTAGCGCAGCGAGAGTTGCTGCACGCCATTGCCTGCGTATTGTTTGCGGAAGAAGTCGGAGATGGCGGCGTCGTAGTCGGCCGTGTGTTCGAATGCCTTGAGCGCGTACCTCTGGCGGCTCTCGCCGGGGATTTCACCGCGTTCTAGCTCCTCCAGGAAGTGATGGTAGTCCGCCGGGTCGCTGAGAATGGTTACGCGCGAGTGGTTTTTGGCGGCCGCGCGGATCAGCGTCACGCCGCCGATGTCGATCTCCTCCACGGCTTCAGGGATGGTAACGTTGATCTTGGCGACCGTGTCCTTGAACGGGTAGAGGTTGCACACCACGTAGTCGACCTTGTTGATGTTCTGGTCCGCCAGGTCCTTTTCGTCCGAGGCGAGATCCCGTGCTAGGATCCCTGCGTGCACTGCCGGGTGTAGGGTCTTTACCCGACCGGACAGCATCTCGGGGGCCTTCGTGATCGCTGAGACATCTCTGCTGGGACTCAGTAGGGGGGTCAACTAGTAAGGGATCTCGTGAATTTTACTCGACATCAAAGCCAGCCTCTCGGATCAATTTTGCTGTGCCGCCGGAAGCGAGGAGCCGGACGTTGTTCTTGATCAAGCCCTTAGCGAGGTCGAGAAGACCGGTTTTGTCGAAGACCGACAAGATAGCTGGGATAGTCAGACGAGTCCTGCAGACCTCTTGTGAGTTATTCGATGGTACAGACGTACCTATCTTTTGTGAACTCATGGTGGGGTTTCTTCGGCCGAGGATGAGAGCAGGGTCTGAGCTCGTTTACAGATGACTTAGGTCGCTATGGCCCTCGACCTCATCGGTGATCGGAAATCGATGCGTGACTCGAGTTACGCTGTTTTAAATATGTGACGGGGATAGATTTTTCGTCTTTCGAGCCACGATATGTACATTTTTACTACCACGAACCGCTTGGGGCGAGAATTTCCGATATTTGCGCTTCGGAGTCTTTGCGCCCCCACGTACGCCAAGACTACGGCGAGTCATATAAGCCTCCGGGCGTCGGCTAGTCGTACAAAACTGCACGCCAAGGTGGCGTTACATGCCCTTCGATCAAGCATCTGAGCTTGATCGAGCTTTGTTCGCTTGTCTTCGTGATCGGCATCCGGAGTGCTGCTGACCAGCCCCCAACAGGCGAATGACCGCTTGCAGAGAGGCTGCCTGTTCCTGGTACCCTCGCAGCATTATGACATATGCGAATCGACCACGCGAGGTGTGTCAACGTCCATGACATCAACGGATGCTGCGAAATAGCACACTCACCACACTGATCTGCGTAAACGGACTGCATCGACTTCGTCGCTTTCTGCCACTACATTTTGCTCGTCGAAGCACATGTCTAAACACTTGTCAGCTGATTCGTCAATTGGCTCGAGGCAGGATTCGGTTCAGCCTGGTCGAAAGATGGGATTTTGTGAATGTTTACGCCCTTGAAGAGGCCACATGGAAACGACTTCAACGTCATCCCTTCAATGGGGTTCCGTCCTTGATCATGCAGGACAGGACATATACGTGATGGCTGCCAGACTGACCTTTGACCGCAGAGTCCGTATCACCCCCAGATTCGTGGAGCTCTACTGCTCCCACTATCCCATACCTTGACGCGTGCTGCTGTCCTGCAACAATGCAGACTCAAGACTTTGGGGAGCGGAGGCGAGATACCCTCGTTGCTCCTACTGAGCGAGACGTCGCGTTCCAAGGTTTACCGGCTGAGCACGAGTCACTCTTGAAAGAAACGTTGTATCCTGATGACGCCTACAGCCATCAAACCTACTGGTACGTACTTACTCCCGTCAGGTTCATCTCAACAACAGCCACAAGAATAACACTGATTCGACCCTGGTGATAGGGCCGACCTACCCACTGGTGAACGTACCAAATGGATCAACCGGCAGCACAGCACAGAAGCCAGTCGAGAATTGAAGGAGGTTTGGGCTATGTTCAAAGATGATCCCTTGGCCCCATTTTACAGATACCTCCGCAACTATGCTGTTACTGGAGTCGGCTTCTTCACTGAAGGATACGTGTTGTTCTCTGTTGGAAACGTCCTGCCTCTCCTGGAGGTGGTTTGGCCACGTTGCTGGGACGAGCACGAGATCTGCAACAAGACCATGGTGCAGGCGATCAGCTACATGGAGATCCTTGGTATCATAGGCGGTCAAATCATGGTTGGTATCATCGGCGATTGGATTGGCCGGCGCTGGGGTCTCATTCAAGATGCGGTCATCATGTTGACTGGAACTATTCTGCTCACATCCATGTGGGGAGTCACCTTGTCCGGTTGGACCGTGATGTACGGAATCAGTCTCTTCTGGTTTTCAATCGGAGTGGGCGGCGAGTATCCGATGACCTCATCCACGGCGATGGAAGGGATCCATGGTGCAGCGACTTCAAGACACGATCGCTTACACCGAGGACGCTCCGTTGCACTAGCATTCTTGATGCAAGGTTGGGGCCAGCTGGGAAACCAGCTGGTCCTCATCGTCGTCATGCTCATCTTCAACCATAGCATCAACCCTGGATACGGCAAGACCGCGGCGCAAGCAACCTTCCGAATCTCCTTTGGCATTGCTATACTGTGCCTGCTTCTCTTCCTGTACATTCGTGTCTACAAGCTGAGAGGAGTGGATGATTCTCTCAAGGCTTCCAGGAAGAAGGGTCAGGTTACCGGATACGACGTCACGTCTCTCAAACTCACAATGAACCACTACTGGCACCGACTCCTGGCGACAAGTTTGTGTTGGTTCTGCAACGACTTCCCCTTCTACGGTAACCAGATCTTCCGCAACGTCTTCCTCCAGATCGTTACGTCCAGCTCCGACGAAGTGGGGACATTGTGGCTGTACAACCTCATCAACATTGGTTGTGAGCTTGTGGGGTACTATTTAGCCGCCCTGCTGATGGACCACAAGCTATATGGGCGCAAGAGGATGCAAGCTGTAGGGTTTATCATGACATTTATTTTGTTCATCATCGCCGCGGCTGCCTATCCAGTGCTGAACGTCAAAGGGCCAGGAGGCAAAGCTTTTGAATTTATATACTTCTTCAGCAGCTTCTGGATCCAGTTCGGACCCAACTCCACCACCTTCCTGGTTGCCGCAGAAGTGTATCCGGCACGGGTGCGGGGCACGGCACACGGTATCAGCGCTGCTGTAGGCAAGCTGGGTGCGCTGGCGGCAACCGTCCTTTACAACTATATTGGCGGAAGGACGAAGTTCTGGGTAAGTGACCTCCTGCTTCTACGGCGACTGCACTAACACGGAGAATAGGTTGTGAGCTGGTTCGGACTCATTGGTTTCATTCTTACAATGCTGTTCATCCCCGACACGACCGGCTTGGATCTCCGCGAGCAGGAGCGATACTGGCACTTTGTTGGCGAAGGCAGGCCACAAGACTACCACGGCATCGCTGTCCATCCTAGGCACCTTAGCTGGTACGAACGTGTCGTTTTGAAGAGACATCTCGGCTACAACCCTGACTTGGACCGCCAAGATCGAATCAACGAGCTGCGTGAGTTGTACGAAAAGGTCGAGGGCGCTAAAGCTGCGGAGGTGGACGAGGAGAAGACTTTGCCAGGCACTAATGAAGCCGATCTGGACGACAATGTTAGCAGGTACTTCGAGCTGGAAAAGACAAGTACGAAGACGCAGTCCTCATGACTGCTGGTTCGTGAATACGGTAACAGTCAATACCATTCACAGATACGATCACGAGATAATGCTATCCTTTAAAGTTTGCTTATAGCCGGATTCAAATTTTTTCAGCCTCGTGCCTGGTTTGCTGTGAAGACCCTTTTACGCAGCGGTCAGGTCGGTCACTTTGTCAACAAGAGGCAGCTGTCGAAACAGTGAAGGTGTTTGTGCATTTGAAAGGGCGCAAAGAGCATATATCTATGAGACGCGCCCATTACTTTCCCGTCGTAACACACTCCATATCAATATATTAAGGTCTCACTGCATCTACAGATCGTCGACGAAACTATACATATCTTGCCTACCACCCGCCAACACTCGCACCTGAGACAGCTTCCGCTCCATCTCCAGCTCCAGCGACTTTATTCGGGATGACAATGCTCAACATGCTGAAATGGTTCGCAGGCCTGTTCCTCCTGGCGATGACCCTCCAGCCAGCTGCGACAGCGGACACGTCGAGAATCTTCCGCTTCCCACAAGGCACGGACCAGGAAGCCGAGCACGAAATGAGACAAGCTCTCGCCGATGCAATGACCCTGGCCAGATTCGTCGCCATAACGACCATCCCCTGCGAAGAGAGCTTCCTCCGATATTTCACGCCCGCGGACTTCCTGCTCGTCCAGCGCGTCTTCCGCACCATTGCCAACATCCCGTTCAACCAGCAGTTTGATCCCCGGAACGTGGGGCAGATCCTGCAAGCACTGGCCGTGTATGCTCCGCTGAACCCGAAGTTCAACCAATTGTCCATCGCCCTAGGTGACAATCCAGACGTTGGACCGCCGGACCCGAGCACCGAGGGGTATAGCAATACCAGGAAGTGCAGTGACGGCATCTACGCCGGGCTCATGCTGTATGACCCCCCGAGATATGGACGTCGGGGGTTGATGTCCTTGTGTCCACAGACATTCGAGACATTTTACTCCCTAAGGGATATCGAGCATCCTCCTGCATGGGCGTTAGACGAGAACGGTAATCCCGAGGAAGGGTTTAGCTGCACCAACATGCTCGACAGGGATACCGATTATATGCTCAGTCCCGGGGCTATTCTCCTGCACGAGTTGCTGCATTGGTAAGTAGACACTCTCTGAAGGCCTTCATTCCTGCGGAATGATGGTTCTGGTTGGTTGGGATGGTCCGCCAATAACGTTCTATACTTGACACTGACGAAGAATTGTGTCGCATTACAGGCCGTATCTCTTCCAGGATATCCCCGGGTATTCGACCCTCGTGCGCCAGTATCCGCACAACGACTATTCCAAGATCTGGGATTTCCTGGGACCGAGCCCCTCGGACGGTTACGGTAAGTGCTGGTGTTGTATCGTCTTGTTTTGTCTCGTCCTTCATTCCCACCAAGGGAGGCAGGCGGAGGGAGTGCGTGCATACAGACACAGATCCATGTCGAGGCCATAGACCCCATCTTTCTCGTACCCTATGTTGCATTTGCAGGTGGGTCGGCACTAACGTGACATTTCAGGTCCCTACAACGCCATGGCCGTGAGGAACTTACCCGTCTCACCCATCACCGGGACATCTCAGGCCATCCAGAACGCCGACAACTTCGTCTGGTACGCCGTGAGCAAGTACTGGGGTTGGCGTTGCGGGAGGCAGTTTAAGCGTTCCACCTCTGCAGAAGACGCCGAGCTGCGTGGCTTTCTGGTCCGGGACAATGGCTTGAGTGGCGGGCTTCGATAAATGGTGGAGCAGATGCAGGCAGATGAGGATGATTCTGCTGGGTATACGACAAAGAAATAGCTGCGAGAGATTGCGAATGCTTACAGTCAGTAAATGCTAAGGCGGGGATACAGAGCTGCTTCTGATCAGTGAATAGGTGTCTCTGTTTCCCTTGAGTCCAGCTTGAAATTGATCGAGATTCCCAGCGGCGTAGATCTGTCTCTCGAGTGTGCTGAACACGATACCGCCAATTTGACCGCAGTAAGAGAGGCGGACACAGGGCATAAGGAGCGTCCTCCCGCCAGCTCTCCATGGGGCGTAGCCGCCAGCCTGGCCATAGGTGTCATACACAGTATGTACTCCGTACTTTGTACGATACTTGGTCCATGTCTCCAACATGTCCCCTCCGCACAACTGGAAGAGCCGTCGATAGATCTTAGCACGCAGCAAGCATGTAGTGAGATGCGGGTGGTGAGGAAATATGGGAAGGATCTGCTGGACGGGATTGTTTACTCACCCGTAGTGGAGGGGGCACGTGAGGAGGGAACATTTCAGTGTGACGCTACCCGAATAAGGTCTAGCGCAAAATACGGAGTATCTAATCGTGGTCTGAGTCACGCCTGGGAGCCTTGCACTCAAATGGCCAATCACCGTTCACCTTTGCGGCTCTGCCACCACATAGTCACAGTGACCCTGATAGAGCGTCCGCTCTTTGGGGCAATCTACTGGGATGCTGACTTTTGTGAACGTGCACACAAGGATGTATGGGTGCAAGCAAACCCCAGGAACGTTAGACTCTTTAAAGTTCCTTTGCCGTACCCCATCCTTCACCATCAATTGGATGCATATTGCCAGCGACTCTCGGCAAACTTTGCTAGACTTCGTCGAAGTAGCGAAGTCCAGTAAGCGAATCTAGTCAATTGCAAGCCGCAACCTGTATTTGTGGGAAGGCCCGATCGGTTAGCGGTGGGTTTCCTGTTGAATCCACAGCTGTTTCCGAAGCTCGATGTGGCCGTCCATCACTCTCAGGCTTTATCCGGCTTCAGACACAGGTTGGAGTCACATCACCACCAGGACTGCCTGCACGGACAGCTCTCGATCACTTCCAGAGTGCGTTGGTGTTTCGTCTTCACTGTCGATAACTGACAAGTCACTGCGCGACCCTCTTCTTATTGCTCCTCTTGTTCCTGTGTCACACTTGCCGGCCGTCACCAGAGACTTCCCCTCCTATTCACTAGCCATTCACTGGCCACTCACCTGCATGGACTTTATGTAACCGCCAGGTCCAGTCCAGCCCAGTGTCACTCACCTTAGTTGCCATTCACATTGACACAACAACCCACGAAAGAATCCACGTCGTCATTTTCTCGATATCATTTTGACCGATCCTCAACTCTCAAGGCTGCCTGTTTCGTCAAGCATCCTTCCCATCGCGCTCAGCTCTCATCGTCTCATTGAGTCTCTCAGCATCACTCAGAATCTCTGTGCTACTCGACGGACGCATTGTCAGCATGTGGCTTCCGAATCCCACTCGTGATCGCACCCTTCCGAATCGCGGCCGTCGAAATGATCTCCGGCCAGCCTTCCAGCCACGAATTCAACCTAACCCGTGTGCCCAAGTCAGTGTCGCATCACCGGGAGCTGGTGCTGTGGCAAACGTCGCAAAGCCTGTTCTTTCTCGCCCAGCCAGGCCTTTTCGCTTCTTCGATCTGCCTGGTGAAATCAGGAATCGCATCTATGACCTCGTCGTACCCGAAGCCCGAGTCATTGTCTCTGGTACCCATCCTCAGAAGCAACTCCAACAGTTGAAGAAGCGTGAGCCCAAGAAGAAACACCAGGCGCCTCGATACCATCTCCAGGGCACATTCGCAGGCGGATCGACAGAGGCTTCTCTTCTCTTCTCCTGTCGCCAGATGAATTGCGAAGCCGTCCAGTATGTGTACGCCAGAACAACATTTTGCTTCACAAGCTTCGTCGTCCTCAGAAAATTCCTCGGTACTGTCCCCGAGGCAGCTCGCTCGAGCATCGTGAGCCTAGAAATCACTCATATCGGATACGGCGAGCCCCCATTGCTGGCGGACCGCGAGTGGAAGCTGAGACACGACGCCAAGTGGTCTGCGGTACTAAATCAAGTCAAACAACAAACGGCACTTAGACGACTGGTCATCGACATAACCAACTTCGACTGGCCCATCCAACTCGAAGCCAGGGAACCATGGGCTAAACCCTTGCTTGCGCTTGGGGCTGATGGTCTGGATCGTGTCGACGTCACGCTGGAGCATGACGGTTTCCCACGGGACAGGTGCACAGCAGCAGCGAAAGAGCTCGAGAACAGGATGATGACTAGGGAGGGCAGGAAGCAGAAGAGACAAGAGGAGAAGCGCAAAGCAGCCGACGACAAGAAACGGCTCGAAGAGGCAACACGCAAGGCCACAAAGGTGTTGACTATCAAGCTTCCAAGTGGCGCGACACAGATAAGCGGACCAGTCAAGAAAGTTGTCAGAAGCAAAGGCCTCGAGCAGTATGCGGTTGCGCAACCTCCGATCGCGTTCTGCTAAACGCTGTGTGATTCCCGGCTTGTGTGGGTGGGGAAGAAATTGAGCTCTGATGGCGGCTATTTGATATCTGCACAAGGGACGGACAGTGCAGCACGATAGCATCATAGAAAGCACTTTTACGGCAGCGGTGGCGGAAGAAGAAAAAGCTCATGAAAGGAAACTACTGCATGGCTTTGCTGAGTGGTGAGGGGGAGGAGTGCTGCACATTCATGCGGGAAACCTGCAGCAACCCAGAAAGACAACACACATTAGTACCCCCGCCAGAAGCGCTACGCACGAGATAGCAGAGGCTAACCGCGCACAAAAGCCGGCAATGATCAATATCAATCCAAACAGAGGAGACTTGGGGGAGACGGCCTCGGTCATACGCGCTCCTCATGGTGATCCACCCATGGCGGTTGCACAAAAGGATGCGGAGAACGGAGGACGGAGGACGATTTGCGAGTTACTGAGTGCCCTGGACGATGCGTTGAATCTCTAAAAATAGGTGCCAAGGACAGAAAGTGGTGGAAGCACGATCCGGGAAATCGTGGCTGTGGCAGGCTGGCTGCACGCCATAGAACTTCAACCATGCAAGCACTGAACGCGGGCAGTCTCCCGTCAGTGCGAGGCACGAGGGCCACGAGAGTCACTTGAATCCTCTGTCATCGACCTGGACTTGGACCCAGAACGAATCGACCGGTTAGTTACTGAGATCTCGCACTCCGTACTCCGTACTGTGTAGGCAACAGAGGCCGCAAAGCCACGAGATTGCAGCTCCTACAAGAAGCCATCATTCAGGCATCACTCAGCCATCTCTCAGTTCATCCTTCGCACCACCTCAAGCAAGCCCCTACAACGTGTACTTCGTAACTCGTACCGTCATCACGTCTGCCTCGGGCATCTGTGCAGCCAGTGATACATTCATAGAAACAATGTTTCTCGATCCCACCTCCACTTGCTGGAGGTGAAGGGCCATCGGCAGTCCCAAGCGTCTAATGCAGAGCCATGCAAGGCCCAACGGACGCTGAGTGGCCGGGGATGTGATGGCCCCGTGTCGGGCATCTGATTCGCTCTTTGCCAGCGCTTCACCGGCGCCTCTCGTCCAACCAAGCTGTTCTGCCCACCTGCCGTCACGCGGTCGCTGCTGCTGCTCGACTCCATCTGCTGCCACCTGGACCTGGATTCTCTCTGTGCTCGCCTTTGCTCTCGTCCAACCGCCCGCGCGACTCGATTCAAGCGCCCATCAATCCCATCTCGGAAATAAATGGCTTCATCTTAACATAGTAGTCCATGATTATTGGAAAGGTAGACCAGCGGTACAATCGCATTTACTTACTCAAGCAGATCCTTCTCGTCGTGCATTCTTCTCTTCCTCTTCTCACCTTCAGCCTCAGTCCTTTCTTTCCGTGTAGAGATTCCTTCGACGCTCGCGCAGGCTTCGCTGAGTACATTTCGTTTGGTTCTTGGCCCCTTGTCCGAAGAGCCGTTGCCCAGCACTGCCCAGCACAATCCTACTGCTGGCCCTACATACACGTACTCGTAGTGCGGGAGAAGCAGCAAGAGACTCGACCGGCCGATTCACCGACCGCAAAGCGCCAATTGCCACAACGCTTGTTCCACCCTTCAGTCCCAGGCACACAATCAGCACTCGGTGTCTGCTGCTTCAGTTCATTTGCCTGTGCCAATCGCACAAGTCACATTTGTCCCGGCGAAGCGCCTCGGGTCAGCTTCTCTCGAGTCTCGGCCAACCTATTACTCGACCTACTCGCCCATTATCCATCTCACTCTCTTTCCCAAACCACCTCATCGTCTGTCTATATCATCTCTTCGGATGATTCAGAGCTGGTTCTCGACGACGTAGCGGACACACTCGATCCATCAACGCCCTCTCGCACCATATATGTCACTCTGATCTCGTGCAGCTGGGGCTTTCCGTCTCACGTCAGCATCGGCACGCTACCAGTCACGACCCCGACGCACACGCAGTAATTGCAAATCACATCGGGGAATCCCTGTTCCACGTTACTCTCACCGGTACCACCCCGCCTCACTGGGCTGAGCTCGCTTGACACTATCGACGCGTCCGATAAAGAATAGTCGAGTCCCACCAGCATCATGTCTCCGCCCTCCAACTTCGAACCTGTCTCACCTATCGACCTCACCGCCGACCCCAGACGTTCTCGTCGCAGCGTAGGCTTCAATATCAGCGCTGAAGACCTCGACGAGAAATCCAACATCAAAGCGTCAACCCGATCGATACGCACAAACTCAACAGCATCTACACGTTCCTCCACGGCTGGCGGTAACCAACCCGTGGTGAGGCGGGCTCGCTTCGCCGAAGCCACGACTGTCTTTTCACCCGCCTCTGGCCCTGGCGAGCACCAGTCGCCTTTTGCTGATCCGTCGTCCAAGATGGAGAGCGCCAGCACGAGTCAAGCCGCGAAACCGTCAGACGTTGGGTTCGGCTACATTTCAGACAATCAACCCGTAGAACAAAATGTATACATCACATCAGACCCCAACGGTCCAGCGGGACAACCACTCAAATCCGCACTAAAGACCCCGGGCACGGCATCGAGAATGCTCAATCCTTTGTCACCGACATTCCGAGAAGAACAGATTTTGGAAAAGGAAGAACTGAAGACTGAGATCCAACAGGCCAATGACCTGGTGAGTCCACTCGAATTCTCTCATGCGGGCTGCATTGACTAACGTTTTCACTCAGAAAGTCAAAACTCGTGTCCGCATGGCCAAGATGGTCCTACGAGGCGTCAACTTCTCCTGCTCACTCATCGTCCTCGCCATGCTGTCTACCGTGCTTACCATCTTCCACGCCACGAGGAACCTCCCCAACCGCAACAATCTGCCCGCTTGGGCCCCGAAACAGAAAATCTGGCCGCAGATCGTCGTGCTCAGCATCGCCTGCGTGTCCCTATTGTTTTCCATCGTTGTCATATTGGCTTATTGCAGGGGCGGCCACCGCCGGGCAGAGAAGGTCGCCGTTTATTACACCATGTTTGCGGTCGGCTGGTTCATGTTCAGCATCGTCATGTGGCTCGTCGGCGCCGGCATCTTGCACGGGAGTAAGTCCTCAGGTGGTGGACAGGACCTCTGGGGCTGGTCTTGCAAGGACAACAAGCGACGACAGCTCTTCCAGGATGACGTCCATTATGCCTTGGTCTGCCGTCTGCAGGATTGGTCCCTGATCTGCTGCATCATCGAGGTCGTCGTCGAAGTGCTTGTCATCGCCATCTACGGCATCGTTTTCTACCGATTCTGGTCCAAGAACCGTCTGCGAAAGTCCATGGACGCCCGAGATCGCGCGCGCACAGATCTTTACCTTGCCCAGTTGAGGACCCAGTCTGCGCCCAACACACCGGGCTTCGCTCAGACTCCTCGCACCCCAGGGTTCCCCACCATGATTAAGACTCCCATGGACGCATACTCGGCTGCTGAGCAGGGATCGAGTCCAACTCAATTCGTTTCGCCACATTCCGCCACCAGCAACACCACAGCCTCCCCATTCAAGCTACAAGCACCGCCTAGCCGCGTCACAAAGGCGACACCCACGGCCGCGGCAGTAGAAGTCCACCCGTCTCCGTCACAGGAGAGATCAGCCATGTCGACGAGTCCTTCGCCGCCGCCGCCCACAAGGGCGATGAGCCCACCTATGTCGCCTCCACCAGAAGAAAGATTCCACGCACACGTGGCTGCGGCGCCGGGTGAGCAGGTATACGAGGCCGTCCCCATCCCAGGGGCCAACTACGTGCCTCCAAGCCAGCACCACCCGGGGCAGGCATTTTGAGATGGGAATGGACGAGTAGGGGGGAGAGAAAGGAAGATGTGCTGAAGAATGCACACTTACATATGTACAGGAATTAATAACTTTTTACGTCTGCCAAAGCCAGGAGTATGAACATGAGTACGAGAGTTTGAGATATCAGAATCATTTCCGAGCGTCTACATTTAGGCCTACGGCATGGAGTGCAAGGCAGGCAGGCAGGCAGGACCACCCACACCGGGGACCATTCATTTCATTTCATTTCATTTCATTTGATCTCATTTTGACTCTTTGAAGCCCGTCGTGTTTTCCTGACTCGACCGTGCAATATCTCAGTGATAGTACGGAGTACGGTGTATAGTGTTGGGATATGCAGTTTCCTCCCAGAAATCAACATCGACACCAATATCCACACGTTCTACGTACAGTCCCGGACAACATAGCGTACTCATGTATGTATGTATGTGTACGTTGTCTGTGAAGAAGAGGTGAGGTGCTCTCGTGGCTGTACTGTGCTGTGCTATGCTGTGCTGTGCCCTCCAACTTTTCGCGAGTATTCGCAGGACTTGGTCAATGTATATACGGCGTCTGTCTGTCTGTCTATAAAAGAAGAGAAGAAGTGGCTCTTGTGCTGTGCTGTGACGCTCGGGATCGGCCCGTCTGATTTGCACTCCGTACTCCTCTAGGTATTTGGGGCCGGTGCTGGTGCTGGTGCTGGTGCTGGTGCTATCGCTGTTTCGAGTGCACGGAAGACCTTGGTTGGATACATACGGATATAAACATCAAGTATTGAGAATGGTTCTCGCCGCACCTCCAGCGGCGTTAGTTACCGGTGGTCGCGTGCGTGCCGGGCCGCGGTTCGCTTGTTGGTTCTAGTGGTTCTGGTGGTTCTGGTGGTTGAAAATGGCTCAGGCAGTATACTCTTGTACTCTTGTACTCTTGTACTCTTGTGATCTCGTTACTTCAATACTCAATGCTTCAATGCTTTAATACTCAATGCCTCACTACTCAATGCTTCAATACTTCGAGACTGGTACTTGATTGATTCGGTCCAAGAGATACGGAGTGCATAGGATTAAAATCTCCGGCCCAACCAGGGTATAGTCCAGCACGATCCAGCCCATACCGTCTTCAAAGAGCAGTCAGTATACTCTTGTAATCTTGTGATCTCATTGCTTCATGGTTTAATACATCAATACTCGTACTTGATCGATTTCGTCCGAGAGATACGGGACGGGGGTGTATAGAAACGAGTTCTCCAGCCTAAATTGGGTACAGTACACTATAGTACAGTACAGGCCACGCCGTCCAAAGAGCACACAGCGTGCAATGTTTGGTGCACATATCCTCCGCATCATCAATGCCGGCCTCTCCCTGCTGCGTCTGTTTCTGCTCTGCTTTTCGCTCCTCTGTCGCTCCTCGACGGCTTCCATTCTCAGCAATACCAACGCTCGCAGCTCACACTCATAGCCATTGGCCTACTCACACCTATTACCTTCAGAAGCAGTCACATCAGTCCACCGTACGGATCATCGCGCCGCTCGTAATATGCTCGCTTCTCACCTCCGCTGGCCCACCTCTGCCGTTGCGCCGACGCGTTCGGACCTGCCGAGACCCTAAAGCCGAAGAATGTGTGCGACTTGACCGCCGAGTCCGTCGGTGGTTGAGACCTAGACTTCGAATCGTGATGCAAGTTGAAGTAATGGTGCGACGACGTTTTCGCCGGGGTGTGCTGTTGTGTGACCCTCGAGCTGGTTGTGATATTCCGGTCTGCGTGTCCTGATGCTGCAGAAACGGCGGAGGAAGGATCGCGCGAAAACATCGCCCTCACAGATTCCATCTCGCGAACATGCTTCGCGTAATCTAGTTCGAGGACGTCATGCCCTGTGTGGTGGCCCTGCTTGATCTGGCCGAGATATTCCTTGACGGCGTCGCCGGCGAAGGCCAGGACGAGATCCGCGTCAAATGCGGTGGCGGGCTCGAGGATGTCGGCGCCGAAGAGCATGTCTAGCGCCGCGCGGAGCCAGTCTTCCTCGGGTCCGTATGTCGGCGTGCGGTACAGGAGTGGCGATAGTTTCGGTGCGAGTTTCGCGACAGACAGGCTGTGCGTCGAGAGCAGGATGCGTACTGACAGGGTAAATGGCTCGCTGGGGACATCCGAGGAAACACTTGTCGTTGTCCGAGGGGTATCCGTCGGCCCTGTTGGATCGGACGAGCTGATCGGGACAGGAAACTCCTGTTGGCGGAGTTGATGCTTGTGCATGTCGAAGAGAGCTGTCCCTGGCCCTGTTCTGACGTCGTTGTCGTCCTTCGCGACACGCCGTTGCGACGAGAAGAAGGACTTAGCTTTGGGCCTGGTCGTAGCTCGGGACGGTTGTGGGGCTGAAGAAGTCGGGCTAAGGAGTATGGCCCAGTGAATAGCGTTGGCGCCTTGAGACGACGACACCGGCTGCGCGGGCGTGAACCCTAGAATTGTGATTTGTGACATGATGCGAAGAGTCTTCGCTTCGCAAAGGACGAGGGAGGCAGGATGCTTGTTCTCTGCACTCGTGCTGAACTTGCTCGATGATCCTTGGACGAAGGAATGGCCAAAGTCTACGTCATAAGACCTCCCAAGACTTGGAGACGGGGAGTCTGCCAATCTAGGACCTCGCGCTGCTCTGTATATCTTTCCACTTCAACAACTTCGTGAACTTTCTGCGAAGATAGGTTGTAGTCAAGCCTTGTTGATATGGCGTAGACGTGTTCGACGCTAGCGAACACGCTATGAATCCTCCCGACGCAGCCTCCGCTGACTTGATGACTGTACGTGTAAGGCTGATGCCTCTGGCAGGTGGGATGACGAGTGATCCGCGGCTGATGTGGGAGAGCTGATCGGCCACTCTGAGAGACTCGCGGCCGAGATCTGCTTCGACGCTGGTTGAACGAGCTGTTATTGGTGAGAATGGCTCCTCGGAATCGAATTGACAAGTCACTGTCTTGAGGCGAGTCTTTTGCCAGAGGGCCTGTTTATGTATTCAACCTCCTCACGGTCTTTCTGCTGTCAGGATGCGGAATGAGATAATCGCGCATGCGTTGTTCTCACTCGGTCCTTGTGTTGCCTCTTTCCCCCAGCTTCCAATACGCTTGATATCGGTTCTGCGTGCTTAGGCTGGAAGAGAGTAATAGTAATACTGCTGAACAATCCTGTTGATCTGTACGTGCGAGAGCAACAGCACAGGGACTGTCCAGGAGTGAAGCCTCGAGCTGATTGGCAAGCGCTTTGAACACTGAGTAGTAATCAGGAATATTGGCCGTGAGATTCGAATGAAACGGGCCGAGTGAGTCGTTTAGGAGTGAGGCCAGTTGCGTTGCTCGCACGGTGGATTAAGCAGCCTGGCATATGACTGCTTGGATGCCCGGATCTGGTCAGGGGAAGAGCAGCTGGACAAGGAAACTGCAGGAAACGAAGGTCTTTCATATATATCACAAAGAGGATACATTACCTTTGAGCGGCCTTAGATCGGCCACGGATTGACGAGCATAGAGCATGTGCCCCCGGGGAAAAGGGTGATGACATTGGATGGCGATGAAATCACGCATGCTGCCCAAACGAAAGCGGTTGAAACCATCAAAAGCAGCTCAAATGTTGATGTCTAGTGATGCTTGAAATGGCAAGCGAGAGAAGCGAACGACGGATGAAGTAATGTTGCGGCAATTAGTCCGGTCGAGTCTTGGGAGCAGTGGCGGACAGTGGATGATCTGTCTGGAATTTCCCATCGCTTCCAGCCAATGCGAGATCAGGGAGCGTTCACTGAGTTACCGTCCGAGTCTTCGCCGAAGAGGCTGAGAAATATTCAAGCCTTGCCGTCGACAGAAAAATGATGGACATATATCGGACGACAGACCGAGCAACCTGCGGAACAGCTGTGACAGAGCCAAGTGTCCGTCACTGGCATAAGAACTGGAGCAGTACGAGGCATCGCTGCTTCGACTGGAAGTCTTCTAGACGGCGACCAGCGAGTCCTTCTAATGCGCAGGCAGCAAGTGAATTGCAAAAGGTTGTACAGAGTACTACCATCTACAATACTCTCCTCCAGAACTGGCAAATCCCGAGATTGTGCTTGCCACAGCTGGTCTACCGGTTCCTTCTCTTCAAGCGTTGTTCGGGTCACAATAATAGAGCTGGAGTCATGCCGGGAGAGGTCTCGTACCATATATTGCTGTACGGCTATTGACCGACAGGAGAAGCATGGAACTGGGTATACGACGGGTATGAGAGACTAGCTCTGGGCTGGTCACCAGGGTCAAGTATTGTCTTGTCGAAGAGGGGAGAACTGGCACAAAGTAAGCTCGCAGAAGCCGGCAGACTGCGTCTCGACATGAAATGGGTGTGTAGGGTCCAAGTGAGCAACGAATCCTGGTGGAATTGAGAGCTTGACTGGGGCTTTTGGTTGCAAAGCATAAAACTTGTCATATCGGAGTGTCAGCTGTTGTTGTACAACGAAGGTGATATCTTATTATTACACAAGTTGTCTTCAACCCACGCACGTCGGCAGAAGGAGGTCACAACACGCTGCTTCCAAAGGCTTGATGATCATATCGTCCGGACGCGGTTGTAGCAGTTCCAAGCTAATGTGGTGCGCTTATGAACTCTTCCCCCAAGTAATGTAGACGGATGACCCGACGCTCATAGCTCATACGGTTGAGGGATAGTTCCCACCTCTTTTCCTGTTGAATGCACGCTGGTCTTTGAGCCAGCGGCGGTATCCAGCCACACTTCCCACCTTCTCGCCGTAGTAATCAGGGACCGGGTTGTTCGTGCTGGCACCACTCGGGTTGACTCTGTGCTTCTTTATTCTCTCGAAAAAGCCACGCTCTTTGATATTGAACTCTTGGAGCCGAGTACGGTGCGATAGTCTCCAGACGGCATTCCCGAAAGCCGGACCTATCAGCCAGCCAACGATGGTCGAGCTGAACGTCGCAATCACGATTCCAATGACCGGATCGGTGGGAATCACTTTGGTGATATTGTCTGCAAGCGCTGGAATCTCTGAGAAGGAATACAGGGCGCCGGCTGTCGAAAAGAGAGAAGTGAGGATGGAGGATGCGAGGGAATACCGTCGTCGCACCGCCCGCATGCGAAAGAAGGTGTTCCAGTCGAGCGCAGTAGAAGGTGAGGCGGCTGCTGAGACGGAGGGGTTTGTGGAGGTGGAGGCATGTCTTATTCGGCACAGTGACGGCGTGAAGAAGGATGAGGGAGTGGTCGACACAGGCGGGTTTGCAGCTAGGGGGTAGATAGTCGCAGCTCGCAATCGGTGTTGATTCTGTGGGATCAGGACAGCTGACGATATCGTCCGTCTCGTCGATAACAGCGCATGGTGTGATGAAACCAGCGTGGGACGAGACTGCGAGAGCTGCAGTCCGAGTCTGGTGGTTTTCGAGGACATGACGAGCCTCTGTTCAACGAATGCTGAGGTGAGAAGTGAGAAGCGACAATTTTTGCTCCCGTCACGAATGCCTCAGTTGCTCATGGTGGAAAGCGGTAGCAAGGATGGGCAGATTAAATGCACTAATCGCGGATGGATTCGTGAGGACATGCAAGTGCAGCAATAATTAATTGATTGATTTGGTGTTGCTGTCACTTCTGCCTCCCAGTTAATTTTCCGAGCTCTGCCGGCACGTGCAATTCGAGCTCCTCCACAGGCTCATTGGGCACGATGCACCCAAGCAAGAAACACCCTAGATGCAAGCATGGTAGCCGCTACTGGGGTACGCGGCACCAACTCTGCTTCCGGGGCAAAGGCTTAAGTCAGCACCCAGGCCACCAAAGGGTACGAGGTATGGGGTGGCCCGTGCATGATGCGACGGCAGTTTTCAGTTCAGCTCGGATAAGAGCAGGCGTCTGGTGCTTCGAGATGAAGATTTCAGGTGGTTCTAGCCTCAAGTCAGACCCTGTGCGCCCATTGCATCCGCCGCCTAAACGAGAAGTTAAGGCCCCAAGCATGTGCCCCTAGCCTATGGGGATTCCGTGGGCTGCCTGGGAAGGTTCAGCACCCTGCTCTTGGTTCGGCTACCTCGAATGGAAGTAAGCCTATCGTTTGCCCTCTCTTTCTCCTCCATCACTCGGGCATTTATTGAGTTGGGGAGGAGATGCCATGGCTACGCATCTGCGTCCCGCCTATGCCGCATTCGACTCTTGAGGCCGTCGTGGGCAGCATCCGAGTCTCGACAGTTTGTCTGGCCCGTGTCGGCGCTGTTCGAGTCTAATTGATCCTCTCAAGTCGCTTCCCCATCTTATCCATCGTCTGCTTCCGGGTGATGTTGAGATGACACCAAGGTCAACATCGGATCGCGAATGCTGATGTCGCTGTACCACGCTCCATCTGGATGACACCTCTGCACCGCTGCCATGCCGCGCCCAAAGAAACCTGACCAGGATGGAAAAGAGGTCAAGAAACGGTCTAGGAACGGATGCTGGTTGGTTCACGCCCCTCTCCAGTGCTCGAGGACGCCAGCTTATATCTACACTCACAGGCCTTGCAAGTCGAGGAAGGTCAAATGGTACATGATGAACCCGCTCCGCAGTCTGCTGATGATGGATGCTGACCGTGTCGCCACAGCGGAGAAGAGAAGCCGGCCTGCGCCAACTGCCTGCGACAAGGCGAGACGTGCGACTACAGCATTCGCCTGAACTGGGACGGGCGGACTAAGAAGAAAGAAGAAGGAAATGCAAAACCAGGCTCGACACCCATGTCGTTTGGCACTCCTCAGTCCACCAACGGCTATACCAATGGCGCCTCCGACACGAGCCCAAGTACCAACGGCCACACTCCAGCGCCAGCCCTCGCCGTCCACACGCCCAACTACTCCCTCGAGCAGCCTTCGTTCGAGTCGCCTGTGCCCAGCGTCAATGAGTTCCAGGTCAATCTGCCAATCCCAGCGGCGAGTGAATTCAATCCAGCTATACTTCCTCCTCCTCCCATACTCCGAACTCCTCAATGGGGTGAGAACAGAAATGGAGGCACTCCCCCTCCACTTGATCCCGTTTCTCTCTCGACATCTGGCCGCCATCCGCTCGGCCTCGCACCCTATCCCTCTCCCTCAGAATCCGGGTTTGGCAGTCCCAACCTCAATGGGATGACCAACTTCAACGGCTATTCGATGCAGATGCCGCCACCCATGCACACATCCAACCCCATGGGCTACCAAGAGTCGATAAATTCACCCTATAATCCCGCCAAGAGGATGAAGTTGAGCCCTAGGACAGATAGTTTCGGCCGCTCCGCCCTCAACTATCAGCGCGCCGGGTCTTATGGCCCGAACGATATCGAGGAAGTTGGTCCACGAGTTCAATTTAACCCAAACACCCCGACCTTCTTCCCCTCGTACCTGAGTAACCCCTTGACGCAAGGAGCGTTGGCGACATCTCAAAATCAGGACAATGACGATCGACGGATTTCTGTCAGCTCTCTGCTCTCCGAGGACCCAGAGCCTGACGATCGCAGAGGCTCCTCCACCTCCAATGGCCAGAATCAAGCGCCCGAGGAACAGATTCCGCGGCGTGGATCTCTCCATCAGCGGATGATCTCGTACACGGAGACAGAGACATACGGTCAAGACCGTGGAAATCCGGATCTCGATATTCCTCGGAATAACGATACTATGGCCATCTCTGGCATGTCTCCGTCCGATCACAGCGACTTCGAATCGTGGCTGCACGACACCGATCTGGGCGTCCCCGAGTTCGGATTCGGGCTGGTTAGTCGAGACACCGTCTTTGCCAAAGGTGGCTATTATGCGTCGCCTGTACAAATCAAGATCCCTCGAAAGCTCGAGCCGTTGCCTCTCACTCTGTCCAAGAACCCGATGAACTTGCTGTACTTCCATCACTTCCTTAATCATACCGCCAGAATCCTCGTCCCACATGATTGTCCAGAGAACCCCTTCAAGACGATATTACCAAAGAGTACGTTGCCGACTTCCGGCTGACAGTAAGCTCGTCGCAATGTTTTACTGACGTGTCATAGTGGCCGTTGACAACCCCAACCTCCTGAACCTGCTCCTAGCCTACTCGGCGTGCCATCGAGCTAGACTCCTGAACCATCCTGAGCCTGCCAATCGGATAGCGCTCTGGGTACGGGACGTGTTCCCTTCGCTCCGACAAACGCTGGAAAATGTCTCAAATTATGAGGTCTCGAATGCCAACCTGGCCACAGCCATCATGCTGTCCTCTTTGGAGATCATATCGCCATCGAGTTTCGGCGTATCGATACCCTGGCAGAATCACCTCAGCATCGCCCGCAGCATCATCCGCGCCCGAACAGGTCCACATTCCATCTCGCGCAAAGACCCAGTCATGTACTTTTTGACCCGGTGGCTGGCATATCTCGATGTTATGGGGTCATTGTCAGGACGGCGCAATGAGGAGCCTCTGTTCGTTGGGAATTACTGGTCGAACTCGCATGAAGATAGCACCTCGGCCAAGGAGTTGTCCCTGACAGACGATGAAGCCGATGACGAAGACGACTATACCATTGATTGTCTGCTTGGATTCACCACTCGATGTGTCCAGATCCTGGCTCAGGTGGCTGTTCTGGCACGGGAGTGTGAAGCAGCAGGGAGGATTGACAATGAGACAGGGCAAATCAACGAAGATTGGAAGCCCTCGATGGACATACTGCGTCGGGCGGAGAAATTACGGCTGGATCTGGAAAAGGCCCAAAACCACGAACAGATATCGTGTGCTCACCACAGCCCTCAGATGACCAAAGCCTCGCTATGCGGGACCCACGGGACGCGGCGCAACTCGGCCTACGCAGATATGTCGCAGAAGGACGTGGAAGAATCGCTGGCAACCAATGCCGCGTTTCACTGGGCAGGACTCGTCCACTTGCTGCGTCGAGTCCACAACCGACCCCGCCGCGATCCGGAGGTGCAGAAAGCAGTGCACGAGATTGTCAAGATCCAGCAACAGAAGATCAGGGAAGGCGGAAGTGCCGAAGCATGTCTCCTCTTCCCCATGTTCACGGCTGGAGTTGAAGCGGAGGACCAACTGGATCGAGCAGAAGTCCTGAGTCGGATCAAAGGAGCTGAAGGACTCGGGATGTGCCAGGTCAGTCGAGCCAGAAGGGTCATGGAGGAGGTGTGGAAGACTGGAGTCAGTTGGGAGTGCCTGACCACGGGGGATTTCTTTGGATAGCGGCGTCGGTCCCAGACTGTGTCGTGGCAAGGACGATGTCAGCTCGGAACCTGGGAACCTGGGTCTCCACGGAGATGATCAGATGCTCATTTCTACGCCATCTTACGATTGTATTTTACTGAGCGTTGGAGTTACGGGCGGTGAGAAATACCCAAACTGTCGTTATAGAGAGTACCACTCGACATACCTAGCAATGTCTGGGACTCGAATACCACGGGATGAACGACTCGGTCCTTGGACTTTCCCGCAAGGCTGAACGGAGCCGTAGAGCCGTCGCCCCTACTGACCGTCATAGCCTGGTCTGTGGCACCACGGTGAACGACTCGGTCCTTGGGTTTCGTGCCAGGCTGAACGGAGCCGTACACAGTACTCCGTACTCCGTACTGTAGCCCCCCCTGACCATTCCCGGAGCATTTACGTCAGCATTCAATTTGTGCCTCGATCCGTGATTATCTCGACTTTTCTTCTCTCGTCCTGCCTTACTCCGTACATCCCTCAGATATACTGGCTGATTGCATGCCACAGGAATTTCGGGTCCCACGCCTAGGTGCTAGACACTCGTTGCCTCCGATTACGTCAGGGTTGTCGGCCGACATCTCGACGACGAACCCACTGCACACTTTAATCTACTTGTTCCTTTCCACTCTGTTCTTCTACGATCCTTGTTCTTCCCAGTTTCAAAGGCCACCACATCAGACTTCACTAACGATGGCGGCCACAACGACCACAAACCGCAATCCCGACAATCTCCCCCTCCCACCTCAGCATCCGCTCCAACGCCTGCGTGCCCCGTCGCGCGACCTCTCGGCGGCGCTGCACGCGCTGGGCCTCGCCTCGTTCGCGTATTCGTACAACTGGCTGCACACGCACCCCAACGACATCAACTCGGCCTACGGCTGGCACTTCCAATACCTGACCATCATCGGGCTGACGCTGGCGACGGTGACGTTCCTGCTCGCCCTGCTGGCCGACCTGACGCTCAGCCCGGCCATCTTCACGGCCAAGAACAAGCTGAGCATGTGCGCGGCGCCGCTCGAGCTGCTCGTCTCGCTCCTGTACTGGGGTCTGCGGCTCGTGGACCCGGCGCTGGTGGTGCCCCCGGAGCTCGAACTGCCCGTGGGCGCGGACCTCAGCTTCCACGCCGCGCCCGCCGCTTTTCTCCTGCTCGATCTCCTCGGGTTCAGTCCGCCGTGGGGCATCACGGTGTTGCCGAGCTTGGCCGTGTCGTGCGCCATCGCGCTGGCGTACTGGTTCTGGATCGAGCTGTGCTATAGCTACAATGGCTTTTATCCGTATCCTTTGTTTGCGCTGCTGGGCAGTGGCCAGCGAATGGGTTTGTTTGGAGTGAGTGCCTTGTTGATGGCGTGGAATACGGTCGTCTTGAAGTGGGTTTATGGCCGCGTCAATGGGGTGGAGGGAAGGCAGCGGAGGTGATGCGGCATCCCTGTGCTCGTGGCAGCAGTAGGGCGGAGAAGGGCAGGGCAGGGCAGGGCAGGGAGTGAGTGGTGGTGGTTGAGCTGCACCGATGCTTGCATTTCCATGCTTGGATACTTTCACGCTTGCATACTTTCACGCTTGCATACTTTCACACGGGCATATTCCACACTTGCATACTCCATGCGTACATATTCCATGCTTGGATACTTTCACACTTGAATACTCTCTGCTCGGGGCATGGTTGCATAGGGGGCGTGCGAGAGCACATTGAGAAGGTCAGAGGCTCTAGGACAACGTCGCATGTATGATATACCACATGTGGTAGTAGGGACATGTGACAACAGTCTACTCAGCAGATCTTAACCACAAGTCTGGGCCGTGCATGATATGTACATACATACATACATACATACATACATACATACATACATACATACATACATACATACATATATACATACATATATACATGCATACAAACATAGTAGACCGAAGTCCACCGAACAGCCTGCTTTGACCTGAACGTCCCTCTGTACACCGTACACCGTACGCGGAATAGGTGTGATTGCGACCGCGGAGAACGATTCGCTTGACTACAATGACGCGTCGTAGGTTGAGAGTACTGTGTACTGTGTAAGGTACGGAGTATTTGTCCCGGAAATAATCCCCCCTTTTTTCTTGTCGGCTTTTTCTTTTGTTAAAGCTTCATCTGGGCGTTGGAACCCGGTTCAGCGAGATAGGAACCGAATGAGGTGAACACGAGGTATATCTGCGCAGTTGAGCGGTCAATACTACAACTCTAGAATGCCTTGGTGCCTTGGTACCTTGGTACCTTGGTATGTGACGGTTATCTCTATATTTCCGTACTCGTTGGCCTGCTGTCCGTAGAGCGGCGGAGAGAAAACCATACCTAGGTACCTTGATATACTACCTACCTAAATATCATTTGGTACCTTTTCACCGGGCAGGAGGGCACGTCATGGCTTGGGACTTGACGTGGAGTCTGGGATGTGATGTTAAGACCGACTGTATCCCTGAGTGAGGGAAGATATGTGACTTTCGCTCACCTGATATGGTTACGAAACTGGGGGCGAGGCTGCGAGAAGATGCTTCAATTACTAGCAGGTGGGCACAAAGCCACTCTGGGCGCTCTGGGACGAGAATGTCGCAAATACTGAGTGTCCGGAGATCGTGGTGATAGGGAAGACTGAACGACCGAGAAATCGCACCTCTCAGAGGGAGTGCTCCGCTTCCCATAGAGATACTCTAACTGTTGTCAGTGCTGTCAGTCTTGATTGTGCAAAAGGAAAAACAGGAAGATGGTCGCAGATTGATGCTTCATAACAATTCATAATTCCAAATGCTGTCGTGACATTCATCTAGGGTTGTCTTTCTTCCGCCGACTACCCCTTACTTCGCGAAGTCGCCTCTCGTGCTGCGAGTCGCCTGCGTCTCTTTCGAGGTCACTATCGGGCTCCCTCCGTGGCTGGCTCCTACTACGGCTCCTATTCGCAGCACCCATATGGGACCCATGAGAATCGACTGGCGTTATCTCGTCACCTGCCCTGGCTTTGCCTTTGGACGATTGCCGCCTCGAGGCAGACGGTCTACTGACGGGCCTGCTGTCGCTGAATTGGGTCATTTCTGGGTGGTCACGCTGGTTGTGGTGCGAGGACGATTCTCGCTTCGACTTTCTGTCTCGTCTACCAGAGGACGAGGCCATCGCAATACTTCCCACAATTGCTGGGTCGTTGTGATATTCCCACCCTTTCGTGTGATGCATATGCTTGCACCAAGCGTTAGCACGGTACTACGCAGACAATTTAGTCAGAAGAGTTTTCTTACCTGATGCGGGCCCCAGAGTTCTGGAGTGGCCGCGCGGGCTCCAGCTCGTTTCTCGTCATTGGTAGGAAACCCAGAGGCCGCAGCTCTCGCTGCCTCAAGCTTCCTCCGATGTCGACGTTTCAGCCAGACCATCAGCCAGGCAAGCAAGGGAAGTCCCACGGCTAGGATGCCTAGCATCAAAATCCACCGCCAATGTCCTTCGATCCTAGGATTCCAATCAGCGCATAGCCCAAAAAGGCCGTGAGATACCTACCAAGACTGCTGGGTTGAGGGGCTCGAAGCTGACGCGCTTCCGGTCCCAGTATTTGTAGCGGTTGGGAGGGGAGTGGAAGTGCTTGTGATGGTCACAACAGTGACTGAAGCGGTGGCCAAAGGATCAATCCCTTGGCCGACCTGTTGACAGAAGCCCGTGAACCATGTTTGCAGTAAACTTCTGTCCGTTTCAATTGTACATTCGGCGGCGCATACAGAATCTGGAGTGCTGTAAAGTGCCTGTAACAGACTGCTCTGACAGAAGCAGTTCTCATATGTGATCTGGTCTGTGGTTGGAACGTTCGGAGGGACACAGAATGACTGCGCCTGGAGTAGCACGGCACAACCGACTGCGCAACCAGGAAATTGTGGGGAGGATGCCGTCGGAACAATGCTTTGGCCCGAGACAAGACGCAGGAGGGTGAAAAGAATGGAGGATAGCGTGAGGATCAAGGAGCGCGTTCTCTTCATCATGGAATGTCTGTTATCGAGTTGGGGGATGGCGTTTTCGGTAACGAGCGTGGGCAGAGATATGGCGGTACTGGTGTCAGGTCGAGCAAACAGCGTACATGGTGGCTTGTCGCATCGAATCGCGACTCAAACGAGCGAGGACGCTGCTATCAAACCACCGACAGCAGCAAGATAAAAGGTCAGGAAGGGGTGAATAAACCGAGAAAGAAACCTAAGACAAGCTGGACGACTGGACGCGGGGGGTGGTTGGATGGACCTCAGAATGGCAAACACCACTGCGGCAAAAGAGGTCAAGCTCGAGGCACATTCTGCAGCTTGCATAATAGTGGATGACGCCCAGATGATTGTGGATGGTGTGGATGAGTGTGGATGATAGGGTTGCGCTTTGGCTGGAAGCAGATGTGGCAGGAGGCCATTTCGCAGGCCTGTTTGCAATTGGCTGTCGCACCGGCAGCTGCTGAATCCTGGCACCTGGCAGAAGAGCCGCGGATAGGCACTGATAGGTCCAGCGGAAATGAACTCGGCCGCTCCATTGCGCTGGTCTCCTGTCGTTTGCTCATGATCGGGAGGCGTCCTGAGAACAAAGAGGCGCATCTGACATGGATACGCACAATCGCGCCGATATGGCAATTCCCTCTTAACGTGCAGTACGTACGAGTATGTACCCAGTACCAGTGCTGAGTACATACTGGGGGCACCCAGACATTTAAGTTAGGCGCTAGACCAGAGCTCCCCACCCAATTTAGGGAAGCCCGGCTAGGGCCTATTGCGTACTGGGGACAGTATGGCTCGGCAGCTTTCGCCGAGGCCTCCGCTACGAAAGGAAATTCGTCCTTCTCACCCCTCGTCAAGTTTCAAGATCCTTGCCGTCCGCGTCGGTGCTGGGTACTCGTACCCCAGCACTCTACATCATGGCGACACGTCCCACAGCCTCGGCCCTTTTGATCAGGCTGTTCGAAGACCTCGCCGGAACCTGGCTCCTTAATCGCCAACTTCGAAGCGCAGACCCTTCAGAGCCATCGGGGCGATGTGCTGGTCAAGCTCTATTCACGAAAAGGCCGTCGCCGTCGCCTGTGGTTGACCCGGACGGCAAGCTGCACTCTGCCGACGCGGAGCTCTTATACCATGAACACGGGGAGTTTGAGATGATGATGGCCTCCGGTAACAATCTGACCAGCGTTCCTACCTTCACCTTTTCAAGAAAATACATCTGGCGATTACAAAAAGCCGAAAATGGGCATACCATAAGTATCTGGTTCACCAAACCAGGAACTGAGACCATCGACTACCTGTTCCACAAAATAGATATTCCCTTTGAGGACGATCAGAATCTCGGAGCCGATGGCAGACTTGTCCTCCACGGAACTGGTGGCCACCTCTGCGTGGAGGACTTCTACAGCAGCTCCTACACCTTCACCTTGTCACGATCAAGCGCCGAATCTCCCGTCACGCTCGCTTCCTGGAGTACGGTACATGAGGTTCTCGGCCCAAAGAAAGATCAACACATTGAGACAACTTTTGTCAGGCTTTGACCGAACGCTGCTAAGCAAGGGTCCTCAATAGCAAAACTCTGCGCCAGACATATCCACGTTTGGTCCCGCTCTTCTGATAGGGTTGAGCTCTCAGGCAAACCGCTCGGTTTCCAGGGCAGTCCCGACGACGAGGAACGCGTCAACTAGCTTCAAACGGGGTCTGGCTGGTCGCACTCTCAGGTAGAAGACATCTGAAGTGTCGAGCTCTGCGGCGAGTCTCTCACAGCACTACGAGACTACCTAGATTACTCGCCAACGGAAAACCTAATTGGCATCCACGGATTGATCCTAGAAGGGTGAGCGAAGGCGGCTTTGACCTGAGCATCACTGAGCGTTTGCCTGAGCAGCACTGAGCCCTCGGGGAGCGCTCCCTGAACACTCCCAGAGCAAACACACCGGGGCAGTTCAATACCACGTACAGGCTGTGAGTTCTACCTATTGGCTGCTTTGCCGACATAAACATGCTCACCGGTCCCGTCCTCCCTGGGACGGGACATGTGATCACTTCTGCCTTGAGTCAAGAACCCAGCCCTCCTCGTGCGGGCAGCTGAGATGATATTGTCCAAACCCGGGTCCCGAGCCCCTAAATTGTGGTGCCACATCGATGATGAGCACCTTACCGGCCGCCGCGTCACGAGGGATACGTCGCACAGCGCAAGGATGGCCCTGATTCCTCAGTTCTTCGAACCAATCCATGAAGACATAGAGTCCTCGAATATTAGTATGGAATACTTAGACCGTTTCACTAGGGTCCAGCTCAACAGTCGCCAGCTAACTTACCCATGCGAGCGAGGACGTCTTCAGTGACAGTGTGCAGATCCGAAGCACCATCTCCACGGCGAATGAATTAGCCAACGGGAAGAGCGACCCTTGGTCGTCTTTGCACATCTCTCAAGCTCTGACGGCAAATGGCTATATGGTTCCTGAGCTGGGTGACGTATCCGTGGACGATACATGTAGTTTGTATGAGGGATAGGCTTTTTGAGCGACCTTGTTCGTTGTCGCACCACTGTCACGTTACAAGGGATATGGAGGAAATGGCTTGTAAGGATGGCACGGTGATGGGTAGTCTGACCAAATCCCTGGTATAAACGTTGAGCCTTTACACTTCTGGACGTCAATGACTAGAATGAGTTTCCACTGGCAGCACTGGTTTCCCCAACTCTAACGAAGACAATCAAGTGATGATTTTCGTGCTCCCTTCCTAAAGCAACGTGGCTAGACGGGACTAAGATCCACTGAACGGACGTTCGAATCAAGAAAGAACTCTTCCTCCTCTTGGCGTACGAGTAAGATGCCGAGATGCTACTCTCCTGTGCCCGGCATTTGTGCGTTACCCAAGCTAATAACGACACGTGACCGGCATCGGGCATCTCCTCCGATGGTGTGGGCGCACGTGACTGCGGGGAAACAGTTGCCCACCGGACCATCTAGCGAGCTCGCCCACATGGCAACCTGCATGCATGGTGCGCCACTTTCTTCCTTGAAGATTCTCTGCACCAGGCTGTCGGTTGCGGTGGTCTTTTGCATTAGGCATAGTCAGAATTGCTTGGCCCCAGACCTGCAGCGGCAGACGTGTATCAACCACCTTCTTTCTGATATCCACTCCTGCGAAACGCCCATCCATGACTGCATCAGGGTTGCCCGAAAGGTTGCGGCCTATAGATGGAAGACGACAACTCGTCGAAAAGCCGGTTACCGGGGCTGCCGAAAGGACTGGCTTGTAAGAAATGCCATCCCGGATGGAAGCTCATCCCGCTAATACCAGATACCCAAGGCCTCGAGTGCAGGAAGCAGAAAGTGAGATGTGAGCGTCAGTCTGGCCAGCATGTGTGCCAGAGATGCCGCCGGACCGGCATCAAATGCACATCAAGCGGTCGAAGGGCCGATGTGTCTAGTCGGGACGACCACAAGTGAGTTACCTAGGTTGACGAACCCTTCGCTCCCGCCCTTCGAGCCGGCGAATGCAGAGGAGGAGCAAGAACGGACCCTGAGACTGAAACCTCGTTAGATGGAAAGCGGCAACTGCTCGCAGGATCAACCAGCTGGAGGCTGCCATGGATAATGTGCTGCAGCGATCTCGACCCGCTGGCTTCTCAGGCTCCTGCAATAGCGATGATACGCAGTCCATGGGGGATTGTGAGCCGAATGCCGCACAAGTTAGCACCCCGGTGCCACCAACAGGTGGCCAAATACGCGACAGCGTCCCTACAACAGGGCCATTGCAGGAGCGGGAGATCAATGCGGTGCCGATGCAAACATTGATGGAGGTGACAACTCCGCAAGACACGCCCGCCAGCGGCGGCAGAATCGAGGTCGAGGCCGCAGCTCAAGGAAGAGATTTGATATCCACCAGCGAACTGTCTCCTTCCCATGCCAGTGACCTTTTCATTTTATTCAGGGACCGGATGAACCGGTACCTCTGGGGGGGAGTCGCGTTTCCGCACGACAGTCTCCCACCCGTGCGGCGGTCGTCACGGCTACTTAGCACGGTCGTCTTCACCATTGCCTCCTTACACGTTCCCGACAAGGAGGCGCAGTTTGATATGTGCTACAAAGAGTACGTGTCACTCGTGGCGGAAGCCATGATCGCTCGCCATCACAACCTCGACGATATCCGAGCCCTGGTGCTGGGCGCCTTCTGGCTCCCCGATCTGAGCTGGAAGTTATCAGGCCTGGCGGTCCGGATCGCTACCGAACTCAATCTCCACCAGGCATTCCATCAGCCGTCGTCGTTTGAGGACGAAACCAAGTTTACCAATGCTCGGCTTTGGTACTTGCTCTATGTCTGCGACCGGCACTTCAGCATCACACATGGACGACCACCCATGCTCAATGGAAACTCGGCGATTGACAAATACGACAAGTTCTTGGCCTCGCCGCTCAGTACTCCGGGCGACAAACGGCTGATCAGCCAGGTCGATCTGTTCCAGACGCTCGATGAAGCTTATCACACCTTTGGTGCCGACACCACCTTGCCCCTGGAAGAGTCAAACTTTCAGGTACTCAGACAATTCACCGTCAAGGTAGAGAAATGGCGACTCGAGTGGGAGTCTCGCTTAGGTCAGTGCCCTTTCCTTCCCATTTCTTTCCTGTTGTCATCCCGGCTCCTTGGTATGTTTCCGTCGGAGAATTGTATCTCGTCTAACCCGTGTCCCACTTTATGTGGCAGCAGTTCTCGACCCCTTGATTGACACGTACCCGTCCAAAGGGGTGGCCTTACACTACCATCTCGCCAAACTGCAGCTCAACTCGCTGGCCCTCCGGGGCATGTTGCTGGGGGCCAGTCTGTCGGTTGACCGCATGGACGCAGCCCACGTGGCCGTCGCCTCGGCCATGGCGGCGCTCCGACTCGTCCTGGACGAGCCGTGCATTCGCGCGAGCATCATCGGCGTCCCACTCTTCAAGCACGCCATGTTCACCTTCTCGGCCGTGTTCCTGTTGAAGGTGTCCTGCCAGTGGAATGCCGCCCTCTACATCGACCAGGCACAGGTGCTGGACCTGGTCCAGAGCGTCGTGGACCTGACGAGAAGCTTCAGCATCAATCGCCGACATCTGGTGTACCACATCACCAAGGGCCTGGCCGAAGCCGTCCAACGTATCCGCGGCAAAGCCATCATCAGCCGGGATGCCGACGCGCACCAGCAAAATCATCCACAATCCCACAACGCGACAGGATTGTCGGCTTCTTTTATTGCCGCCCCACTGGTGGCCACCAACGGCAACGGTACGTCCCATCCACAGCAACAACAACAACAAAATCCACAGCGACTGCCACCGTCGTACTCTCCGGTGGATCCGCACCTTGCGGACCTCTTCGACGAGTTTGCCGTGGCCGACGGCTTGAACATTGCAGCCAACAATTGGCTGTCGTACGTTTCAATGGACGCCTACTCCTGCCCGTCGGCAAATCCGCAAGATACTGCCGCTCCGATGGCATGGGACATGGAAAGTGGTGGTCACAACAACGCAGCTGGTGTTGATGACGCAGGCGCCTCTCATCAGCATTTTAGTTGGGACTGAAAAAAGGAAAATCGGTGCAGGATATATACATTTATGTACATTACTGGATTGATATTTCTGGATACTGTAAACAGGTGGCGTAATATGCCATACCCACTCTTTGCAATGTACACACACACATCCAAATGTATCCTACAACACGAGAAGGCTATGCGGATAACCATTCTTTTCGTGCCAGTTCTCCTGATTAAGTATTGTAAACACATTAATATATACCTTCATATCTATATATATCTGTCTCTGGATCGATATTTCTGGGTACAGTAAACAGGTGGCGTAATATGCCAAAACCGCTTTTTGCAATGTACACACACACACACACACACACACACACACACACACACACACACACACACACACACACACACACACACCCAAGTGTATGTATCCTACACCACGAGAAGGCTATGCATCTGAGATACCCATTCTTCTTTTCGCCCCAGTTCTCCTGATTGAGTATTGTAGAACGCATCAAATTTAGGTAATGCTATGTACAGAAAGACACGTACGTATGGATGTAGACGACGGTGTTTTTTTTTTGTGGGGTTTTTTGAGACCACTTCTTCTCTGGCTGATGGCCATTTGTGTGTATGTGTTTGTGTGTGTGTGTGACGGATTCTCCCTCTCTCTCTCCGGCTTGTATGCTACTGTAGCCAGCACCTGACCGATTCGGATTCTTCTCTCATCCACCACCACAAGCAACAAACGTGTTTGGCCAGAAAAACCTGGCCGGCTGCTGCTGCTACTCCCCTCGACTCGATCATCCGCTCAGCTCAATCATATCTTCCTGAATCCGGTCTGCAGGTACAAAGCCAGAAGGGCGAAGAAAATCATGCACACATTGAAGAAAGTGATTGTGGCAAACCCGGACGTGTATTGAGGGGCGGTGGTCTGTTTCCATGCGACAAGCGGGAGCCACATCTGAAAGACGTAGGCCATCTGGTTCATGCTTCCGGTCACGATGGCCCGTTCTTCGTTGTCGGAAGAACAGATTTCATGGGCCCAGCTATCACCCATCACCCAGGTTAGTCACATTTACTTCCTCTTATCGGCCGGATAGGCTGGAGGGAGGGAGGGAGAGTGTGTGAAGATGATGACTTACGACATGATTAATCCGGCAACTGATGAACCTACTCCCGACAGAGCATAGCAGGCCCATCTCCAGCCCTCGGGAATGTTCCAGTGCCAAAGAGACGAGTAGCACATGATATTGAAACACTGTTATTGAGGACGAGATCGCCGTACATTAGCCATTTGCAAGCGACAGAGCGGGCGAGGGAGAGAGACATGAAGAACGAACTAGGAGAAGGAGGGATTCTCCTTGAGGGTTTTGGGAGGGACAACATGGGTAAAGAAAACCACACTTACACCACCAACAATGACAGCAGGCCAACGACGTCCTTTTAGAAACCCGTCCGAGGTCCAGGCGAAGAATAGGGTCGTGAAGACTTGAACCCCGCCAGTAATGGTCGGATAGGTGTTGATCTGGGCCACGCTGTACTTTGGAGGGTCGAAATTCTTGAGATATTGAGCGAAGACTGGCTGGGCACTAGAACCGCCGTTGTTCCAGAATCTTGCAACACACACGTCAGTAGTGCGCCATGCCAATGCCATCTTGGAGTTTTGGAGGAAGGGCGGCCTTCTGTGTGTGACTCGAAACTTACGTATACATGGGCACCAAAACCCACCAGTGCCAGGTCCCGAAAACGATTCTCTTGATCTTGGCCTTGGAGAAGGGTTCACGCGAAGCTCGACCTTCGAGCTCCATTCGCACCTGCGCCAGAGTAATTTCCTGGGAAGCCGCAGCGTCAGAAGTCAGCAGCGGCATAGAAGGTGGAGGCGGAAATCCGGGGTGGAAACCAGGTTTGTGTGCATACCTCTTTGCTAAGATATCTTGCTCTGCAGTTCGAGGGCAGGTCCGGGAGCAAGAAGAAGCATGCCACCGCGATGGGTAAGGTGATCAGTCCGTCCACGAGAAACAGCCTGTGAAGCGTGATGATGAGTCCCATGACACATACTCGCACAAACGAAGCCGAATATTGCTTACCATTGCCAGCCATGCAATCCACTCTGACCGTCGAGATGATACACTGCAGCCATGAGATAACCGGAGAACATGGTGCCGACCGCACTGGTGACCTGGAAGATGCAGGTCCGTTTTGCCAGCTCGTCGCTTCGGTACCAGGAACCGATGATATAAATCATGCCGGGATACAGGGCAGATTCAAAGAGACCTTGTCGTGACAGCGAGTCAGTTTGCTCTTTTTGTCACAAAACATGACCTGTAGAACTTACCGACGAAGAAACGGACAACGTAGATCTGTTTCGCAGTTTTGCACGCCGTCAGGCAAAGAGTCAAGCCGCCCCACAAGACCTGATATTGTTGTCAGCACACATCCACCGCGGAATTCCTCGGCCTTCTTGAGCTTGCTTACCTCGACGAGGGGAATGAATCTTGACGGTCGAACCCGGGTGAGCAGAATGTTGCTGGGAAGGCCTCCCAGAAGGTATCCAACTCCCCAGCAAGTCTGCATGATGTTGAGCTGATTTCCATAGAGCGACAGGTCTTCTTTCCTATAATGTGGATATCTCATATCAGCCACACGGATCCGCGGTAGCCAGGGGCACAAAAGAGTTTCGACAACACCCACATTCCCGAAACAAAGGCATTGTTGATGTTGATCTGGTCGAGATATTTCACAAAATAGCCTGGTAGAGAAAATGAGTCAACACACACAGATGGTTCTCTCCACTGATGAAGATGGAAGAGGTTACTCACTGAGACAGCCCAATGTCAAAAGAGCGAGGTCGATTTTCTGCACCAGTCGTCGCTCCTCAGGCGACTTGTCCAATGAGTCCCAGATGAAGTTTCGCCAGCCTCGTTTGGGCTCAGGACGAATTTCGGTCACTGTTGGGTTGTTGGCAGGACCGGCTTTCTCAGGATCATGTTCAGACAAGACCATGTCGACATGCTGGAAGGTGTCCATACTGCCTTCTTCGGCGGGATGGTCAACGGCAGCTTTCCCCATCTTGCGGTGTGCTTGCGTAGTATCGAAAGGGAGCAGCACACAAAAGGAGCCCCAAAGCCCCCAGTATTATAGACCACCATGTTTCTTCCCCACAGGTCTGGGGAACAAGCCCGGTCACCCCGGTGTCAGGAGATCGGCATGGCCGAAAGTGGGGAAGATGGTAAGACGAGTCTGCCGCACAGTCGCCGGGGATGAAAAGCTGGAATGTCTTCAGGGGGGTTGATCGGCATCGGTCATAATGCCCGGTCAACACCTCCGTATCCACAATCGGGCATGCAACACGGAGAGACAGCGAGCGAGCGATCTTCGGCATCTGTTGTTGTCTCTGGATGACTCGGCTGCTCGTGGATGATCGGGGTGGGAGCGGCTTTGCTGCTGGTTGAGCAGTCGTGGCTGACCAGGACGTGGAGTGGACGGCGATTTGATGAGTTTTGTGGACTTTCCGGCCAACTCGCTGGATTTGTTCCTCAAGCATTCGACTGAGAAGAGAGCCCGTTTACCACGCTGTCCGTTGTATCCAAGGCCCGAACCTCCTTGCAACCGCACGACAAACCTTCCAAGGAGCACAGAGAGCAAGGCTGCGGGCCAGGATGGTGGTGCTACCTAAAGTTACCGCGTAAGTGACACCAGAGAAGCTGACGGGGAAAAGCAGAATGGAAATGATGGCTAACACACACACCCTCTGTGTCTCTGTCTCCAGAAAGCGGTTTGTTCTGAATACCGGAGATGAAATTCCAGCTATTGGGCTGGGAACATGGCAGTCGCCTCCAGACCAGGTGCGCAAAGCAGTGGCGGTTGCACTGCAGCATGGATATCGTGAGTAGAATCCCCTCCCTCGGCATATCTCGAGCAGCCCTGTCCAGATACTCCCTCCTTCAGCATCTCTCGCAGACAGTCCCGACGTGTTGACGGACTCTTTTGTACCACACAGGACACCTCGACACGGCACGCGCGTACAAGAACGAAAAGGAGGTCGGCGATGGCATCAGAGACTCTGGTGTTCCCAGACAGGAGATTTGGATCACCACCAAACTCGCCAATACAGACCATAAACGCGTGGCCGAAGCGCTCGAGGAGTCGTTGCAATTCTTGGGGACCGACTACATCGACTTGTATCTGATCCACTGGCCATGTTCGACGGATCCCGGGGACACGACCAAGATGTACCAGGACTGGGACTTTGTCGACACCTGGGGCGAGATGCAGAAGCTCGTGGGCTCGGGCAAGGTGCGCAACATTGGCGTGTCGAATTTCGGCATCACGCAGCTCGAACGATTGCTCGGCCACCCGACAACGACCATCGTGCCGGCGGTGAATCAGATCGAGCTACACCCGTACCGCCCCTCTCCCAAGCTGGTGAAGTACAATTCCGGCAAGGGCATCCACTCGACGGGGTATTCGTGCCTGGGCTCCACCAATTCACTCCTGTATTCCGACCCTGTCTTGCTCGAGTTGAGCGCCCAGCGCGGCCGGACACCCCAACAGATCATGCTTGCGTGGGGAATACAGAAGGGATGGAGTGTGTTACCCAAGAGTGTCACTCCAGAAAGGATCAGGAAGAACTTTGACCTGGACGGCTGGAGCTTGAGTGCGGATGAGATCAAGGTGATAGACTCGTTGACCGGGCGTATGAAGGTGTGTGACGGCGCCTTCCTACCTCGTGGAGCAAAGGTTTTTTACGGCGATGATGAATAGATGAAAAACTTGTGTACTGGTGCAAAGAGATATCCGTTGTCAACTGGGTGGGCAGAGACGCAGTAGGGTTTGAACGCGCAACAACAAGCCATGTATGAGTCGGCAACAGCAAGTAACTCAACAGAAACTAGATAGATTCTCGTCCAGAATATATAGATAGAGCTCAGACCTAGGCATTCAATGGAAGCTCTTCAGAGAGGCTACACACATATCCAAATAGTGCAGGCAAACTCGACCCTGGACCAGGCCTGCAGTGAATTTCTTTTTCTTGAGCACCGCGCGCGAGGTCAACTTTCAGTCAATTTTATACTTGGTTTCCTGGCAGCCCTTGGTAACTAGTGTAGCCCGCTATCAACCTACATTTTCAAAGACGAGCAGGGACACGCCCTGGCGCGGCAAGTCAAACGACAGCTTCGGCACGCCGGACTGCGCTTCCAACTTTGTCGGCCCTGTGTACTCGGCTAGGGAGCCTGCAGCTTGAAGCTTGGCATATTGTTCTGCTGTCGGTTGCTGAGGTGAGCCCATCGACTTCCACACGGTGTAGGAGTTGCTGTGCGTCTCGTCGACACGGTAGTGCCGAAGCGTAGAATTCTCCTTCCACCCCACGCCCTCCAATGTCAGGTCCACAGCTGCTGATGGTCCCTTTAAATCGTCATCATGATAGTGCCAGACCATAACACTGACCGTCTGCCCGTCTCGGGCAGCGATGGCTCCCACATCAGCATCTTCACGGACACTGTTTTGTAAGAGGTCCTGCAGAGGAACCTGTTGCGAACTGGTGCTGGCCAGGCGCTCACCCTCCATGCGGGCAAACATACGGAAGATGTTGAGCACCGGAAGGTCGACGTCGTTACTGGCCAGAACGCGGAATCCCGCAAAGTAAGGCTGATCCTCGAACTCAAACGCCCAAGTGACAACTCCCTCGAGATTGACGCCATGCTTTTCTGAAAGTAGATGCTTGCGAGCAAAGCTGGCGGCGGTGTATGACGAGTAAAGGGTGCTGTTACGGTACGCCAACTGCGGGCCCTGAGCGGCTGCCGCGCCTTCTGGATCCGACTCGCCCAGGACGATAGGAAGCGGCTTGAACTTGGGGAATGAGGCAATCACGCCAAACGAGGTATCAATCTCTCGAAGATGGTGGGCAATACCCATCCGGACACTCTTCGTCTCTTCCTGGTACTTCGGTGCGCCTTTGGCGTGGAAAGATACAAAGTCAAGGGGTGCGCCTTTGCCTTGGGTCGCTTGGTTCTCGCCATCGAGGCAGTGCTGCAGGAAGCCCCTGAGGTATTCTGGTCCACGGCCAGTGGTCTCCGGCCCGCCTACTTTGGCGGACGGCAACGCACGTCGGACACCTTCCACGGCGTAATCATAGAGCTTGTTGTACTCTTCCGGAGTTCCTTGCCAGTAGCCGATGTCCGGCTCGTTCCACGTTTCCCAGTACCATGATTCGCATTCAGAGATTCCATACCTCTCCACACAATGCTTCGTCCATTGATATATGAGCTCGCCCCACTTTGCATAGTCCTTGGGCGGATAAGCCCAACCCGTGAATATTTCGCCGTAAGGCGCCGTAGGAGTCCATTTATGCTGATACGGCTCTGGATGAACAGAAAGTGCTTGCGGCATGAACCCGAACTGAACGTACGGTTTGAGCTTTTTCTCCAGATATGTGTCGTACACTCGATCGATGATCGTCCAGTCATAAACCGGGTTTCCATCCTTGTCCTCGGTGTAGGCGTTTGTACTTCCCCATTTCAGCGCATGGACACCTTCGCCCGTCACGAATTGACTGTGAGCTCGAAACCAGGCCTGGTGCGGGCCGAGGGAACCAAGCTTCTCCAGAAGTTTGCGGCCATCTTTCATGTAAACATAATTGATCTCATCGGTGCCGTAAAATCGGTAGATCTGCCGCCACGGCTCAATCGATTTGTTGCCAAACACGTTTATCGCGACTGGAATGGACATCTTGACCGTTGCTTCCTTTTTCCCTGGAAACCGGAAAACGACTCTATGCCCCAAGGGTTGACCTATATAGGCTCATCACCACCGTTGGAGTAACGCATATATCATTGAGAGTTTCAGGTGAATGGACGACACGAACCCGCCGAAAACAGAATCTCCACTGACCGCGTGGAGAACGGCAAGGAAATGTCTGCAGCGGCCGGCCTTTGACGCCGGAAAGCCGAAGCCTCTCAAGTCTCCCTTTTGGTCCCATCCCGCATTGAGAGAACTTGAATTCCTCGGCCTCCCACACGCCAGGACCACCGGAGGACCGCCGGTGGACATTGAGCCTGGAGGCCTCCAGGCGTGTCATGGAGAGTGCGCGGGAGAATGGTCCAAACCTAGATACTATAGTCCGGGGGGTTCGTTTACAAAACCGGCCATGGATCCCGGGGTCTGGCCCAAGTTGCCGGTGCCGAACATCCTTGAGTTCCTGCCCGCTGCGCGAAAGCACGAACAGGAACGAAAAGGCCCCGTTAGCAACAGGATAATGAGGAACCATATTCGAGGACGTCAAGGCCAGGTTGGAGATAACCCCGACCTCTCTGCCCCGAGTGAAGACACCCAGCCATGTGGTTGTGGGTAACGGTGAAAGGTCCAACCAGAAGTATTGAGGTTCCCCGGCTGCTGTAATACAAGGCACAAAGCACAAGGCACCCATGAACGGGCATGCCTACTTGGGTACCCGATTGACATTGCGTCGACATTGGCGCGCATATTCCGTATTCGGCCTCATATCCGTCAGGACTCGTACTTGTTACGGCTACACCACTTGATTGTTCAACCCATCAGAACTTATTGAATCGCCGGGCCACATCTGGCCGTGAGACCTGAGTAATACCTCTGGGATCCGAGGGATTGGTTGAGGTCTGTGCTTTCTCAGTCGAGGGCTCTAGACCGCCACGAGGAGGACTGGGCTTCTAGACCAGACTGCCTTGTGGAGATGATCGAGATATGCATAACCACAGCCTCGAATTGGTCGAGGTGCAATATCTAGGCTGGACTTCTTCCCATGAACAGGAACGACTCCAGCTGCCAAGACTGCTCCGAAGGAAGACTTGCTCCCCAGGATATTGATTCAATGTAAACGCATCTTTGGCCTGCGTTCTGCACTTGTCGCATCAATTGGAGACGGCCGACACTCATGACACCCATCTCGAGGACGACGTGCTTTGACAGAGACAGCAGGGGCGCAGCTGCGGTTACGTGGTTGGACCTCGACATATCGGTACCAGACGGTGAAGCTCGAACGAGATTGGAAGAGTAGAGGATACACGAGAGGGACCAACTGGGAGGGTTCTTCATGCAGCAGCCTTCACGGCCGCCGTGGCAGGCTTTGTCCTCAAGCTGGAGAGAAACAACGTTCAAGCAAGACAGACACGGCCCAGCTGTGAAGAGAGGCTGCCACCAAGTGCGCCGGCAACTTTCTGATGGTGCGCATCCCTCGCCCGCCGCCTGCCTATAGGCACCCATAAACTCTCTCCTAATTACAGGCCTTCTCTCGAGACACTCCAAGACACAATATGACCTGGTAGCTAGATGGCTGACACCGGGCTTCTGCATTCGCCTCGATCGGCCCATCTATCTTCCCGACGGCGAACTGATGTTCTCATTGGCCGAGGGCGACTTCAAGGCACGATTTCCACGACTACATATACATCTGCGCTCTTCAGCTGAATCGAATTCCCCTAAGCAGAATAGACCGGGTCAGCGGAATTCAACTGACACTCGAGATGGCAGCAATGAATAGTGATTTTCGCAACGCTGACGACCTTGGTCTCCCAGAACCATTTGCCTCGATCCCACGCTATCCACTCACCCTGGGTCCGTCCCCCATCCATGCCCTTCCCAATATCTCCGCTGCCTTGGGAGGGAAGGTGACCATCTACGCCAAGCGCGAAGACCTCAACTCCGCTCTCGCCTTCGGGGGCAATAAAACCCGCAAACTCGAGTACCTCGTCCCGGACGCCCTGGCCCAGAACTGCGACACTTTGGTCTCCATTGGCGGATACCAGTCCAATCACACCCGTCAAGTTGCTGCCGTGGCGGCCAAACTGGGTCTCAAGTGTAAAGTCGTGCAGGAGAAGTGGGTTGACCACGACGATGCGGGCTACGACAAGGTCGGAAACATCCAGTTGTCGAGGTTGATGAGCGCAGATGTGAGGCTCGATCAGTCTGGGTTCGGGATCCAGCACAAACAGACCCTCAAGAAATTGGAAGAGGAGGTCCTTGCCCGAGGAGGGAAGCCATATGTAAGTCCACCGGCCATCGTCACGCTTGTTTTCTCTGCCCTGTCTCAAAATGCAGTGTTTAGTACCCGCGTCATAAAACAGCCCGCTGCTGAGTCCTGACCCTCTGCTAATGTCTCTCTGCTAACGGCCTGAATGTCTTCACAGTACATCCCCGCCGGCGCCTCAGACCACCCTCTAGGCGGCCTGGGCTTTGCTCGCTGGGCCTTCGAAGTCCATGCCCAAGAACGGCAACTCAACGTCTTCTTCGACACCATCATCGTCTGCGCCGTCACGGGCAGCACGCTCGCCGGCATCATCGCCGGCTTCAAGCTCCTCGAGCGCACGCACCCAGCACCAGCACCAGCCTCACCCGGCGGCAAGAAGCGCAACATCATCGGCATAGACGCCAGCGCCAAGCCCAAAGACACCTTTGATCAAGTCCTCCGCATTGCACGCCAGACGGCGGCCAAGATCGGGCTCGACGAATCCGACGTCTCCGAAAGCGACGTCGTGCTGGACGCGAGATACCACGCCGGCACGTACGGGCTGGCGGACGAGGCGACGCTCGCAGCCATCCGATTCGGCGCGACGACCGAGGCCTTCATCACCGACCCGGTGTACGAAGGCAAGAGTCTCGCGGGACTCATTGATCTGGTCAAGAGGGGCGAGATCAACGAGGGCAGTAACGTCCTGTACGCCCACCTGGGCGGACAGATGGCCTTGAATGCATACTCGGAGATCCAGTGACCTTTTGGCCTGGACACCACCGTGGTGCGGCAGGCTCCAGACTTCCCGTTCGAAAGGACAGACCGTAGCTGGTCATAGCGAAGGATAAGGTATCTTGCATCATCCATGCATAAGTATGTGTGTGTCTGGCTCTCGACCTCTGTCAGCGAGAGACTCCAAGCCACAAGCCACGAGGACGGATCTAGGGATTAACATGAACTCCTCACTCGTCGCTCCTCGCGTACAATATTGGCCGTAGGAAGACTTGCGCCAATTCACAATATTGGATACTTGCTTGTGGTAGTAGTGGCAGTAGTTATAGAAGTAGTGGTGGTGGAGGGTGACCGCAAGGAGCTCGGTCAAATGACTTGTACCTCACCCATGCGGTTCGAGGAATGGTAGAGATGGTGGTGAACAACTGCGAGCAAGTACACTGCGGTATTGGTCTACATGCTTGCGGGCGAGGACTCAAAGTACTGACTGACTGACCGACTGGCCGATGAACAAGCACGAGATACTGCTACCCACGACCGTGATCCATTAAGAGCTTGAGGTCCCACGAAGCTCGCATAGCAGTTGGACGTGCTAGGCAAGTCGCATCGTTCGTCCAATGCGAACGGACACACCTAGACTGCGTAGCTGATGAATGATTGATCCCTACCAGGTAGGAACACGAGTTCCCATCACCAACTGAACGTCTCCTCGATCAGGTCCACCAAGACACCCTGCCGCGCGACACGAGCGACCTGGAACCTCACCTCGTCTGCTAGACCGCCCGGTCCACACACAAGCACGGCGACACGAGTGTCAAGTGTCGAGCTGCTAGCATTTGACTCCGCAGCAATGACTTGCGCGACGTCCATTCTGTGGCCTGATACCGTGGTGATGAGCTTCTCGGTGTGTGTCTCCGCAGTGACTTGGATGGTCTTGTCGGGAAGAATGTCTGGCTCAGGCTGAGACCGAGGCTGGGTTGCGGAGGTGGCAGACGTCGTGTCTGCACTTCCCTCTCCTGTACGAGTACCGGTAATCCAGAATCTGTACCGCAGGGATTCATCGTCGAGGCCGCCCTCTGAAAGGTCAGGCAGCAAGTTGTGTCGTACATACTGGAAGAGCTCGACCTCACGGACCGTCCATGCCAAAGTAAACTGCTTGCACCGCGGAAAGAGTGCCCCAGCGGCATCTCTCGGTGACGAGGTTCTTAAATTTGCTCGCTCGTGAGCAAATTGCTTGGCAAAGCTGGCTGCATAGGTGATGCCAATGCCCCCTGCAATGCAGATTATCCTTTCTGCATAGCGTAGGATGGCCCTGGTTGGAAGTTCAAGACCGCCGTACGGCCCTTCGACGAAGCTGGCGAAGGTAGTGGGGGACTGCGCTTTCAGCAATGCGCGGCGAAGCTCACCTGTCGCACCTCTTTGAGCTCTGAACAGGCAGCGGATGTAGAATTGGGGTTCGGGGCCGTTGTCAGGCGAGGTATGGCAGTGCCGGTGGCGCGCAGTGGTCGAGGGTTCTAGGTCCTGCCTCAACGAGCCTTCCTTGTTGGGCGTTTGGTCGTCTGAACTCGAGTTTGATGCCAAACGAGCCTGCGACAAAGGAGAAGTCATCCCCCAATCCAGAATACTGAATGGATGATTTTCCCAGACCCGCTTCAGCGTCGGGAAGTATACGAATGTGTGCTGACCCGGGTGGGCTCCCCAGTGCCTGCCTGGGAACATTGTCAATATAACCACATTGGTGCCCGGAAGGAGCTCGACTTGCGCCGATGTTCCAGAAGGAAAGTTGTAGTAGACCACTTTAAGAAGCCGCACAAGGCGGTCCCAGGCCCAGAAGGCGAAAGCAATGTACAGCCACACTTCGTAGCCCCAATTCTTGCTGTACCTGAGGTCAACATGGTACCAGGATCCCACCAGCGATAAGATCGCCAGAACGATGTGCAGGCCCAGGAATAGCTCATAGGCATACATGCGTAAGGGCAGAGCTGAAAGACCGGCCATCAAGCCCATGGCAGTTGTTGCGATGATGCCCCACCAAAAATACGGCTTCGCGGCTTCTGCGTAGTATGCATTGCCTCCGTCCTTGTAGTAGCAGTAATCCGCCGTGTAGACGATCGAATGGACAACGGCCTGTAAGATGGCAACTCGAGCTGCCCATCTGTGGAAGGCGAGGAATGTCGTCTGCGACCAACCACTGAGGTACATCAGAGGGTTGTTGCGCGCTGAGAAGAGGATGGCGAGAGCCATGTTGGCGAAACTCAACACTCCTGTCCTGTTGCCGATGTAGGCTGCCATTTCTTGGTTTCTGTTGGAGAACCAAGTATTCGGTTGGACACTTCTGTAAGGCACGGCACAAAAGACGATATTCAGAATAACGTAGAGCGTGAGCAGGCCCGTCATACTGCGATTGGGGAGGTAACCGAGTCTGAATGGTAGAGGCTGAGCATGTCGTTTTCGCAGCAGCGCGGGCAGGAGAAAGCTTGCTTGCAGCCAAATAACGAGCCCGTCCTGCCGGAGGTTCGTCGGGAGCAGAGCGGTCAGCCACAACCATAAGCCCGCCAACAGTGGTATGCCGACACTAAGAGTCATTACGATAATGCTGTATCCCCACGAGTTAGCATTGTCCATACCTAGGTGACCAGAGCTCACTTACGAGAACCGGACATGATACACCTCTGAATGCTCAAATTCGTCAATGGTCCCCCTGTCAGCCTTCCAATACGCTTCATTGACCTGCATTGTCTTGTTTAGCCACATAGCATGCTCGGCAAGCTCTTCCGTTGGGGGAACTGTTGGCAAGGAGTCTTCCAGCGAAGGGACCAGTAGTCCGTTTGCGGCCATCTCTCGGAAGCATGAGTTCTGCTTCTCATAGGAAAGACCCTCGATGTCACAGTGCGACTGAATGCAGTAGGCGAAGGACTGCAAATATGGCTCGTCGGTGGCGTAGCATTCATCGCTGGTCGAGCCCGCCATGTCCATATCCATGCGTTTGAGGAGCTTCATGGACATGCCATCGTGAGCGCGCGAGGACTCCGAAAAGGTCGTGCAGTTGAGGTACACCATGACCAACGAGTCGTGGCAGGCATAGCAGCAGAACGGATGAAACATGTTGATACCGTAACCGATCGTGCCATACTTGGTCGCATTTGCGACTCGTGCCAAGAACAAGCAGAAGGTCCATACTGCAACCAGATAGGCCATATTTGATGTTTCAATGGGGCAGGAGCAGACGCACAGGATAAAAGGCACCCGGAGGACATCTCTGTGCTGGAAGCATCAAAGCGCTTTATAGATTCCCTCGGTCGCTGGAACGACTGAAAATCCAGAGCATGGCTTGCGTGATCCGCAAAATCTGGAGCTGGGTTCTCAGCGTTCTGGTAGCTCGACCTCCATGGTGTAAGCTACGTTCGATTTGCTGATTGAGCGCCACATAGTTTGAGCCAAGCTTCGCTTTGACAACAAGTGCACCTTGAAAGAGTTGAGCAGGTTTTCTAGGGTATGCAACAGGAGCGGAGACTTGGCACTATTGAGCAAGTTTCCGATCCCTATTCCCGCTGCCGAATGATAAACGGAGTCAAAGTGTGCCTCGACCCGCAATTGGAGTATAGCTTCGTCGGTCTCGAATAATCGATTCGCCATAGTTATCGACGAGAGGATAGAAACATGCTCGTAACATCGGATCGAGACATCTAATGAGTCTAGATCTTTCAAATACCCAGAGCATGGCGCCAAGAGTTACCGTTAATCAGAAGTAAAGTCAGGGAGGACGGGGCAGTCTTCGACATTATCGGTTGTTGTTGCGCGGAGATAGTCTTTGGCCTGACTACGAGAAAGACACGGACTAATAGGGAGGGCTAAACTCACCATGGTCGTACTTCCTCAGAGTGAGCAACAAGCAACCGTTGCGCCGAGATTTGCCGTTCAGCTGTCCAGTACTAGAGGCTCCAACGCGGATGGTTCAAATGTAGGCTAATGCTACACAAGCTTAGACAAGAGTGACCGGCCATGTTGTGAAGGAAGGAATTGTGAGAACGCTTCCACTCAGGTTTTGCCAAAGGAGCCATAAAACAAACATGTATCGATCTTGACTGACATTGCAGAGACCACACTTTCTTAGCAATGTCGCAGGGAGCACGTCGGCGCGTGGGCTGTGGCTTCGGAGGCGAGATACTTTCTTCTGAACTCGAGCGTGACCGAGGAGCTGCTCAGGTCACGTAGGCCTTCGACATGCGAGATACGCCTGTTAGTGACGCGAAATTAACATAAGGTGCCAAGTTTGTGTCTCGGTGGTGTTCTATCATGCTCGGATCATTTGGATGTGTATGAGTTATAGGCAAATAAGTGGTTGGCAATGCTTGAGAAAGAGATACTGAGAACCGTCGGAGTGCTCTTCGATTCCTTGGCACGTCAAAAGGGGAATAGCGCCTTGGCAATTACATATCCTCGCGTCAGCTCCATGCGGCACGTGACACGTCTCTTTCTTCTGTTTCTTCTGTTCTTCTGTTCTTCTGATGCTTGCGTTTCCTTCTTGCCTGCCCTCGGTCCTTCTTAGACTCCTGTCGATGAGGTTGCCCTTATCTGCCCCAGATCTTCTCGGACAGTAAGACCGTGACTAAATGCACTCATTGTGAGGGAACGATCCTTGCCGTGCCACCTGTCCCGAAGGAATGCGATTACCTTATCTTGCCCCGAATTGCTGCTTGTCGTCGTCAGTGCCCCTCCAAATGCAACCTCGCGCGGAGCTGCAACCGGCCCATACGGGTAAGGATCAACCGACTATATCACTTAACTTATAACAGATCTTGCACTGTCCAATAAGGACTTTGTTTGAGATCCTTGGTGCTTGAGCTTCAGCAAGCTTGTGCAGAGCTTAACCAGGCACCCTGGCGGGTTAGCAGCGGTGTACCTGCCGCAGACGGACATCGCCCGTCACGACGAACGTGTAGCACGACATTGTGATGGCGATACGTAGGCGGGGCTGGCAGGGTACTTGAGGTGCGACGTGGAATATGGGAGCGCGACGTCTACCGCGGTCCTTACGGAAACTGTGACGGTACTCTGTAGATGTGAATTGACACTTGGCCGAACAAGTTACTCCCAGTATGCAGTCGCTCCAAGCACTACTGTTGGCCTTGACGGCCAGCTTTGGCCTTGCTGCCGCGCAAGTCGGTCCTCTGGGTAAAAATGGAAGACCGACAACTTACACAGCGTACACCTTCGACCAACTTATTGATCATTTCCAAACCAGCCCGCGGTATGCGCCAAACACGAACGCCACTTTCAAGCAAAGATACTGGTTCGACGATACATACTACAAGCCAGGCGGCCCCATCTTTCTCTACATTGGCGGCGAGGTCAGCGGGACGTCGCGCTTCTCAAATCTCGAGACCGGCATTATCCAGATCCTTATGAATGCGACCAGTGGGCTGGGGGTCATCCTTGAGAACAGATACTATGGAGACTCGTACCCTTTCGAGAATTCCACAACGGACAACCTTCGCTTTCTCACAACCGAGCAAACAATAGCAGACAATGCCTACTTTGCGCAACACGCTACATTCCCCAATGTTACCGGCGGAGACAACCTAACAGCCGCCTATCACCCCTGGATATTGTATGGAGGCAGTCTTGCCGGAGCACAGACCGCCTTCTCTCTAGTAGAGTACGAAGGATTGCTCTGGGGAGGCATTGCCGCCTCTGGTGTCATCCATGCAGTCCTGGGCTATCCCGAGTGGTATAATCCCATCCAGGAGAACGGGCCTCCAGACTGCATCAGCCGGATCAACAACATCATTGATAAGATTGACTATCTTATCGACACAAACAACACTGCAGCCATTCAGCAATTGAAGGAGATCTTCGGGCTGGGCACATTGAGTGACCTGAGGGACTTTGCCATGACGGTGACCCAACTCCGTCTCTGCAACTGCCAAACCGCTAACGAGAGATCAGATTGCATTCCCGCTGGGTGGACCAATGAACTATCCTACCAACACCTGGCAAGAGCTCAATTGGAACCCTCCGTCCGACAACCCGGATTTCTTCTGGTTCTGCAACAACATCACGGATATGAACGCCCCTGCAAACATCACGGCCGTGGACACTCAGCTGGCCAACTACACGAACGGATCGGCTTGGACCGGCCTAGGTGCATACGCCAATTATGTCAAGGAAGTCGTTGTCTCGAGCTGTGAAAGTGAAGATTTGATCAATACTCCCGAATGCTTTTCGACTCAGAACCGTGAGTTGCCGTGGCGGCGTGCCCACGTGGCTGCATCTTTGGGTTTGGTCATTGACAGCTAACATCCCACCAGAGACCTTCTACGCCATCGCCGACAATTCCGGCAGCAGATCCTACCTCTACAGCACGTGCACCGAACAAGGCGCATACCAGATGCCCCAACCCCGCGGCACACCTTCGCTTCTCTCCCGCGTCATCGGGCTCGACTACACGCAGCAGTGGTGCACGTGGGCGTTCCCTCCCGGCCCGCTCTCACCGCAGGCGGTCCCATCCCCGGATGGGCCAAACTCGACTTGGTACAACAAATACGGGGACTTCAACCTGACTGCCCCACGCCTTGCTCTGATCGATGGAGGGAGCGATGTGTGGCGGGACTTGTGCTACCACGGCCGTAACGCCAGCACACGGTATGGAGAGAATCAGCTGTTGATCACGGGTGGGGGCCATCATTGGGACAGCACGGGGATTCTCAACATCAGTGCGGAGCCGGATTTCATCCGAGAGGCGCACCAGTGGGAGATACGGCGGGTAAAGACCTGGTTGAAGGAGTGGAATGCTATGAAGGGGAAGAACGCAGTGAAACGGGACGAGCTATGAAAGGTACTGTAGGCAGACAGTGCACGGCACCGCATGCAACATATAGCAGACGACGTATAGAAGTCTGGACTACGGTCTAGAAACTTGAACACTAGGTTTTATCGTGGCTGCTGGAACGGATGCCATAGTCATCCCGTCCATGGAATCGGACGACACTTGGGAAGTTCTTCCCCATGGTGCCGTGCCGCTTTCCATCAACTCCGCGTCAGACCAGCCCCTATCACCTCGTAGTATATACGGCTTTCCTACAATTAGGCATCGTACGAGCAAAGGGAACCTGATGCTATGGCAAGAGCCATAGTTCCTTCAGTACCGCATAGTCCTAGAGCCCGCACGCGGGCAGAGTGCAGATCGCGCACCATCTTAGCGTCGCTTCTGTATGATGGCGGCGGGGCTCGATGGCGGCGTCTCACAGTCGATACACTGGGGGAAGCCGAATTGCCTCTCACTCCCGACCCCAAATGCGCCAAGTTCCGCTGGGTCAGAAGTGATGTGGCGGCGACATGACGCCTCCTGCTTGCGGACCGCGTGGAACAAATGTCCATCCCTCCGACTAAAATCCAAATGGCCTGGACTTCGGCTGCCGGTAGAGATCAAGCCAGCCATATCGCTCGCAAGGCTGTTGTGGTGCGTGCACGTCGCTCTGCCGCGGGGCGGGGTGTGCCGTTCGACATACGTACGGGTCGCGGTCCCGCAGTCGGCGCATGTCTGTGTGAAGTGGATCGTCTCCTGGTTCGTGTGTGGACGCACCGGCATCGCTGGCCTGGCGGTGTCCCGAGAACGGCTCGAGACGGAAGGCGAAGCGGAGGACCGTGCCCGAGCAGGCTGTTGGAATGTCGAGCGCGCGCCTTGGTGGTCGTAGTCTTCAAGGTTGGAGGAACGATCAAGTGGTGGCGACAAGGGAGATTATCAACGCCTCGGACAGTACCAGTACCTTTATTCGTCGGGTCTGCCCAAACGGACGAAAAGCTCCTGCTCGACACGGAATCGCGCCGGGCCAGGAACAAGGGATGCCGGGGGGTCTCCAGCCTCATATGGCATCCTACCTTGAAGTGGGCTGGCTGGGCGACGAGTGGGATGAGTCGCGGGCGCTACGAATTGCCTTCTGCCCAGCACATATCAAGCCATAGGAGGGGTGATGTGAGTACCGGAGTCCGCTTCGACGAAGCTTTGGGACGCGGTGTGCGCCACTGGCGAAGCGAGCGCGTGGTATTGCAGCAGCACTTTGTTCCAAGGCAGACCCAGAAACACGAGAGGCGTGGCCGAGAACCGTTTCCAAGTGCGCCTTACTTTGGTTGTCGCGAGCGACAACTCTAGATGTACTTATGTACGAGCGGTGCAACTCTACTGTACTGTTGTAGTTAGCGGACACGCCTAGAGTCTAGTCGCCTCAGCGTAACTAGTATTTGCACATACAACGGACAACAGACGACGCAGAGCATGAGCTTCTGCATTAGCGGCATACTTGAAGCTTCTCACTTGATTTCACAGTAGAGTTCTTTGGTCGCAGCTCATCTCGCTGGAGAACAATAGCTGTATTGAGGTAAGCTATCTAGCCAGCTCACTCTCGTTTTCAATCCTTGTATTCACGTCAAGCTTGGTCTGCCACTGATAACAGGCGTGACTGTCCTGCACAGCCGCTTGAAGAGATCTGAGCCCGCACATGACGATTGTTCATGGTATGATGAAAGACTAGGTCGAGCCTCCTGTGACCTCGTCAGCAGCAGCTCGAATGATCCACGTCACAGCTGAATGCAGCGTTGGCTTACCTTTCTTGCCGGCCTCGGAGGGATCAACCTTGCCGTGAGCAAACTCGCCCTTTTGGCTGCCACCGGTATTGCCGCTACTGCCACCGCCGGAGCTGGAGGTGTTACTGTCGCTGCCACCGGTGGGGCCGCCTCCAGACGCGAGACCGCCCTCTGCGATTGTGAGTTAGAAACCTGACAAAACCAACTCGCTGCCGATGCACTGCAGTGACGTACTCTTGCCAGCCTCATGGGGGTCGACCTTTCCGTGGGCAAACTCGCCAGGGGCGCTACCTCCAGAAGAAGACATGATTAATTGACTTGTTGGGAGTTGCTTGTGTGATTGTCTGATTTGAAATAAGTGTGTAGGCTTTGGTCGGATCGATGGCAGATGAGAGCAGGATCAGGAAGGGTAGAAACAGGCATAAGTAGAAGTACCTTCAGCGTTAATTACCCTCGTCACATGGCATGATGACAAGGGTGCTTGATGTCAAAGTCGTCACTTTACGTCACGAAATATGAAGATGAGGAGTGTGTATGGAGTGGATGAGGAGGTTGACAGAGATGACAGAGGTGAGGTGAGGTAACTCTATATGCGAAAACTCAACTCACCAAGTTGCCGTCATCGAACTCAATGGTTTTCTAGGACTTTGACACAGACGGATATCCCACTGGCGAAGATACGTGCTGGGCATGGGGGAAGTTTGGAAAGCCGGCGAAGTTCGTTGTGGCGACCACTGGAGCCGCCGCTAGACAACGTCCTACGACGAACAGAGCACCGCATGAGTCTACCTTAGTCAAGGCTCTTCACAAAGTAATCGCGAGACCTGATGGCCCACGCTGTACCGCTACCAGGCTCGTGGTCGTCCGTAACCTCGAGCGCGTGGATGACCCATTCTTTTGCTCTGTTCATCAACCATAGTTAGGTTGGGGCAACTTGAGGGTATCGTCCACCACAAGCGACATGTCCTGCATCATCCCAGCATCGTTCCCGAGATCACCTGTCCTTCCTGCCGTCGACGCCGAAATCAAACTTGGAGGAAGAGAGTAGAGAAGCTGGAAGGCAAGAGATATTATGCCCCTTCGCCGTTAAATGAACAGGCTGGTATTCCTCCTACGTACCCAGCTTAACAAAAGTACTGCCACAGCATCCTATCAAAGCAATCTGCCTCATACCTCGACAACCTAGCGATCAAGGACGACGCATCTGCTTCTGTGAGCTACTACTTACCTCGGGAAGCATGGTGAAGTCAGGTGTTATATCGATAACTTGACGTTCTTCAACCAGGCCAGCTCACATGAGTAGGTCGGTACTCGCTTTGAGCATGTATTGCTTCATTGCTGCAGAAACTCACTGCTGCCGAACCCCCTGGAGTCGAAGTGCGATCGACTGGTCATCCATTGAGTGATCTCCAGTGAACTTGGGGGCTTTCGCTTGGTTTTTGGGTCTCGCCGTTTCCATCAGCGCTTTTCGGAGCCTCATTGCCAGCAATAACCACTTCCCAGAAGTCCTTCCTTGACAAGCTATTAATCTCGCATATGCCAGCCTGCTCTCACCAGCACCATCTCGGCCCTATGGGGTTATAGGCAAGACGAAAATCTCACGGGTGGCGTGCTGCGGATTCGACCAGATGAACGGAGACTGCAGCACGAGAAGGATCTCAGATCACCTCAACCTGGCATGGCATCCTGGTAAATCATGGGAGACACAGTTCCTACGGCACCAGCCGGTCTGCCAGAATTGATGTCACAGGTATGACGTCAACCAGTCCAGGTTCCGGTTCAGGAGAACACCAAGAACGAAAAGAATCGAAGTCCGGAGACGACTTCCGAGCACGTACGATCAAGGATATCTCTCTTCACAGAGCAGGCAGGACTCCCTAGAGCTCAGCCCAAGATCATAATCTCCCAGAAAACAGCTCAACAACATGGGCGCTGTCCTAAGCTACGTCCACTCCATCCTCGACAATGCCCTTACCACCGTGAAACTGGTCCAGAACCGCGAGGTCGGCTGGAAAACACTCAATCGCAAAACTGGCCGGTATGAGCGTGAACGACAGCCCATATACAAAAAGATCAAGCTATGGCTTTTGTTCAGTTGGCCCATGGAGTGGATTGATCGGACGTGGTTGCTGAGGCATTGGATTCATGACAAGACTATCAGATCGGGCAAGAAGGAAGGCACGCTCGCCTCCGCTAGCCAAATCCAATCCTTCGTCGACTTCTACCACATCAACATGGACGACTTCAGTCCCTCCGACATCCATGCCTACCGTACATTCGAAGACTTTTTCGTGAGGCAACACAAACCCGGAGCCCGTCCAATCTTCGAAGAGGATGACCCGTCCCGTGCGGTCGTCGTTGCAGACTGTCGACTGGTCGTCTACCCCACCGTCGCCGAATCCAAACGCCTCTGGATAAAGGGCCGGAACTTCACAATCGGCAACTTGATCGAAGATGACGCCACCGCAAGAACATGGCACAACGGTGCGATTGCATCTTTCAGGCTAAGTCCGCAAGATTATCATCGCTACCACTCCCCGGTGGAAGGCGTGGTGGAATGGTACAAGCAAATCCCCGGCGAATATTATCAAGTCGACCCACTCTGCGTGAGGTCTGACATCGACATCTTGACCCTCAATGCCCGCTGCGCGGTCTGCATCAATAGTCCCTTGTTCGGACGCGTGCTCTTCGTCGCCATTGGAGCCACAAATGTGGGCACCGTAGAAATCAACCCAAAGTGCCGGACGAAGGGCTCACACTTGAGAAAGGGCGAAGAAGTAGGTTTGTTTCAATTTGGAGGGAGTAGCATCATCGTCGCGTTTGAGGAGGGAAAGATCCGGTTCGATGAGGATTTACTGAGTGTAAGTAGGCATTTGGTCATGATGGACGTCGAGGTGGGCATGAGTTTGGGACAGGCAACAAGTCGGAATGAGGCTCGATAACGAATTCACTGCGGTAACCAGCACGCTGGGGGGTGGGCGGAGGCCATAGCCATGCGGCGTTGACCAAAAGTGTATGGTGTCAGATACATTTTTGAATACATCACAGTGTCTTAGTAGGCTTCGCTTCAATGCTCCCCACAATCAACCAGGCGGTCGGCACGGGGCAGCACCACCCTAGTCCCGATCTAGGGTGAGCTGAACTCAGCCTTCTGCCTGTTTCCGTGCGCGAACATCTCCAGTACTGTAATATTCTCGCTCACAGACGTACACCACTGTCTCGGTCTTCCGTCTGGGCGATGCAAGCAGCCTCGACGCTGCAAGTCCGGCGCGGCAGTCGGCGCCAATCATGACGCTTCCGAAACCGAATGCCTCGTTCAAGATTCCTAGTGTCCATGACGATACAGAGCTGGATTGTCGAATATACTATCCGCGGAAGACGGAGAAGAACTCCAGGGCTTTCGGGCGAAGCTTCGCGATAGTTGCACATCCGTACGCTCCCTTGGGCGGTTGTTATGACGACCCAGTGGTGGCGCTTGTTGGTGGCGTCCTGCTTCAGCAGGGCTTTGTTTTGGCCACGTTCAATTTCAGGTGGATACTTGTCTGTCTGCAGGGCCAACTCTATCAGATACTGACGTGGTGCAGAGGAGCATCTGGATCAAGCGGACGAACATCTTGGTCAGGGAAGCCTGAGCTGAGTGATTACGTTTCGGTCTACGGTTTTCTACTGCACTATATCGATGCTATCTTTCGCGCAGGGGCAGAGGAACAGCGATGTCGATACCCACCCCCACTTTTAATTCTAGGAGGGTATTCATATGGCTCGATGATTGCATCCCATCTGCCGCCGATAGATCTGGTGGTCGAGTTATTCAAGTTAGAGACACCAGACTCGGCAGGGACTGAGATCAAGCGGCGAGCGGAGGAGCTGTCTCGTGATGCTCGGGCCTACTTCGATATGTATTCCGCGTCAACAACCTTAACAGTCGCAGGGTCTCCAGGGACACCCAGAGGACAGATCCGAAAGACCAAACCCGGTGTCATCATGGGTGGTTACGAGTCGGGGCGCATCAGCCGGGAAAACTCCAGAAAGAGCATTGACACGGAAAGGATCAGACAAAGTTTGGACAGAGTCCGTCGCAAGATCGGTTCTCAAGCCGACAGTCCGTCCACGCCATCATCATCGGCATCAGTAACAGAAGCGGCGACTTCGCCACTCGCGGAACCTGCCCCGACTGTGTTGCCAGATGTCGCCTACCTCATCGTGTCTCCAATCCTTTCTATGGCGGCCAGTTTCACCACGATGTTCTCCAAGCTTCGATTTGTCGCCAAGGGTCTGCAGGGAGCGTCTGCATCGGAGGGAGAGTTTCATCAGCTCACAGTCCATCCGTGTTGCTGCTTGTACGGGAACAAAGATGTTTTCACGTCTGCTCGCAAGTTGCAGAGGTGGACGGAAGAGCTGAAAGCACGACCAGGGTCTCGGTTTATGGCCGTCGAGGCAGACGCCGGACACTTCTGGCGAGAAGCTGACGGCATCGTTCGATTTAAGCAAGGACTGTGCGAATTCCTCGAGACACTGACAAGTCGCCGTGCTGCGTCTACCGAAGATGATGCACGCTCGTAACATGGAGACACCTACCTCTAGCCTGAGCAAAGAAGCTTGCCCTAACCACCTAACTGCCGCGGGCGGGGCGCCACGCGTTCGAGAGAGCAGAATGCTGCCAAGCACAGAGGGCTTTCCGAGTACTGTAGGTTGGCACCAACTTCTGTGCTTCACGACGACGTCAATCTAGCGAAGAAATTGAAATCTGGCTTTGTTTGATGCACGTTGGTGTCCCTACTCGAACCGGCACCTCTGATACGGGGTACTTGTGGGCAAACAGGACAGTCATGTGCGGATTTGAGCGAAGTGCACATGCTCGACTTGTCTTCTCGAAATCTAAGCCTACCTAGTCACAGAATCTCGGCGGAAGCCCAGCGCGTAGCAAAAGCCGGCGTCGAGCAGCGTCTCGGCAGGCAACTATGCAGATACAAGGACGTGGGTGGTGGAGAATACGAGGCGCGCCCGAGCAGAACGACAGGCTTGTCAGGAACTCCGAGACTCGAGACGCGAGATGCATTTTGCTTTTGCTTTTGCATTTGCATGTGATCGAGATCAGCGGCGAAGCAAACCTTCTCGCCGTGCCTTTAATTGGGGGCTCACCGGTCCCTTTATCCGTTCTCTCATTCGACGAAGCCTGACAAAGAACATATCACGCGCGCACCACGCTCACCTGAAAACAGCATCATGACACCTTAATGTCTTCCAGGAATACCAATCGCCTGACTGTGCCGCCCCAGCTGAGCGGTGACAATGTGGCCGGTTCTCCAGCTCATTCGCTTTCCCCAGCCCTTGACTGTACGGAGTACACGGAGGTGACTGTTGCGGAGGGAGTGCGGCCTGGGGAGAAAGCCATACTTTGATAATCTCCACGGCGCCGTGAGTTGACTTCATACCCAGCCATGTCATAAATCGCCCCACAAAGCTCGTTCCACTCCTTCGTCACCTCTCCGTCCCTGTGCCTCGCAGCCGCGTCTTTGTTTGGTTCATCTCATTCCCTTCTGGGACACATACACTCGGCTACCGAGTCTGGCTTCGGCCCACCGGCTGGACGCATTACAAGGTAATCGTTCATCGGCCACGTCTGGCATACGTCTGTCCATCCACTCCTTCTCTGCGCTTGCCTTATCCCAGGTCCTTCCATGGAGCGAGGTCACACGCCCACGCCAGAAATTGCCAACTGATCTTGGATGACACAGCTCGCTCTCATGTTAACAGCTAGGACACCGAGACTTCCGCATATCCGTGACTACCGTCTTCACCTATTTCACTCATTCTAGAACTACCTATAGACGACCTGGAGACAGACATTTCCCGAGTCCACCTAGCCACTCACTGTGGTCATCAAATGGCCACGACCCTACCATCGCCATGGCAATCCTCCTGTCGGTTGTCCCTGCGCACTCCCCAATCTTTTGGTCCTGTGTTGGCATTTACGCCGATGTGGTCAAGCTGTTGTCGCCGAGCAAGAGACTGCAGAGACTGGCTGGAGAGATAGCCAGATACAGCAGAAGACCGGCCGAGACACCGGAGCAAGCCCTGATCAGACGCATGAACGAGGCCCAATCTTTGGCCGAGTACGAGAGCTGTACCGTCGAGTTGGATCACCTACAAGGCCACGAAGCATGGAAGAAAGAGAAGGACTCGATCGAACCCGGCTACAACCCTGATGTCATCGAGAATCAAGTGGTTCGCTTGAAGAAAGCTGTGATCGAACGAGATACAGCGGCCCTGCACCATCTCCTGCGGACGGGGCTCAGTCGCGACCTGGGAGGCATGAACTCGCTGCGGCTCTACAAGCATTCGTGGTTCGGCACCAAGCAACTGATAGACGATTACATCAACACCGTTTTAGAGGCCATTGATACCCTTTCCGAGACAAGCAGTCGCAATGATATTTCTACTGTAGAAGTCCGGCGTTCTCAGCAATCGTTAGAAGACGCCCTGAAATTTTTTGGTCGTTCAGCGTTGACATTATCTGGTGGGGCACTTCTGGGCATGAAGCATATTGGCGTTGTGAAGACTCTGTGGGAGGCAGAACTTTTGCCAGAGATCATTTCCGGAGCATCAGCAGGGAGTATCGTGGCCGGCATTGTGGGAAGTTCGACTGACGAGCGGATGGCGGAAGTGCTCGACCGATTCCCCTTTTCCGACCTGGCCGTCTTCGATCCCCCGGGAACAGGCAGAGTGGGATGGCTCAGCCAGCGCGTCCGTACAGTGCTGCGGACTGGCGCTTTCTTCGAAATGGAGAATCTGAAGAGGGTGATGAGAGACTGGCTGGGCGACATCACCTTTCGAGAGGCACATTACAAGACTGGTCGCATTGTCAACATTTGCGTGTCCAGCGCCGGCAGTGCGGAGCCACGACTGTTGAATTTCGTAACGGCTCCCGACGTCTTCATCTGGTCAGCAGTCTGTGCATCTTGTGCGGTCCCCAGTGTTTTCTCGCCCGCCAACATCTACGAGAAGGATCCCATCACCAAGGAGGAGAAACTGTGGATGCAGAACGCGAAGCAGACATTTGTGGACGGGTCCCTGGACCACGACATCCCGATGCGAAAACTGTCCGAGATGTTCAACGTCAACTTCTTCATCGTCTCCCAGGTCAACCCGCACGTGCGGGTGTTCCTCGACCGAGAGGAGAGTTTCCGGGGTAAGCAGCCCGGGACGCTCGTCCCAACTCAAAACCCGTTCCAAGTCGCCAAGGAGGTTCTGAGAGAAGAGATCATCCACCGGGCACAGCAACTTGCAGACCTCGGCGTCCCGCAAGGATTCTACAGGTGGGCTTCACTGTTCAACCAACAGTACACGGGCGATATCAACATATTGCCCGCCATCCGACCGAGCGAGTACCTCAACATGATGATGAATCCTACATCAGAGTTCATGCTGAAAGCCACCGTGGCTGGCGAACGGGCGACTTGGCCTCGGATGTGTCGAATCAAGAACTGCGTGGCCATTGAATTGGCTCTCATCCAAGCCATCCATACATTAAGGGACAGGGTGAATTTTGGACCCGAGGCCAGAGCCGCCCGCGAGCAAAAGAGGTCCAACAGCAGAGGCCGTCCAGGGCGCGGCCGGTCGGCTCGTCCATCGTTCCTCCGACGCCGCAGTCTCAGCATCGAGTCTCCTGTAGAGGGCGAAAATGGACTGGCCCTGCCAGCACCCCTAAAAGTGCGCCGCAACGTCAGTCTGGGTAATATCTCGATGAGGCCGACTTTCTCCATAACGACGCCTCGGACAACGCCATACCTCTCGCCGCAGGTGGGCATCGACCAGGACATTCTGGCGGATGCGTTGGCCATGACCTCTGGCAGGTCAGAAACAATGAATGGGACGGGCGCAGACAGCGGGCCTTACGAGCCGTGCACGTGACTGGAGTCTGGATGGTTGCCTACATTTTACGATGATACCCCTGTTCTAGATCAAGCTGTAGCATTAGAAAGATAGCTCGCACAAGAACTAAACGTCCTGATATGTGTAACGTTGTGCAATGGCCGACTACCAGGCCCCAGCGGTGCACCTAAACGACACCACCCTGGTGTGTGTAGCCAGGAGAGGAGCGGAGATATCGAGAGGGAGAGGGAGACGTGGCATTGGTTTGACAGCCGCCAGTCGCGCGGCAGTGGCAGCATTTCTTTCCTCGTCCACCTCCACCCGCAGCTGCACTCGTCGAACCAGTCCACCATGGACAATTGATCGGTTGATGGCCAAACCCACGCGCTGTTACACAGCTTCACGCCAGAAGCAACCTCTGCAACCTTTGCGCCAGCCATGGATCTGAGGGCGATGCTGAATGAGTCTCAGCCGGCGCAGCGACAAGACCTTCAAGGGCCACCGCACCCTCCGCCTCGACTTCACACCCATCAATCATCCTATGACCGCACCCCGTCGTACGAGTCACATCCTCCTCTCGAGCGCCCGCCGTTGCTGTCAGCCTCTTCATCCTCGTCATATCACCACCACCACCAGCCGCCGCCGTCCAACGACTTCCGCTCCTCTGCCAATGGCTCCTATTTCGCCGTGCAGTCACCGCACCAACACCAGAATTCCGCGTCTGCGTCTGCGTCCACCCCCAGCTACGCGCAGAGTCCGGGACCATATGCTCAGATCCATACGCCGCGTGAAGGAGTAGCGTCTGCACATCCATACCAGTCTCCCTTTGTCCCTTCGCCCTCCCCGTCGGCGCAATACCCTCCGACACCCGGCTCCGTCCACCACTATCCCAACACTGCCACGCCTTCCACTGCGACCACCTATCAATACCCTACGGCTCATCCGTCACTGACTGGACAGTCACCCACACTGAGAGAAGAGCACATTTCCGCAAACGGCAATTCGCATGCGCGCCAGCGGAACATTTCACCTCAGGCTCAGTTCCACCCTCCTCCAGCGACGCCCCTGGGCCCACCCGTGTCCTACCCACGACCTTCGCCACACCCTCATCGACCGACCTCCCATGGCCACGAGAGCGTGAGAAGATCATCCGTGGGCTCGGTTGGCTCGGTACAAAGCAGGGATTACAACCAAGGGCCGTCCGATCATTCGAGAACTGGGAGTGGCAGCATACAAAGAACGTATTCGGGGGACGTGCGTGAACGCGAACGGAGCATTGAGAGTGTCAGTCCGAAGACGATCCCTAAGCCTCCTCCAGTCCGGCGGCAGAGCGTGAGCCGGTTCCAGGACCTCATGTCCGATCAGCACGCCGGGCCTCTGGGTCCCCCCGCCTCCAGTTCCAACTCTTCCGTCGCGCAACCTCACACCACGCCGGATCGGATTTTGGACTATCAGCACTACGACACCACTCCCAAGTCATCGTCGACGTCGATTGATCAGAGGCCCGTCGCCCAGTATCACAATTCCGAGCCGAGCCCGGCTCCGGCTGCTCCAAGCCATTACAACTTAACACCCCAGCAAGCACATGCCCCCCTACCCCCACAACAGCAAAGCCCCGCGGCCAAAGTACTTTCACAATTTCCACTCAAGCGATCCGCAAGCAATATCTCCGACATCACGACGGCTCCATTACCACCGAGAAAACGCCCGCGCCGGGACGACATCCCCGTCTGGGCGCGCAGCGCACGCAAACAGCCGTTGGTTTTCATCAAGGCGCGACCTCCGAGCCCTGCGCCTCCACCAGTCCCCCCACCTTCGTCCACAAACGATGTGGTCGTGAAGAAGGACTCTGTGGGCTCCCAGATGGCGAATGGACAGGAGCAACCACCTGCAATGACACCGCCCACTGAGATTCCCTGGGAGCCGTCGATCGTAAATGAGCCAGCCTTTGATGACGTTGTTCGGCGTGTCTGTGATTGGATCTTTTTCACCATTGGCAATAAGCATCCGCCTGCTGGAGGAGCTGTATTTGAGATTGAAGCCAAGGTTGGCATGATTTTCGATGAGGGGACCGGCGATCGACTCAGTTTGCCCGTGGAGACAGAGACGGTCTTCGACCGTAAGAGCTACAGAGGCCGGACGAGCTTCAAGAGTTCCATGGACGTGGTAAGTACTTCTCTTTGCTCCCCGGGTGTTTGCAGGTCTAATAAGAAATCAGGCTCAGCACAAGGCCCTGAACGGATTCTTGAACAAGCTTGTCCAAGACTCAGTGCGAGAAGCTCAAGAAACAGGGCGACCACCGCGAATCGGTTACGATCATCCGCATGAATACGACGCATTCTACGAACTGACCCTGGAAGGCCAGAATCATCTCCCACCGGCCATCATGACTTATATCAATCACAACCACAAACCACGAGTGCGGAGAACGATCGATGAAAAGACCAACATGGTCAAAGCGCAGATCATCAAGTCGCGGATTGCGGATCTGGAGGTTTACAATCCGCGGACAGCCTTTGATTACCGCATTTCAATCTCGATTGAAAGTCCATGGGAGGGCGATCCGAACTGGCTTGCAGAGACGACGGAGAGCCGACGAGACCGCCAGAAGGACCGGATGAGTTACCGACACTTGGCCTATCAGATTGACCTGACCCAAGTCAGTTATCCCAACTCGGTCGAAAAAGAGCACGAACTAGAGGTGGAAATCAGCACGGAGCAGATACGACTGGAGTTGGCCAAAGCAAAAGCAGGCCATGCCAATCGCTACGAACCACTCGTCCGAGGATTCGTGGATAATGTGAGGATATTGAGTCGGCTTTTTCCTTGCTAGACGGCTGCGACGGGAGATGGCGTGGCAGCTACTGGTTAGTGGTGACGATTGGAGCCTCAAGAGACAGTATTGGAGAGGCATGAGACGCCACGCTCTCTTTCGGCTTTTGATACCCTTGTAATATCATGAGTATAGCACAGTACCAACAGTCCGTCGTGACCACTAATACACGTGACCATGAATTCACGTGATAGAGTTTCACGTGACTCGATGACTAACCCAGGTAGGCTCAGGCTGCTGCAAGGTTACGAAAGTGCAGCGGCTGCTCAAAGCGCAGACACGTCAATTGCAATCGCCGTCTCTTCCATCTGTCTGCGCGATTCCATCTGACTTCTGACTCTCCTTCAGCTTCCCCATCTCCAATCTCTCGTCATTACTCTGCTTCCCTGTACACTAGACTTTCTTCTCGTCGATTGTCTTCTTACCTGCCCGGCCGGAGTCATCCGTGTTGTCCGATCGTTGCACCTTTGCCCCTTCCGTGCGGCACCGATCAACAAACCGCGGAACCGGACATCGAGAACCTCAGTCTGCGCTTTGCGCAACGACACAGAGCAGACATGGTTGGATTGGTGTCGGCTGCCGGTCTGGTCGGCTTTCTGTCGGAACCTGATCCGGAGCTCAGGAGCTTTGCTCTGAAGCAGCTCGACAGCCAAGTTGATCTGTTATGGACCGAAATTGCAAACTCGGTGGGCCAGATGTGAGACTTCAATGATCTACAAAGATTCATATCCCGCTGACTCTATCTTTCAGCGAGGCATTATACGAAGACGATTCCTTCCCGGAGCGCGAGCTCGCCGCCATTGTCGCATCTAAAGTGTACTACCACCTGCAAGAATATAATGAATCCATGGCATTTGCCCTCGGCGCCGGGAAGTACTTCAGATTGGACAACCCCGGAGAGTTCGAAGACACAATCATCTCCAAATGCGTAGACACTTTCATCGCCCTGTCCGCCAGTCGAGATCCCACGCTCGCCACCACCAACGCTGGTACACAACCTCAACTTGACACGGCTTTCAGTCAAGGAGGAGATGGCGCAGCAAGTATGTCGGCCAGCTTAACATCACCTCTTACGCCCTTCTCTCAATCCGTGCTTCCTTCCAAGTCCCTACTCTCGAGACAGAATACCACCTCCTTCGACCCTACTCAAGCCGGTGTCGAGCTGGGTGAAGTTGGCTCACCGGAGCGCATCATTCAAGAGCGTGGTTTACAGAAAGCTCTCACCCGCGTGATCGAGTCTCTCTTCGAGACGTGCTTCCAAGAAAAACGGTATCGTCAAGTGGTCGGCATTGCTTTGGAAGCACGCAACCTCGACATTCTCCGTCGCGTGATTAGGCGAGCCGCCGAGGACGAACGAGACGAGAAGGGTGAAGCTACGAAGAAGGGCGAAGAGCTGATAGAGTATGTCTTGGACATCTGCATGAGTGTGGTGCAAGAGCGAGGCCTCCGAAATGAGATCCTCAAGGTCGTCTTGGAGCTGCTCAATGACATCCCATCCCCCGACTACTTCGCCATCGCAAAATGCGTGGTTTACCTTGACCAGCACTCATTGGCATCGAGCCTGCTGCGTCAATTGGTTGAGAAGGGTGACCCCAGGTCGCTGGCTGTTGCTTGCCAGATCGCTTTCGACCTGAATGACAACTGCACGCAAGAATTCCTTCGAAAGGTCAAGGATGAACTCGAAGAGCTGTTGCCCCCGAGAGAGCCCAAGGAGACCGATGAGATGGAAACAGACCAAGAAAAGGCCGAAGACCAACTACAGCAAGAACTGCAAGACTCGGCGGGTGCACCTGCCCCGTCCGAAAAGCCAAAGCGATGGGATTGGAACGGCGACCAAGTGGACGCGATCAGCAGGATGTGCGACATCCTTTCCGGTTTCATATCAATATTCCTCAACATCGAATTCTTACACAATGCCAACCGGGTGGATCTGTCAATATTGAACAAGGTCAAAGACAGTCTCGAGGCCCGGTATTCAATCTTCCACACAGCAGTCACCCTCTGCGCAGGTTTGATGCACGCCAAAACTGCGAACGACACATTCTTCCGGACTAACCTGGAGTGGTTGGGCAAAGCTACGAACTGGTCCAAGTTCACGGCCACGGCTGTTTTTGGAGTCATCCACCAAGGAAATATCACGCAAGCTCATCGGCTTCTGAGCCCCTATCTGCCGAAGCCGGCCGGTGCCGCCAGCTCCCACGACTCGCCATACAGCCAGGGTGGTTCGTTGTACGCTTACGGCCTGCTCTGCGCAAACGACAAGGGCAAAGCTGTCGGCTTCATCCGTGACAAGTTCAAGGAAGCGACGGAGGAAGTCGTTCAGCATGGCGGTGCGCTCGGTCTCGGTATTGCAGGAATGGCCTCTGGCGACGAGTCCATCTTCGAAGATCTACGCAATGTGCTGTGGGCCGATTCAGCCATCAACGGCGAGGCTGTCGGCCTGTCTATGGGTCTTGTTATGCTTGGGTCGGGCAACACCAAGGTTCTGTCTGACATGATTCAGCATGCCCATGACACCCAACACGACAAGATTGTCCGGGGCCTTGCTCTTGGTATGGCCTTGATCATGTACGGCCGTCAAGAGGGTGCGGACGAGCTGATCCAAGGTCTCCTGAACGACGCCGACCCAACGATGCGCTATGGCGGTATCTTGACCATTGCCATGGCATATGTTGGCACGGGCAGCAACAAGGCTGTCCGGAAGCTGCTTCACGTCGCCGTTAGCGATGTCAGCGACGATGTGCGTCGGATCGCCGTCCTCAGCTTGGGATTCATCCTGTTCCGGAAGTACAACAGCGTGCCCCGAATGGTGGAGCTGCTCGCAGAATCTTACAATCCTCACGTCCGATATGGTGCTGCCATGGCATTGGGTATCTCCTGCGCCGGCACGGGTCTTGCTGAAGCTATTGACTTGCTCGAACCCATGCTGAAAGATCCGACCGATTTTGTGCGTCAAGGTGCCCTCATTGCACTTGCGATGGTGTTGATCCAGCAGAACGACCAGATGAACCCCAAAGTTGGTGCCATCCGGAAAGCCATGCTCAAGATCATCGGTGATCGACACGAAGATGCTATGTGCAAGTTCGGCTGTGCGATTGCCATGGGTATTATCGACGCCGCAGGCCGCAACTGCACAATCAGTCTGCAAACTCCGACTGGCAACCTGAACATGCTCGGCATCGTGGGTGTCGTAGTCTTTACTCAATACTGGTATTGGTTCCCGTTGACACATTTCCTGTCGCTCTCCATGACCCCCACGGCGGTGATTGGCCTCGATCAAAAGACCCAAGTTCCAGTGTTCAAGTTCCACTGCAACACTCGGCCCAGTCTGTTCGACTACCCACCTGAACAAACAGCTGCCAAGGACGAGACACCCGAGAAGGTCAAGACTGCGGTGCTGAGTACCACCGCACAAGCCCGTCGACGAGCCGCTAAGAAAGAGAAGCAGCAGCGACGAGATAGCATGGATGTCGACACAGTCACGCCCGTGACGCCGAAAATTGGCAATGCCGACAAAATGGACACAGACGAGGCGGGCATCACAGCCGCAGTGAAGGACGACTCCGATGCCAAAGGCAAAGAAGCCAAGCCAACATCCGATGCTGAAAAGAAAGAAGGCGAAAATGGCACGCCCGCTGAACCTAGGAAGAAAGCGGAAAAGGAAAAGGTCGGCTACGAGATCACCAACATGTCCCGCGTGTTGCCTGCTCAATTGAAGTATCTTAGCTTCCCAGATCCGAGGTATCAGATTGTCAAGCGCCCGACGGGAGGCATTATGGTTGTGCTTGACACGGAGCCCGACAAGGAAAGGGAGACGATTCCATTGCTGATCAGTAGAGTCGATCGGCCAGAGCGGACGGGGCAGCCTACCGGGAATGTAGCAGGAGTTGGTGCGGGGACACCGCAGACACCGGCGGGACAGAGACTGGGTGGTCTCGAGGATGTTGGCGCAGGAGCTGCGGCCGCAGCGGGAGTACTGACGGCGATTGACGAGGATGAAGAAGGGGTGGAGGATGCACCCTGTCCAGCCGAGTTCGAGTATGAGAGTGAAGGTGAGCAGGAGCAGTAGAGGTCGAGGGTCTGCAGGGCTGGGGTGACAGTGTAATTTGACCATTGAGAATGGTTACTCGGAGGGCTCGCAAAAAGGGTACCCTTCAGTTTCGGCCACCAGTATCAGTCTACCCAGGTGGGAGGCCAGGCCTGGAGGCAATTCCATGGTGGCCTTTTGTTCTGTATCACAAGAGAAGTAAAACAAGACAGCTTTATTGCATTCAAGTATGTGAAGGCGTCGGTATACCAAGCCGAAGATTTCTAGAATACTGGCCTCCCCCTGGTGTAGTCTACAGTATGACAGTATATATGTACTTGCTCTGTGCTTGAACGGCTGATCTGCTTGGAGTCCCTACAGAGTCGAGCCTGCTAATTCGTTCTGAGCGATGGCCCCCTGCCGAATGAAGCCAGTGTCCACACCCTGTTTCTCGCCGTCTTCTTCCTCTTCGTCGTCGTCGTCCAGGTTGTTATTCTGGCGGCGGGAAATCAGCTGGGCGGATATATTGGGATGAGTCGGATCGATATGCGATATGCGCTTGGTATCAGTCCCAGGTATCTTGTTGTAGTATGTTGTATCTTTGTCATAGCTTGTCGTGTTGGATTATATTGTTTGGTGTGGTGCCTTGTATTGTATTGTACATGTGCCATGTAGCATGTGCCATGTGGCGTTTTGCGTGTGGCATAGGACGTTCTCTCAGAGAGAGTACACGACCGCCACTACCACTACTCCGTATTGTAGTACAGTAGTAGGATATCCTTGACCTGGTCTGCTTCCTGCTTTCGTCCCTGTGCGCTTACCGCGGCCGCGGCGTCTTTGACGAGATCCGCTGAGTTGCCCGTGGCCCTGCGCTCCTTGGGCTCCTCGCTTCGTCGCCTACCAGATAAACCGGGTCCCAAGATGATCAATTGGGCTCTTTCACCTTTCACCTTCCACCTTTCATTTGTCACCGACTTCGATATATTAGCTGGCCATTCACCCGTCATTTATCACCGAATTCGACATATCGAATGCTCCTTCCACCTATGATTATCACCGGATCCGACATATCAACTGCCCTCCAATCTTCCGTTCTACACATTCCCGCGCCTCCAGGATCCCCACATCCGTACTCACATACAGACACTCCCCCGGCCGGGTCAACCCCTGGACGTACCCGCTCTTCTTGCCCAACACCAGCCTCCTCAGGCCCTCGACGTCCATCCATATCCGGCGCGTCGGCTTGCTTACCAGCTCCATCTTCTCGATCACGGGCGCCGAGTTCCAATATTTCAGCCCGAGCCAGAGACGGCGGCTCGCCACATTATGGCGCGTCACGGGCTCGATGGGTGCTTCGGGGTTCGAGGACGACGGGTGCGAGAGCAGATTGTGCGACGGTGGGGGTAACGGTCCGCCGCGCACGACGGTGGATAGGAAGCCCGAGTTTTGAAGCGCGAGCATCAGTTTTAGGTGGAATTTGGTGTCGGGGATGGAGGTCAGGCCCAGGCGGGCGCGCGAGGCGTTTTGGAGGTGCGAGCACGTGTTTGCTAGGTGGACGAGGGACATGGTGGCGGCGGTGGGAAGACGTCCCTTGAGAGGGAAAGGGAATGAGATATGAGATGTGTGTCCCGTGCACAGGGAGGTGTGGTGTGATCACTCCTTCCTTGTCTTGATGATGGGCTGGTGGTACTGTAGGTCACAGATCGCAGTTCTGTTGGTCTCGGTGGAGGGATTTGTTCGTCGTCTCGCCTTGAGTCTCTGTACGTTGTTGCTTCTCGATTGTATGTGATTGTGGTGTAAGCTGAGAATTGGAGCTCGGAGCCGGGAGTGATGAGCTGGTGATGAGCTGAATGGGATTAACTGCGGTGAGCATTGAGCATTCAGCATGCAGCGTTCTAAAAAGTTGCGGGTTTCGAGTCGCGAGGCGTGCCAAGACCGGAATTAGGTAAGCGCCTGTGATTGGCTGGTGGACGAAGTGGTGGAACTCTCCTCCCAGTCAGTTTACGGCAGCTATCTTCATACTTTGTACTGGGAAACATGTTATCCCCCAGTGTCCTTGTGCAGCAATGCGACGCGATGCTTGTTCTGGACGACTTTCTTTCCGCCGGATCATCCCCGTTGTTCGAAGGGAGCTTGATCGAGCTAGCGGCGGAATATCGACGTGAGTCAGAAGGCGAGGGTATCAGGATCTTGCACATTCTGGACTCTTGCTCTGCTGATTACCCTCTTGTCAGTACAAGTACCATCCTATCCTAGAACACGCCCGTTGTTCCTCTAATTCTGCTCACTCTTCTTGTTTACTTTGAACCGCATCAACATGCATGTCCGCCCAGCCATTGTTAGAGATCTCTCCGATGTGGGCACCATCGCCACAAATGCCATGTTCGACGACGAGTTGACTCAATTTCTAGCTCCTCATCGGCATGAGCATCCGGAATGTCTCCGAATAGGCTTTCTCAGACGTGCGAAGAAGAGGTTCTACGATGGCCACGTCGTTCTCGCCGGTGTATCTGACCGGCGTGACCCTTGGTGGAGCGGCGAGGACAAAGTCGTGGGCTATTTATCCGCCATCTCTAGCACCCAGAAGGGCGCCAACGAAAGGAAGCCGGGCTTTCCATCTACCTGGAACGAGCTCGAACTCCAATTCCTCCGCCTGGAAGAACTCATCGAGTGGTATACTTTTGCCGATCGATCCCTCTGTCGCTCGGCATGGCTTCAGTTCTTAAACAGCATGGCTGGAAATGGACCCCTCGACGATATCAAGCAACATTGGGAAATTGATCACCTCTCTGTCGAGCCGGCTTACCAGGGCAAGGGTTTCGGATCCATGTTGGTGAAATATGTGCAGGAATTCGCTGCAAGGGATAACTTGCCTGTTGTTCTCCATGCGAGTGAGCAGGGGAGGTTGTTGTATAAGAAGTTGGGGTTTAGAGACATGGGTGCTGTCGATATGGGTGCGGGTCAGGTATATGAGGCCATGGTCTGGTATCCGCCTGACGCTGTGACGGCCAGTTCTGCTGCAAAGAAAGTCGACGACAACGCTACAGAGAAGCCGGTGTTGTGATACAGCGATTACGAGCACCTGCGGTACGAGATACACTGACTTGGATCCCAGTGTATGCAAACATCTTCAAGCGAGAGGCTTCCGGTCCTCAACGGGAATGTCGCCAGACCTGGGCCTCCTCGCTGGTGGTTCTGGTCATACTTCATCGCGGAAAATCAGACTTTGACGCAATGCAACCGACGAGAAAGGGCGGGGCCTCACACAGCCTCCAACTATCAGCATCGTCAGCTATGCTCTATTTTCTATTTCAAAATCTTGTGCAATCACTTGCGTGACTTCTCCTGGGACAGCCTATAAGCTCGAGCTCCAAGGTGTGGTCTGTGCACCCATGAGGTGGGTCACGGTGCCACAGCAGAGAAACGAGTTCGTTCCTCGAAACAAATCCTGGTATGCCACAACAAAGAAGCTTTGACCTCGACTATCACTGGCTCGGTCAAAAATGTGGCTACCGAAGGCGTCCATCCACTTAAGCTTTTGAATTTCTGCGCCGCAAACGATCAGCGGCAACCAAACGGCACAATGGAGCTTCTCCAGTGTGTACACAGGTCCTCCCCCAGGCCAGGAGGGCCGCTGATGTACCGCCCGGCATGGATATCTTTATTATTCCTGCACACTCCGTTTGACTGGTCGGCCCACGAAGATGGACGGCCAAACACACTGTACTACCCAGGGAAACCCGATGTCAAGCCGCAGGGCAAGTCTCAAACACGAACGCAGCGCCTCTACAGCATCCAGTCGGTCGAGCTCAAGGAGGCCAAAGTCTGCCGGCTCTCCATCGAAGGCCGAAACAAGGTCTTCAGTACATGCTACGTCATTTGGATTAGAGCTCGAATTTGTCTTCGCTTTCAAGGAGGATCTCCTGCAGCATATGCTATCGAAGTATAATCTTGGTGCAGACATCATCAAGACCCTTACTGCTGACGAGCATCAACAACTCGTGGCGACTGAGCAAGTGGCCAACGGTGCCCCCGTTCCTGCTTACGACTGTCGCACGAGGACCCCTTCATGGGCATTGCACGTCCCAGAGACGGACCTGACCTGTCAAACGAAACAGTTCAAGGGCATGGGTTTCATTAGGTCAGATAATGGGAGGATGTGGGTGCGCCGATATGTGATGGAGCCACTCTTAATTGCGAGGGATCTCCTTGGCGACAGAGGTCTTGGTGCTAATGTCGTAGGGTGGGTTGAACCCCATCCTGAATGGCGGGATGATATCGAAGTGGCTACTATCACATTTCCAGACCGAAGCGGGTGCGATGCAAGCACCATCCTACGAAGAGCTAATGTGGACTATACGAAGTGGACGCTAACAAACGACCATACTCTGGTAGGAGCACTTCCAAGTCAGCTTCACGATCATTTGAGGGATCGAGGGGTGCCGGAGGACAACCTTGAAGATTGGGATAGCCATGGCATGGAAATGATCTCTCCGATATTCAGCCTCAACAAGAAGAGTCAAGCATTTGCAGAGCTTGGCAGATATGTCCAAGCATTGAGTGAGGAGGGCACTTCGGCTCTGGGATCTGTGTGGTCGAGCGCACACGTGCACATTGGGTTCAACTTCGACAAGCCAAAGGACATGCCTATACTGCTACTGCAACATCTGGCATATATCCTGGTTTTACACGAGGACCTCATATCGAAATGCCATCCAAGGAGTCGTTGCGGAGTTCCCATTCCTCAGAACGAGTACGAGGAACCCGAGGTCGGAGGCTTAGAAGACGATGAGGATTTCGACCCAGATAACTACGAGCCGCCGCCACCACCACCAACGGAGGAGGAATTGGAACGAGAAAACGAACAAGCAGTCCTTGCGTTCGAGGCCGCTTACACCGGCGTCCAGCCGGGCGCAGAAAACGTCTGTTCAAATGCTCGATATCTACGCAAAACGCTCGCATCAGGATCACTACTTGATGTGAAGGACGCCATCTTCAAGCAAGACGGAGATATCTTTGATCTGGTCGACCTCCTCCAACATCGAGATGCGAAGGGTAACACGTACAGAGGATACATGTATAACTTTGCCAACCTCGTCAATCTGGCGCGCAACGAGACGAGTTGGAAATCCATCAAACCCACTGTTGAGTTTCGTCAGCACGCCTGCACAACAGACCCTGCTGTACTGGAATGTTGGGTCACGTTGCTGGAGGCTATCATTTGCAAGACTGACGACAACGCTGCCCGAGCCGTTGCAGGGGATATGGTGGGGAAGACGTACACTGAGCAGGAAGCTAGTAAATACCCTACTTCCACCGAGGCAACACCTTGGCCTTGTCGGGATATGAGGACGTTCTGCACAGAGTTGCTCGGCCTGAACGAGAACGAGGCTGAATACTGGCAAGGGAGGTTCAACATGTTCAAGGATGATCGACCCTAATACAACGCCATCTAATTCTGCATGTATCTGATCCAAAAGTCCGGCCATTTTGCTAGTAGAGGCACTCCGCAGAGTCGGCAGCCTTGCACCTCAGCCTTGCCACCGAGTCTCGCCGGAGTCTGACCGGCCGGTCGGACCGGCACAACGAAAGCAGGCGCACCACTCACGACGCACGGTCGCTCCTGCCGCCGGACCAGACGCCGAAACCGGTCATTTGCATTCGTCATCGGCGGCGTTTTTCATTCCATAGATTATTCTGACACTGGACATCAATCGTCAGCAAGTAGTTATATGTTCGTTCGGTATTGCTCCGCAGAATATTCGCTTATCGACTCGTACGAGATTGAAACTTTCCGGGCACCAAGCTCCACATGATACGCCGCGAGGTTATCCGCGCCGAATGCCCTCACCGCCGGTGGAAACTCCTGATGGTCAACACAGGCACGATGTAGGCACAACAAGCGCCACGTTTACTGATGTACCGCTCGGGCTAGACGGCGCCAACTCCAGCAGAGAAGACTTGGAGAAACTTCCCAGCAAAGATGACTACGTCGAGGACGCAGCGGTGCAGTCCTCCAAGAGCCCTGCGAGGCCGACATTGGCACCGGGCAGATCCCCGACGGCTCGACGACCCTCGTTCATCGACGAGGAAGATGATCCGGTTGCCATCGCTGGCGCTGGCACCAGTTCGGCCGACGATTCAAGAAAAGAAGCCCCGGTGACATGGATGTCGTTACCTAAGAAGGGTCAATTGGCCGTTCTGACCCTCGCTCGACTCGTCGAACCGTTGACAGAACGATCTCTTGCGGCATACCTGTTCTACCAGCTTCGATATTTCAATCCTGATCTTCCAGACAGCGTGATTGCCAGTCAGGGAGGAATGTTCACGGCGGCTTTTGCGGCGGCCCAGTTTCTCACTGCAGTCTGGTGGGGACGTGCTGCCGATACGCCCTGGATCGGTCGTAAAAGAGTCCTGCTGGTGGGCTTATTCGGCACCTGCGTAAGTTGCCTTGGTGTTGGATTCGCCAGGTCTTTTGCTCAGGCGTTGTTCTTCCGAGCCTGCGCTGGATGTTTGAATGGAAATGTCGGGGTGATGAGGACGATGATTAGCGAGATCATCAAAGAGAAGAAGTATGACGGGCACACGTGGCTGTGATCATTCAATCTAATCAGGCTTAACAGGTACCAGTCGAGAGCGTTTCTTCTCCTGCCCATGTGTTTCAACATTGGTAAGTCACCCGCTGGCCTAAAGGATATCTTAGTGACCATCTAGGTGTGGTAATCGGCCCCATCCTGGGCGGATTCCTCGCAGATCCCATCACCTCATTTCCCGGAGTTTTTGGCCCAGGTTCCACGATTGGGGGCAAGGATGGTGTCGGATGGATGACAGCATTCCCCTATGCTCTTCCGAACGTTATCAGTGCCACCTTCATCCTTTCCGCGGCCATCTTACTGATTCTTGGTCTCGACGAAACCCATGCTGCACTTCGGGATAGACCCGATTACGGCCGAAAAGTTGGCAAGTACCTGGAAAGAATGCTCTTCCGCCGAGGCAAGCAAGAGGAGTACGAGTACTCGGAGCTTGGAAATCAGCTTGAGCTCCAGGATGTCGATTCTCCGCGAGACCGAGATCCCGAGTCCTCCACAACGCCACAAACGAGGATTAGCAAACCACCTCTGTGGCAGAAGTCGACACTCAAGTTCCGCCAGATTTTCACCCGGAACGTGGTGCTGACACTGCTCAATCACCACCTGTTAGCCATGCATGTGTCCGCCTTCAACGCCCTCGTTTTCCTTTTCCTCCCCGCCCCACGGTCCTCCAACACCAACTCGCACTTACCTTTCCTCTTCACTGGAGGTCTCGGGCTATCGTCTGAAAAAGTCGGTCTAGCAACTGCAATCATCGGCGTCATCGGCTTCCCTTTGCAGATCCTCCTCTACCCGACCGTGAATAACAAACTCGGCACTTTACCCTCGTATCGATGGTTCCTTCCATTTTCCGTCCTCGCATACTTCCTCATGCCGTACCTCGCCCTCCTGCCAAACAAGGCGTACATCGTCTGGCCATGCCTCACCGTCGTCCTCGCATTGCAAGTCATTAGCCGAACATTCGCGTTGCCGGGATCGACGATTCTCATCAACAATTGCACACCTCACCCGTCTGTGTTGGGGACAATCCATGGGGTCGCGCAGAGTGTGTCTTCCGGAGCAAGGACACTAGGACCGACGCTTGGAGGATGGGGACTCGGCCTCGGTCTTGGTGGGAACTTTGTAGGCGGTGTCTGGTGGATCATGGCATGCATCGCGGTATGCAATTGGGGATTGTTGTGGGTTCTATACGAGGGAGACGCAGGTGTCTCTGCGGCGGTATAGAGTGTGTTTGGATTAATGAAATGATGAATGATGGACGATGGAACTTGGAAGTGACTAAGCCAGCGACACTTCCGTCTGTTGCGCGACATTACGGCGCGCTTGGATGTAACAACGATTATAGAGTACGTTGGATGCAACTTGTGCTGTTTTCGTTCTGCGGCAGATAAACTGGACGCTCCCGGGCTGTTCAAGGAGGGCTCAAGGAGGGCTCAAGGAGGGAGTCAGGTCTGCCCTTGTAGGCAGGCCAGCAATGTGGGCTCATGGTTGTGTCCATTCGACGAACAAACATTCTTCCGCGCATTGCCCTTGAGTGATGTTTACGCCCAGGGCCGCTACTCAGGTGCTTTAGCGTGGTCGTGGTCGTGGTCGAGGTCGTACTCTCCAGGTGAGTATAGGATTGTTGGAGAGTGTTAGTCATATGATTTTCTCGTACATAGGTACTGAGTACTCTACTCGTAACGACGGACACAGACACACACACAGACACACACAGACACACACAGACACACACAGACACACACAGACACACACAGACACACACAGACACACACAGACACACACAGACACA